AGAAGAGGACAACAGACGCCGAGCATTGGAGGCGAGGCGGCGCGCTGCCGAAGCTCCCAAGTTCCTCCCTAACCTGGGGTGCAAATTCGACCACCCTTTTTCAATTTGTTTAGAATTGCAATTTAAAATATAATCTTCGAAGTATTAAAAATTAATATTGTGTGAAAATTTATAAATCATCAAACAAGAATTCTGCTTTTTTAAATTTTTAAGCGGAAACGGCACCAGCAGGATCAGTTAAAATATTTGCAAATTCAATGCACCATGAATCAACCCGCGATCGTGAAATTCTACGATAAAATAAAATACAGATCCAGAGAAAAGCTGTAGAGGCTTTCAAGAATTGTTAATTTTTGACAAAACATCCAAATAACTCACAATTAATTGAATTGTTCATCAGACTTTGTATTCAATAAACTCAATTTACTTAAAAAAAAAATGAAAAACAAATTCAGATTTATATCTCTATAAATAAAAAAGCCAAGAAATTGTCTAATAAAATGTTCAAAATTAGAGGTCAATGATTGGTGAAATAATTCAACCTTGCCATCAATCGCATCAATATAGAGACAAACCCAAATTCGATGTTGCCAAAATGAGAAACAGTTTACAAAGATAATATCTCAATCAAAATCCACATTCCCGGGATGGCGCGTTCAGGTAGGAAGAGAGCAATCAAAAAGCATTTAGCCACTGCGCTAATCTAAATAAAAATGTGCACAATACATTTTATATAATATCCTCGATATTCGCACGCACCAAAACGTCTCTGCTGCGAAGCGGGACACGCCTCTTTCAATTTACGAAAAGGAAACGAGGCGAATGGTATATATTAAAAAATAAAAGATCGAGTTTGTGTGTGTATAATTTTCTACGCACCGCGATTGCGCCTCCTTCTTTTCGGCCTACACGCTTTTCACGGTGTTATGAAATTCTTCTCATGGCAGCAGCCGCGCCGAGAAGTTGAAACATTAAATGAGCGCGCTGTTTTAGCGTCCAAGGTAAACGTCCGTCAAGACACTTCCTATGTATAGATATGTGGCACTTATCCACGCACACACACATTCAGATTTTTCAATTTACTCCAAGCCAAATTTTTGTCTAAAATGCAAAATATAAAACTATTATTCTGACATAGTGAAAAATTGAGTAAAAAGGTAAAAAAAATTAATTAAAATTCAATTTATTTAACAGAAGTCAAAAAGCAATTTACAATTATTATTTAACAAGTCTCGTCGCATGTAAAAATCAATTTGATTCTAAATAACAATATATTTCTATAGAAGTCGTCATTCTATTAGCTTTGATTAAACTTCAGAAATAAATATATAAAGTTAACGCTTCTTTTTAAGGGAATTTTAAAATATTTCTAATTTCTTTTTAGAAAAATTAACATAAATTTCCCTCAAATCAACTTCAGATTTTAGCCCAATTTAATTGACAATAAGTTAAATTGTCAGGTATCTTAATTGATCTTAATTTATCTCCTAATAAGTAAATTTTTTACCTAAGGAGACCACATATCATATTTTCCTATCACATTTTTATCTTGAGTTTTATTTTTATATTTTTTATCATTTAAATATAGACTACAATTACGATTAAAATTGAGAATTCGCTTTATTTGAATATAAAATGCAAATGTTTCCTGAAATTTCAATTACACACTTCAGTATTTTTATTGAACTTTCTAGCAATTTTCTGTTAAAGATAATGAAATTAAAACCACGATTTGAATTTTTTGCCACTCAGCTGAAATCCATTAAATGCGTTTTAAAATTTTTAACGTCTTGAGCAATTACGGTGAGCATCCAATCAGTTTATTGCTCGTCGTCGCAGAAAAAAGGAGGAAAAGCAAAATCTTGTATACTCTCGGATGAAATGAGATGCAAAATACAAAACAAGATTCGCAGCGGCGATCTCCAGAGCCCGAGGCGACCTCAGTGTAATGAAGCTGTAAACACAGTTTTCATTCGACCACTCAATACATTTCCTGATGCCATTGGCACAATTTCCATCCTGTGCATTGTAAAAAATCTCTTTATTTAAAATTAATTTATTCGTAAAAATTTTAAAAAACGGAATGCAAGAAGATTATTTTTAATATTTTCTCCCACGTTGTTGTTGAATCACACTTCTATTATTTTTTTGCTATTCATCGATTGAAGATTGAATTCAGCGGCGGTCCAAATAAGTGCAAATTCCTTTCCCACAACACCTAAACAGAAATTCCAGCTACGATTTTGCGTTTTCCTCCACCGCCCAAATACACAAACAACGGGTGGGAATATCAGATGAGGTCATAACTCATCTATCCACCTCACATCCTGTGCCAAAGAGGAAAAGTTACTAAAAACTTTGAATATGAAAATCGATTAATCAGTTCTAGAAACTGGAGTGTTTTAGAGACAATGGATTTATGGACACGTATGCTGCCGAGTGGTGATATAAATTATAAAGCACGTAATGTTATTGAAAGAGTGCGTAGTAGTGCCTGAGATTTATGCGCGTTTTGAAAACACTTTGTCATCTCGCGCAACTCTACATATTATATATCCTTGCAAAAACTACATATATATTATACATTATTGTTTTTAATTTCGCGCAGACTACGCAAAACATGACGCGAAGGCCGGTCTAGCTGATCGATGAACATAATTGCAGAAGCAAAAGTGATTAAGTGTCGTGCCGGTTTCGCTTCTGGTAATTTGATCGAGGATCGAATTAAAGCACCCACGTGCCATAATTAATGTTTTTTTTTCAAATCGAAATAAGAAATCGCAAACGGAGCTTTGCATGATTTGAATATTAAATAAAGTTAAAATAATACACATTTAATTAAATATATAAATTATATTAAAAAAAAAATTTAAAATAAATCAATACAATTAACAAAATGGACTTTTTTTCACTTTTTTTAAAACTAATTCTATTTATTAATAAGAATTTTTTTTAAATTTAAGAAATATTTATAAAAGTAGCTTGGCTTGATATTAATTTTCGTTTCCAATTAAATTAATTTTAATATTTTGACTTGTCAAAATCAAGGAAACAAACCAGCTCTTTAAACCTGGTCAAATCATTTTTCTTTTCAACGTCAATAAAATCAACACTTTCAATGATGCAAGAACAATTTATTGCATATTTTTCTATTCGATCCATTCCGCGCAAAGATTTCCCTTTCCCATGCCACCGCAATATTGATTGGTATGACCAACAGCAGAAACGGACCCTTTGTGAGAGAACGTGCTGCAAGTGGCCAACAGGTCATTCGATCTGCTCGGGTCCTGGGAACGCGATTGCTCTCGCTTACGGTGCTGCACGCAGCCATAGGCGCTCATATTTTTAAACTTCCCTTTTGATATTTTTCTTTTTATTTCTTTCGTCGTCGGCGTATATTCAAGAAAGAAAGAAAGGGCGGCAGACACAATAATACACGAGAGCGCCCAAGCAAGGCAGCAGCGAACGCCTCGAGGGACGAAAACCAGATCGGGTCCATTCAGCTGCTAGAATATAAGTGGATTGGCCAACCATCCCACTGTTACACTTCGAGGGACAATATTAATTTTGTGTCGCCAAGCGCGAAGCCACCGAATGTGTGCTTCGACCACACTCGTATGTAGAAATTGTAGAGGAGATTAATTTTATTCTCGAGTTTTTCGCATCTTGTGTGGTCAAGTCGTAGAGCAGCAGGATCAGTTGTCACGCGAAAGCTGTTTTTCAAGAGTGACTAAAATTTTGAGCACCCAGATAATTTAAAATTGAAATTTAGTTGCAAATTGGAATCTCATAGAAAATTAGAATACAAAAAGAATAAAAATCAGGGCACGTGTCCGTTTTTTAAAGTAAAATAAAATCTTAAATTTGAGGAAAGCAACAAGATTTTTCTTTAATTGTTCATTTAATGGTAAAAATTTAATTTAAATCATAAGCATTTTTTATTTGGACGATTCTGATTAAATATTTTCATTTTAAAGTAAAATTGTCTCCGAATTAAAATATTTTTTCCTTAAATTTGCAAGCAAGATTTTCATTTAAAAGTGCAAATTTCTGTGTCTTCACAGACATACTTTTTCGCAGACGTCTGCTTTGGGCATTTTGCGCGTGATTGGCACAAAGCGCCGGTGTAAGGAGCAAAAAGATTTATGTGTGTGCTTAGGCGCTTCTGATGTGCTCTCTCGCGCTCACATTCCTGCGGCTATCGGGTTCTGAATGGTGAACCAGGGGTCGTCCAATTACAAACCGCAAAATGACTCCCGCAGAGTGATAGAAAAGCGATTCAACTTATCCACTCTTTGCGAACGCGTTGCCACAGGTATTAAATAGTTACAACTCATTTACCAGACACTGATTTGATTGATTAACATAAAGTGGAAATTCAAATCACTTTTGTTCAAAAAATTCTGAGAAATTTTCACCGTAAGGAAAAATATGGAGTTGGTTTTCAATAAGGAAAGAATATTTGATGAGAAAAAATAAGGCATGTTCATCCAAGAGTTTTAACGATTATTATTTTGAGGAGATTCTAAGATCTTTTTACCATAAAAGTCGTCATTTTAGGCTCTCAAATTGTGGTCGTTTTTTAGTAAGCAAAAATCACAAGCCTCTTTTGACTAAAAAAAGAAATTTCCTCAAATTCTCTAAAGATTTAATTATAAATTAAAAATAAAGAGGATATTGGATATTTTAATTTTATGCTTGCTCTTAAATTAATTTGCTCAAAAGAACGAAACAATTTGCAAAGATCAATTTTCAGGATTCTGTATGAATTTTAAAACAAATTAAAACATAAAAATTCGTTCACCAGTCTCTGTTGTTTCCTAAATTGAAAAAAAAAATAGTACATTTTGAAGAGATAAACACACATATTTTAGAAAAAAAAACAGTAGATAAGTTAATTTTAACTTTTTTTTTTGTAATATATTTTAAAAATTAAATTCTATTAAAATTTTGACCCAGTGGTTCTAATGGCATATATTTAATTTGTGATGTTTTCGCAGGTGATTCACCCGTGATGAGAGGCTGCTGCGGGCCGTCCTGAAAGTGAAACCGGCGATTCTGACCTCGCTGCCGCGCGGCGCCAGCTGCAGTGACCATGGACTCCCAAATAGGCCTTGATTACATCGTCGAGAACCGCGACTACACGTCTAAATTGGCGCTGGGTAAGCCATCGCGGTGACACATTTGCCCATTTTAGGACATATATTATTACGTACACACACGCCGCGCTGCCTTTTTGCCGCCAAATCGTAAACACTCGAGTAAAAGCAGCCAAACTGGGATCTAGACCGAGCTAGATAAAAAAAAAAACACACATACATTGTTTGCAATCGCTCGAGCTAAAATTCAAATCAGAGCCATATGAAGCTTGGATTCAGCATGAGGTCTATAATTGAAAATTGTACTGTAAGTGCAGCTTGTTTGGCGGGTTACGCATCCCACGCGCCACTTGAGAGTGTCGCCTATCCTTTGGTCGACGTTGTCAAGTTTCTCCGTACTTAATTTTTAGTCTTGAATTCAAAATAAGACAATTTGCCATGGCTAAATTAAATTCAAATCGAAAGAGATAAAAATCTTTTCCCAGTAAAACAATTTGAGTCTTCTTTTCTAAACCACAAAATTTAAATCAAAACTGTAATTTACAAATTCCAATTTTTGAGATTGACTGATCATATTAGCAAAAAAGAGAAAAGAGAACAAAAACATGGCTAGAGAAGCCTTTTTCAAAGTCACGAATTTCAATAAAAATTTATTATTCATTTAAGACCTTGTATTTCGAGACTAAAAGATACTTTACTAGGGAATAAACGAGTGGCGAAAATTATGCAAAACGATCGGCCATATGGTCAGAAAAAGTGGTCACGACCACTATACAATGGTTTGTTATGATTGTCGAAAAAGAAAGATGGCAAAGGTCGAGATTCCCGCTTGCTTGAGATGCGAAAATCAAGGTCGGCAGCCTCCGAGAGATTATGGGGAGAAAGTCCTTTGTACACATCTGCCACTTCTCTTGCAGTGGAAAAAAAATTTGAATGCACATCCTGCAAGTCATTATTTTATAATCGGTGATGTAACGAGATAAATTTCGAGCGGCGGCTGTTTAATTTAGATTTAATTGCCTCGCTGCCCACACGCTTTTGTGAATGAGTGATGGACATTTCAAGGGTTGACGAGTTCCTTGTTGCAAAGAGACCGCGTTCGAGATTTTTTTTCATACGCAAGATCAAACGGTTCGGAATGATTTTGATTAAAATTGGTTGTACTCACATTTGTTGACTTCCTCGTCGTCGGAATATTGATCTGAAATTATAACCATTAATTTTTTTAAATGTTATTTTCATCTATTCTGTCAAGGTAATTTTAGTCCTTCATAAATTAATTTAAACAATTGTTATTATTTATCTGCACAAATTTTTTGAATTAGTTAAAATTTTAAATATTAAGTGACAAAGTTACTCAAATTCTGTTAGTCTTAAAAAATTAGCTATTTTTATGGCTTTTCCTCCGATCGAAACAGTCGGCCGGTTCATTCTGAATAAAATTTTGAGCTTTATTCTAGGAATTTTATATATATCTTATATTATTGTTGTTGATTTGTCCAAATTGTTGAAATACATCAATTTGTCTTGTACCTAATTCGTGGTTGAAATTATTGAGGATTTAAAAACTCAATATGGTTTAATTCTTCGTTTTTGTTTTCAAATTTAATTCTTAGATATAATTGTTTGATGAGCTTATTCCACCAAAAGTGTTCAAATTTTAAGTAATTCTTATGAATATTTTTCAACTAAAAACACAAAATTACGACAGCAAAATGAAAAAATTAAAAAAAAATGCATTTGTTTGGCTCATTTACGCAATTTTCCAATTTGAAATTTAAATATTTTTTATAAACAATGTATTGCAAAAACAATATACCAATATTTTCTTTCGTTTCAATTCACAATAAATTTTAGTGAAATATAGAAAAAATTAATTTTAAATCAGGAAGAACTTCCATACAATTTCCGCACTCGTTGGGAAATAAAAATTAAAAACTTTTTTCATTCATTAATCAAGCTAGTAAAATAATATGAAATTAAAATTATCATGGTGTGTGTTTTTTGTTGTGATTGCAGCGCTGGACACAAACAACGCGACGGTGAAGAAGCAAGTGTTCGAGTTGCTGTCGGCGCTGTGCGTCTACAGTCCCGAGGGCTACGCCCGCGCCCTTGACGCACTCGACTTCTATAAGGTGTGTATCTGTGTGTGTGGTGTGCCAATTCCTGCAGCTCTGACTCAATATTCCTACCTATCCTCCGAACGGCCGACCGACCATATGGCCGCTTACGTCACTTGAACTTGAATTGCAGGCGAAAGTGCTGCGCTGCAGCCGGGGCACCATCTGGCGCCCCCAAGCGCCCCCGACGCCGCCCCCGCGCCCCTCTTGCCCCCAAATCGCCCTCTGCCGACCGGCGGCGCCAAAAGGCCACTCCGAATCCGCCACCAGTTCGCGAATTTTCTTTTTCGAAGCCCATTTGGTTTGTAGCAAAAATTAAAAGAAAAATACATTTGGGCATTGCGTTAAAATTCACGATTGATCACATTTTAAAGCTCGGCTTCTCTCATTTTAAAATACAATTAAATCGAAAAAAAAAAATTCTGCTTCAAACATTTTCCCCCCATTCTTGCAAGTTTCAGTTTATTTTTTTTTCATTTTAAAGATATATAATGTTAAATTTTTTAGAAAGAAAAACAATCAAATAATAATATCCGCTTTTTCACCAGATTAAAACTGCATGATTTTTTTTTATCACTTGATGATTTCTCATTACAGTGACCATAAAAAATTCAACTGGAATTTGCAAGAAGAAACAGTTTTTTTTTTCATATTACAAATAAAAAATTACTCAAACTATTATTTCAATTTTCAGACACACAAGAATGAAAGGTATCGGTTCAAGATAATCGTGACCGAACTGAGCGAAACCAGCAACCTGGAGTACCAAATCGCGCTCTTGGCGTTCGTCAACTGCCTCATCATCTCAGTGACGCAACTTAAGGACAGAATTCGCGTCCGAAACGAATTCACGGGCCTGAAACTGCACGAGGTTCTTTCGTCTTTGCAGTAAGTTCAAATCAAAAATAATAAAATTTCGAATAGAAAGGTAAAAATTAATTTTTTACAGGAGGAGTGCGTCGGAAAATCCCTCCAAGTTGAGTCAGGAGCTGCGAGTGCAGTTGGACGTGTTCAACGAACAAAAAGAGGGCGACGAAGCGTCCGCGAGAACCGATGGTCCTCTCAGCTCAGGGGTGGACCTCAATTCTCACCTTGATATTTTCTATGCCATCCTTAGACAGGTAAAGCTCGTTAATAATTCTTATCAAAATTAAGATTAAGAATTAAATTATGGCGGCGATATAGCCAAGAAGGAAAATTTTGCAATGATGAACAGAATAATTAAACTAGAATATAATATGGAAAATTAAATTAAATTTAAAATGCCAATTTCATGTTTGACAAAAGCTCAGTAATTTAAATTTTGATGTAAATTTATTTTTTTAAATTTAAATTTCCATTGAGGAAACAATGGAACAATTGCAGCAATACTAATTTTGAGGTGTTGTGCTTCATGAGGTCATTCTCAGGTCAGGGGTCACCAAATCACAAAAACCTGAGCATTTTCGGCATCCTCGTGAAACAAGCTTTCCGCCGGTGTGCCGTTCGTTGTTCCCAACAGTGGCGTTCTTTTTAAATTTTGAGATACGCCCAAGAATTTTTTCAAATTTTACATTCAACAATGAAATCTATTTTTCATAGTTGCATGAGACCCAGAGACCCTCCAAGGTCTACCTCCATTCTCTGGCCGCAAAAATAGTCCTGAGCAGAAATTTCAAACACGTTTTTTAATTAAAATATATATTCCTCTGGTTGAAAGTATCAAATCTATTTAAGTGAAAAACTGTTAAGTCAAACTTTAATCCTGGGCAGGTTGTAAAATATTTAGATCCAAATTAAGTAGAATTGAAATAAAAATGGCGTATCAAATACGACCACGTTTTGTGTGTATGAATGGCTAGGAAGGGCTTTTTTAATGTTGTTGCCAGGGTGGTCTTAGCATCACAGGTGCTCTATAGCCCTCCCCCACCCACATGTCACTCCCGCATGCTGGAAGTCTTGAGGGTGGAGGCCGCGCGTCGCCAACCCCCAATGCTAGAAGACAACCCTAAGAAGAGGACAACAGACGCCGAGCATTGGAGGCGAGGCGGCGCGCGGCCGAAGCTCCCAAGTTCCTCCCTAACCTGGGGTGCAAATTCGACCACCCTTTTTCAATTGCAATTTAAAATTTAATTTGTGAAGCATAAAAAATTAATATCGTGTGAAAATTGAAATTTAATTAGTTTGATAAATAAATGAGAATTTTGCTTTTTAAATATTTAAAGCGGAAACTGATGAAATATTTGCAAATTTTTTTTATGAAATACACAAGTTTTTACTCAAAATTAGTCAGTATAACAGAAATAAATAGCACAAATCGTTGCCATTAGGTTTTGGTTTTGAGAAAAATCAGCCTGAAAACAGTATAATGCACAGTTATCGTAGGTGCGAAATAAAAAATTCAAAGATATATTTCAAGCAAATCTTGAATGATCCTAATCTTTCATTTTTAAAATTCCAATGTTGACTCTATAAATATTGAAAATAATGATCTACATATTTGTAAAATGTTATTAATTCAAATATTATTTTCAAATCCATTGCTACATTTTCAAGGAAATTTAGCAAGAATTTTTTTTTATAAATTAACAGGGAACATATTGAGATTAAAATTTGTTTGTTGTAAATATCAGACATGGATCACGTCTCACGTCAGGGTCGTCAGGTTAAAATATAAAGGAATTTACAATTTGAAAGTCTTGAGAAATGATTGAAATATCTATTTTAACGAAATTTTTATTTTGACCTGCTATAATATTTAAGTAATGCCATTTTCAGCCTGATATCTTTGAAATAAAAACTTAATGGGAATGATTGGCCGAAAATAATAGGCTATTATTTATTATTTCATTACTAATTCTGTGCAAACAGCTTGTGTACTTGAGAAAAAGGTTGCAAATAAACTGATCCTGCTGGTGCCGTTTCCGCCCAAAAAATTTAAAAATCAAAATTCTCATTTATTGATCAAACTAATTAAATTTCAATTTTCACACGATATTAATTTTTAATGCTTCACAAATTTAATTTTAAATTGCAAGTGAAAAGGGTGGTCGAATTTGCACCCCAGGTTAGGGAGGAACTTGGGAGCTTCGGCAGCGCGCCGCCTCGCCTCCAATGCTCGGCGTCTGTTGTCCTCTTCTTAGGGTTGTCTTCTAGCATTGGGGGTTGGCGACGCGCGGCCTCCACCCTCAAGACTTCCAGCATGCGGGAGTGACATGTGGGTGGGGGAGGGCTATAGAGCACCTGTGATGCTAAGACCACCCTGGCAACAACATTAAAAAAGCCCTTCCTAGCCATTCATACACACAAAACGTGGTCGTATTTGATACGCCATTTTTATTTCAATTCTCCTTAATTTGGAAATGAATATTTTGCAACCTGCCCAGGATTAAATTTTGACTTTACAGTTTTTCGCTTCAATAGAATTGATGTCTTAAACCAGAAGAATATATATTTTAATTAAAAAAACGTGTTTGAAATTTCTGCTCAGGACTATTTTTGCAATCAGAGAATGGCGGTAGACCATTGAGGGTCTCTGGGTCTCATTCAACTATGAAAGTTAGATTCCATTGTTGAACGTCAAATTTGAAAAAATGTCTTGGGCGTATCTCAAAATTTAAAAAGAACGCCACCGTTGGGAACAACGAACGGCACACAGGTGGAAAGCTTGTTTCACGAGGATGCCAAAAATGACCGGGTTTTTGCGATTTGGTGACCCCTGACCTGAGAAAGTCGTCGGGAAGCACCGAAGGTTAAGTTTCAACACGTCTGAAATGTGCTTTTTTTTTGCTGCGAATCACATTATTGCCATAATTACAAAGGCATGGCATAATTATTTCTAAAAAAAAAAAAATTTTCTTTTTGGAATTATGGATTTAATTTTATTTTATTTTTGCAATTCAATAATAATTGGGCTTGTTAATTTCAGTGGGTTTTCATTGGTCGACTGATGTAAGTCGATTTTACATAAATTAAGTCGCCTTCTTAGCTTTTTGTTTGCCAAAATAGGCAGGCTTAGTCAATTTTTTATTTGTGATTTAACGCAATAAATTAAAACTATTTATTTAGCCGACATTTTAAAATTTCACAAATAAATCTGCACTTAATTAGAGCTTAAAAAAATATTAAAAAAATAATTTTTACAAAACTTTTCATCAATTTTGACAATTTTCAATCTTCTGACCATTTCATAACTTAGAATTTTGTGATTTAGTAACGTGTGATTGAAACGAGTTGATTACTCAAGACATTTGGATTTTTTTTTATCAATTTGATTATATTTTGATTGGGCAGTAGGATTTACCCAAGTGATCTTTTTGTTTTTTGTCTGATATTTAGGAACAAATTTAATATTTTGTTAAAAAATATGGTGTTTAATAAAAGCACGGAAAATTTTTCCCAATAAATTCACCATTTGCATTCTTTTCACAGTTTTCAGATACGCCCTAAGAATTTTTTCAAATTTGATATCCAACAATGGAATCTAACTTTCATATTTGCATCAGGCCCTCCAAGGTCTACCGCCAATCTCTGACCGCAAAAATAGTCCTGAGCAGAAATTTCAAACTTCTTTTTTTATTAAAATACGCAAACTTCTGGTTGAAAGTTTCAATTCTATTGAAGCGAAAAACTGGAAAGTCAAACTTTAATCCAGGGCGGGTTGCAAAATATTCATTTCCAAATTAAGGAGAATTGAAATAAAAAATGGGCATCAAATGCGACCAGGTTTTGCGTGTATGAATGGCTAGGAAGGGATTTGGTGGTGTTGAAATTAGGGTGGTTGCTAAGCGTCACCACAGCCCTCCCTCCCCGCATGTCACTCCCGCATGCTGGATGACCTGAGGGTGGAGGCCACGCGTCTCCTACCCAATGCTCAAGAAGACTCAAGACTCAAGACGCCGAGCATTGGAGCAGGAGACGCGCTGCCGAAGCTCCCAGGTTCCTCCCGAACCGTGGCGCGGACACGACCAGCCTTTTGCACTTTTCTTAGATTTGCAATTTAAAATTTAATTTGTGACGTATTAAAAACCAATACCATGCGCATCAATGTGAAAATTGATATTGAATTGTTTGACTCAGACTTGGTTATTGAGTAAGAATTTCGCTTTTTAAATTATGGTATCAGAAACAGCACCAGCAGGACCAGTGGTGTAAATTTTTGCAAATTTTTTCTCTGGTTTATAAGTTTTTTTTGTTACAAAAGTACTCTTAAAAAAAAGGAATATATCTTTAGCCACATTTTAGTTTTAAAAGAAATCACCACAAAATCGCAAAACCGTTTCTGGCATCCTCATGAAACCAGCTTTCCACCAATGTGTCGCTTCCGACGGTTGTGTAATTCAATTCATAATTTTTAAATAGGCTCAAGAAATTTAAATAATTTTACAGTCAACGATGCAATCAAAATTTCATTGCCTCATCAGGACTGGATCCGTCAGCTAAAAAATAATGGATAATTCAAAAAATGAAAGGGAAACAATAATGATTTTGTTGGGAGTAATGCCATTTTTTATTAGGAACAAAAACTTAATAAAACCTAATATTAAATAATAATTGTGGCTGAAGATTTAACGCTATTTATTTTTGCAAGAGTAAATTGAGCAAAAACTTGAGTACCGGAGAAAATAAATTTCGACAATTTTAACTGTTCCGGCAGGTGCTGCAGTTTCCACAATCGAATTATTGAAATTTCAAATGCAAATTCTTATTAAATAATCATTAAGTTATTTTCAAATTTTCACACAGAGAAATTGGATATTTATTTATAGTGTTTCACAAATTAAATTTAAATTACAAATTCTAAAAAAATGTGAAAAAGGTATGGCCGTGTTCGCACCACAGGTTCGGGACTTTTTCGGGAGGAACTTGTGAGCTTTGGCCGCTCGGCCGCCACCTCCTCCAATGCTCGTTTCTTGCGCTCTTGAGTCTTCTTGAGCATTGGAGAGGCGACGGGCGACCTCAGCCCCCAAGACTTCCACATGCGGGGACAGCATGGGGGAGGGAGTGGGAGGGCATTGGCAATGTGACCTGTGATGTTAGGCGACCACACCCGGACATCAACAACCCCAATTCTCTTTCTAGCCATTCATACACAAAAAACGTGGTCGTATTTGATGCCCATTTATATTTTAATTCTCCTTAATTTGGAGTTAATTCTTTTGCAACCTGTTCTGGATTAATTTTTGAGTTAATAGTTTTTCGCTTCAATAGATTTGAAACTTTCAACCAGAGGAATATATATTTAAATTAAAAAACGTGTTTGAAATTTCTGCTCAGGACTATTTTTGCAATCAGAGAATGGCGGTAGACCATTGAGGGTCTCTGGGTCTCATGCAACTATGAAAGTTAGATTCCATTGTTGAATGCCAAATTTGAAAAAAATTCTTGGGTCGTATCTCAAAATTTAAAAAGAACGCCACCTTTGGGAACGACGAACGGCACACCGGTGGAAAGCTTGTTTCACGAGGATGCCGAAAATGCCCAGGTTTTTGTGATTTGGTGATCTCTGACCTGAGAAAAATGTCAGGAAGCACAACGCCTCAAAATAAGTATTTGTGCCAGCAAATACCATTGTTGCCTTAATGGATGAAAATTAATTCTATTTGAGTTTATAAGTTTGTTTTTTAACTCCTGTTTTACTCCATTATTCTTAATTGGAAATAAATTTTTAATTAAAATAGTAAAAAATAATTAATATAGGCAACACGCTCGACAAACGTGTCCAGCAGGTTGCCTATTTCTATATAAAATGTATTTTTTTTTAATTTCAGGTGGTTGACACCCCTCAGGAAATCCCCTTCCTCAACATCCTGCAACACCTGCTCAGCGTCGACCCCAAAGACCCCTCGAGTGACATTATTTGGGACACGGCCGAGACCCTGGTCTACCGGGCGACCCTGCTTGAGTCCCGCGAGGAGGCGAGCCGCCTCCTGGGGGCGCATTCGCGGAGCCAGCCCAAGTTGACCTCTGGAGATCGGTCGTGTTTCTGCAACTGCCACCGGGAGGGTGATGGGGGCGGCAAGCGGAAGCAGTCGGGGGCCTCGCCCCTGGTGCTGCCTCCAGTGCCAGCGTCCGGAGCCCCGCCGCCTCCTCCTCCGCCTCCACCACCCATGATCGGCGGACCTCCGCCCCCGCCACCGCCCCCGATGGCCAAAGGACCTGCACCGCCGCCCCCACCGCCTCCAATGCTCTCGCCGACGAGCGCCGCTCAGAAGAAAATCACCATGGCTGCTGCAGCAAAAAATTCGCAGCAGGATGGAGGCGGCCCTCCGCCCCCGGGACTGACCGAAGCGGAGGCGGCTGCTTTCAACGCCGTCCGATTGCCTCAGCAAGACACGCCGGTGCCAAAGGCTAAAATGAAGACTTTTAATTGGAATAAAATTCCAAATAGCAAAGTAAGATTAATGCTTTTTAACACTATTCATCGTCAATAATTAAAAAATGTAATATTAAAATTAAATATAACGCGATTACAGAAATTGAAAAGGGAGAAAACTTCTGATATGTAGTTATTTGTAATTTACTCCAAAAACTAGTTTCTTTCAAGCACAACTTACACAAATTTATCTTTTTTTTTTAATTTTTATCTCTGTTCAAATCAGGTGGTAGGCAAGAACAATATCTGGTCGATGGTGGCCCAGAGCCATCAGCACTCGCCCATGACAGAAATGGACTGGGCGGAGATGGAGGGACTTTTTTGCCAGCAGGCGACGGCCATCACGACGGCACCGGTGCCCATTTCCAACTCACCGAGATTAGGCTCGTTCAAAGATGACACGCCGAGAAAAGAAAATCTAGAGGTAAAAAAGTCCCTCCTTTTAATGAAATAAAATTATTCAAACAAACCCTCAGATCACCTTCCTGGACGGGAAAAAGAGTCTGAACGTCAACATTTTCCTGAAGCAATTCAAAAGGTGTGCAATTTCGGTAGAAATTTATTAAATTTAAAAACGATTCAGTCCGATTAGCTCTCATGCGGACATCGTCAAGTTGGTGCGCGAGGTGCAGCCACACGACATTGGCGCCGAAAGACTGCGGACACTTTTGCGGCTGCTGCCAGAACTGGACGAGCTGGAGATGCTGACCTCTTTCGACGGCGACAAAAGCAGACTCGGCACCGCCGAGAGCTTCCTCTTGAGACTGGTCCAAGTGCCAAAGTAAGTTGATTGATTCTTAAGTCTTAAAGGCCAGTTTGCGAAATCATTTCAATTCTTGACTCACTAAAATTTTATTTAAAAATTACTTAAATTAATTCTCAGTTACAAATTGCGGATTGAGAGCATGCTGCTGAAGGAAGAGTTCAAGACCAACATGAATTACCTCGAGCCAAGCATATATGCCATGATAGATGCGGGAGAATGTAAGAAGTCTTTTTAAAGTCTAAAAAAAATTAACAAAATGGTTTATTTGCAGTTTTGATGTCACATAGATCGTTGCAGGAAGTGCTTTACATGGTCCTAGTCGCTGGAAATTTCCTCAACTCTGTAAAAATTTTCTTTCATTGTGAGTGAAATTTTAAATGTTAATTTTGTTAGGGTGGGTATGCTGGTAATGCCGCTGGAGTGAAACTCTCGTCGTTGCAAAAACTGACAGACATCCGAGCAAACAAGCCTGGCATGAACTTGCTTCACTTTGTAGCAATGGTGAGTTAATTGTTGTTAATTACTAACAATTAGTATAAAATTGCAACAAATTTCAACAGCAAGCGCAAAAGAAAAATGAAGAGCTGCTACGATTCCCAGACCAACTTACAGTACTCGAGGAAGCCACCAAGTAAGTCCTTCAATTGAAATAATTAAGAATTTTTTTGCGAAATTGCAAATATTTCAGAACTTCCGTGGAGCAGTTGCAAAACGACATCAACACGCTGGACGCCAGAATACAAAAGATCAAAAAGCAAATCGAGTTGCCGAGCACCGAAGTTGAGATCAAAGACCAAATGACTGAATTCCTCCAAGTGAGTTTTGAACTTTTTCAAATATAATTTTGCTTATGTTAACTTCAGTTCGCAGAAGAGGCCATCACGATGTTGAAGCAGCTGATGACGCAGCTGGACTCGGTGAAGAAGGTTCTTTCCGAGTACTTCTGCGAGGACCTCTCGTCCTTCAAGCTGGAGGAGTGCTACAAAATTCTGCACACTTTCTGCATCAAATTCAAGCAGGCCGTGGCGGAGAACGCGAGAAGGCAGTTGCAGGAGGAACAAGCGGCAGCCAGGAGGAAGCAGAGGGAGGAACAATTGGCGGGGAAGAGAAGGCAACTGCGTAAATATGAACTTTTTAGCTAAAAAGAAAAGTATCTTATAACTCCAGCTTAGTTTTGAACTAAATTATTCCAAAAATTTCTTCTTAAAAAAAGAAAAAATTAAGAAATTAATTGTTTTTTTTCCTTTTTTGAAGTTGCAAGTCAATCCGGTTGTACCATCGACTCGGAGTGCAGCTTGCAGGAGTCGCTATTTGGGCTGACGCAGAAGAGGAGTTACTACGACAGCAACAACAAAGTTGGTCAAATCCAAAGTCGGGTAATTTCAATATTTTAAATTTGTTTCAAAATAGGTACGGAAGGTTCCGAACGGTTCGACTTCCACGCAAGGGTTGTCGGAAGAAGAGGTTTCCGTGACAAGTTCGCCAGCAGTTACCAGGAGAAGGACAGGTTCTTTCTCAGGGCCAAGTGGAGAGCCCGTTCCACAGCCACAAAACCCATTGGGCCAAGAGACTTATTCTCCAGGTAAAAAGAACATGATTTTATTTTCTAAATTTACAGAAAAGCAAATTATGTTTCATTAATGAAATTGGCTTCTTTCAGAAAAAAAATCCTTTTTTTGGCTACTGTTTTAACGGAAGCCAGAAATTCTATAAAAGCAATGATACAAAAATTAAATCACAAATATTATGTTTTATTGTTGCTTAAATTGTAACTTTGCGTTAATTCTTTATTTCTGATGAATTTTGTATTAATTTTTGTATGAGAAATTGGAAGACACGAATAAATCATTTTTTTTCTCATTCTAGACGTGACTCCAAACGGAACACTGAGACGAAGAAGAAGCCGAGTACCATCAGAAGAGGATGACTCGAGTCTGATGGACTTCCTCAGGGCGTCTGGCCAACAAGCGGCCGCCGCCGCGGAATCCCTCAAGGACAGAAAGTCCTGGGGAAGCTTAGGTACGAAATTTCAGCCGATATGAAATAAAAATATTAATATTTGAATTTTCTAAAGATCGATCTTGGGCGAGACGAGCGCGCGGCAGCGGACGAAAGCGGCCGGACCTGCTGAGCGCCGACTTCAGCGGCGACCGCGAGCGGCCGTGCAGCCCGTCGATGGCCGCCGACCCGATCGCGGCCAACACGCGGCCTCCAGTCCTTCCTAGTGGTTTAACGCCGACTGACGACGTAGAGGGTAAACCAAGGTGCGTCATCGCAAGGTATCTATATTGCATTTTTTCTATCCCTCGGCCGTGTGTGGCATGCAGTGGAGAGAGGATCACGAATTAAACACGCCCGTGTACATAAGTAACGTTGAAATATAAATTAAGTTAAGTAAGAACAGTATAAAGGAGGATATTATGACGAGACATGTACAGATTAAAATATATATTTTAATTAATATAATTGAGAATATAGCATGTTTAGGGCTTGCCAGATATAAAAATTTTAGGATTTTTTTAAGTGTATGCAATGAACATTAAACCAATCGATTCAATGTAATGTTTTTAAATTCAGTCCACTTTGAAGTCTTTGGAGATATGAATTTTTAGGATTTAGATATTTTACAAATTTTTTTGGAGATGAATCGTGGGGTTAATATCATTTTTAAATTAAATTCAGTCCAGTTTATGGACACACCTAGCAAAGTTTAAATAAATAAATTGAAAAAATTCAAGCACTACATTATAAATTTAAAATTTATGTCAAAATTTAAAACTAATTCAATAATCCCAAACCAAAAGGCACGGATGTTTCCTTTCCTGTAAATAAAAATTTGCACATTGGGTTTTGTGTTGCGATTTTTTTTCTCTTTAAACTTTTCCTTGATTTGTAATTACTTTTTGCGAGCAGAATTATTTAAGCCGTTGCAAAATTACCTTCTTCATCGCAGGGCATGGAGGCAAAAGATCGAAGCGTGGTTGATAGACAGCGAGAAGCGCGAGAAGGAGGAGAAATTGACCGAAGAGCAGCGGCGAAGACGGAGGCCGCCGGCGATGAACCGACGCTCCACAGCCGAAACGTCCACCGAGTCGGCGGAAGGCGAAAACAGGAACGGGTCGAGCATTCTGGACACTTTGCCCGAGGAGAAGCAGACGGGCACCTACCGCAGGGTTTACTCGGACTGGAAACCCACCATTGAAAAGACGGACGTCGTCGGCGCCATGGAGGCCATTGAAGGTCAGTCATTAATTTAAGCAAAAACCCTAAAATAACCTGTTGGAAAAATTACTAACAAAAATAATTGACAGTGAAAATACAAAAATTCCCATAATCTGTCAAAGTTCATCATTAAAAATTGTAAAAATTAAGAAAAATTCTAATTCTAAGTTTTGTTAAAAAAATTAAATATCAATTTTTATAGTTTTTTCTAGACACTTCATATTATTTAATGAATTAATTTAACTTAAAATATATATATTTAAAAGAATAAGATTTTAATTATATGCTTTTCTTCACCACGTTAAAATTATTAAATTAATTGAATTCTATACTTTTTAATATAAATCGTATAACTTTCAGAAGCACAACAACCATCCGTGGGCATTACGCTGAAGGACAAGTCGGCGTGGCGCAAGTCCAACTTGAACAGCAGCACCGACGAGCCCGACGTCAACACTCGGATGCTGCGGCGTTTGCGTTCGAGGACGCACCTTGACACCCCGGCAGACGACGCCGACAGCTCAACCAAAGAATCTCAAGCGGTACAAAAACAACCTAAATTACATTTATTAATTTACATTTTGAAATGAAATTTCTGTAGGACTCGAACGGCCTAATCGAGTCACTTGGACGCAAGAGCCAGCAGGAGGATAAGTTGACCCTGTACCTGAAAAACCCTTCGAGCACGCCGGAAGCGCCCAGAAGGACTAGGGAGAATGCTCGACCAACCACTCTCTACATCCAACAAAGGTATTTTATAATTTTTTATTGGTTTCTATTAAATTTCTGACAAAAAAAAAATGAAATTGTAGTGAAACGTTTTTTAAGAAACTTCTTTTTAAAATATTTCATTTAAAGAATTGTGATTAATTAACTGATAAGTGGTCAGCGACGGTAAAAATCTACCAAGTTTTACTTAAATTTACTTCATCTGAGGATAAGGAATTTGTTTAATTTCATTTCGTCAAAAAATACTTGAATTAAAAAGTTGAAATATTATTTGTTCTGATGAATGTCTTTTATTACTCGAATTTACATTTGATGGAAAATAATCAATTGTTTCCCATTGTTTTAATTTAAAGACTTAATAATTAATTTTGGAAAAACCCAATTTTCTTCTAAAATATTACATTAGATTTTTTGCTTGAGAAGAGTACTTTTTTTAACACTTCATCTTTTTTTTAATACATAAAATATTAGAATCAATTAAAAATATTGAAAAAAATTCTTTTCCCGCGCGTTATTATAAAGCTTTTATCTATTTTGCAAAAAAAAATCAGTTTTTAAAATATTCAACAATAAAATTTAAAACTTTAAATACTCTTTCAGTGCGGCGCCTTCAACGCCGAGTCCAAGCACGACGGCAACAAGTTCGTTGCCATACTACGAGACTGACTTTGGTGCCAACACGGTGAACACGAGCACCAGGTACGTGAAGAAGTCGGACCTGCCGCCGGTGGACGTGCTGGCTTCGCCGCTGCCCAACCGAAGGCTGCTCAACCATCACAACGCCGGCGGCTCGCTGGACCGCAAGTTGCTGCGGGACGCGATGGCCGAGTACCGGATCCCGTCGAGTCCGCTGCAGAGGCGCAAGGAGTACCCTTTGATCGAGCGCGAGGAGGCGCCGCCCTGCGACCGTCTCGCCCACATGCTCAAGGACAACGCCGACGACGTCGAGATGGGCGACGGCAGCAAGTTCGACCGCTTCTCGCCGGCGCGCCGCACCACCCGCCGCCCGCTCACCCGCACCGGCACCAAGGACGGCGACCTCCTGCCCAAGGACGAGCCTGTTGTCAAGATAGAGGAGCCCCCGGTCGAGCCCAAGAAGGTCGAGGTCGTCCCAAAACTGGAAAAGCAGAAGGCCGTCGAGTCGCCTCTGCCGGACAAGACCGCCGAGCCCTCCTGGCCCTCTAAACCCAGCACCGGCATCAACAGGTACCAATTTATAAAAAAAAATGAATTTTTTGTAATATATTTATAAAGAAAACAAAAATCCAAAAGAGAAAATGATAAAGATTTATGCAAATTTAAAAAACTAAAAAATGAAACAATATTCTTAAATTTAAAAAAAAAAAAAAATTGCAAAAGAAATTTGTGAAATCTGCTTTTTAATTGAATATATATTTGATTTTTTTTTTAAATTTCCAATGATGAAATTTAAATATTCTGAATAAAAACGCTCTTGAAAACTAGGCTTTAAAATTTATTTATTTTATCTCGTTTTATCTCTAAAATCTGCAGTCAATATTGATAAAAAAAATATGCCATTTTTAAGCAATTAATTTTTTATTTAAATTCTTATATCTTGGATATTAAAATTTAAACGAAGCAATAACACTGATAATAAAATACAAATAAGTTTAAGATTTTAGATGTATTTGTTGGAAAAAAAACTCTTCAAATTTCAAAAATAAAAAAATAACTTAAAAAAAGACAGAGTCATCGATTTATGATTTTTTTTTTTAATTTTTTTTTCAATTTAAATTTGATGAAAATATAATTAAGCAGAATCATATATGTTAGTGAATCGAAATTCTAAATGAAGGGATATTTTTTCACATGGTTTATTTTTATTTTTATTGAATTCCAGATCTTTGGCCGAGATGCTGACGAAAACAGACGAGCCGCAGCTGCGTCGAAGCAGCTCCGAGTCGATCAAGCGTCCAGCATTTGTGTCGAGCAGGACGCCGAGGCCCAAGACCATCGTCGAGCAGCCCAAGAGCAGCTCGTTGGTGCAACGGACGCAGTCCCTCGGGAGGTCTTCGGCGGCGGCCAGCAAGGAGCAGGACAAGCCGCGGCTGGTGCGGCAACTGTCGCGGACGCCGAGCCAGAACCTGCGCAACCTGGACGAGCGGACCAACTCGATCAGCAGTCTGCGCAGCTCCAAGAGCTCCATCGCCAGCAACCCTGCCCCTGCAACCACCACATCAACCACAAAGCCCGTGTGGGTCAAGCAGGACGCGAGCAACACCCCCGCCAGAATCAGGACGGCCGTCAAGGAAGTGCCTCTCGTCAAGAAGAACAACAACCCTGCTGAAGTTGTCCGGAAGATTTCCGGTGAATCGCGTTTCGGGTACAAACCGGTGACCAACTTGACCAGCTCGTCGCAGGTCAAAAGGTCGGCCAGCATGGCATCCAGGCCCAAGAGGAGCGACAGCATCAGTTCCAAGGAGAACGTCATCAGCAGCCCCAAGAGTGTCCAGGCGCCGGTCGGCACCAACAAACTGGCCCGCAACAAACCGACCAGTCTGAGTTTCATGCGTCCGACGGCGGCCAGCACCAGCAAGGAGACGAGTCAGGGGGCGGCGGGGGCCGCGCCCAACGAGCCGCAGAGCCCCTCGGGGGTCGCGTTCGGCTCCAGCCGCATCCACAGACTGGCCATGAAGCCCGTCGCACAGGCCAAGTGGACTTGACACTATTTATTTTTTAACTTGCAGAATTTTTTTTAATTAAAAATATATGTAATTCACTTTTTCGTAAAATTGCAGTTTTTACGTAAACACACCACCCATGTGAAGAGGAAAAAAGATGTTTTGTCGGTTTTATTTACGTCTTTAATGTGTGACTGTGAGAAACTGTGAAAAATGTGTTAATCAAATGCCTAAATAAAATAATGTGTTTAAGAAAAAAATGCACAAAAATTTTTGTTTTATTAGATTGAAAAATTATGTAGATAATGATTTTATTAAAAAGAATTGGTATTACAAATTTAGTTTATTGCAAACCAAAATGATAATAAGAAGTTGCAAGTAAGGGGTTTGCATATGATTATACTGACTGATTATTTAATTGCTTAATAAATTATTAATGGGTAATTGTTCAGTAATTTCTATTGTGTAAATTATTATGATTAATTTGTAATTGTTTAAAACAATGCAAGTTGGCTTACACACGGGCTTTATTGTATTCACAACAATTCTGGCTGGATAGGGTAAATTCACTGGCTCAAAATTGTCCGTATAGTGTCACTTAAAATCAACAAATGGGAGCGGTGTTCCCTGGGTAGGCCGGCAGGCTGCCCTGGAAACGTCCTTGCTGGGAACCCGGACGGCTCCCTGCAGGTCGGCGGCGGCTCTCGGCGCGGCCGGGGCCCACGGCGTGCGGGTCTCTGGCGGCGGACGTTCGGACGCCTTCGTCCGAGCGCTCGCTGGCGGCGTGCCACGTCGGCGCCCGATTCCTCGGACAGGAAGGAGCTGGGGACAAAAACAATGGGTCACTCGGCTGTACTTCCGTCTCACGTAGTGGTTTGACCTTTTGGCCAAAAGAAGGCCTCAGGGAGAAACAATTGTAATTTCTCTTACCTGGCAAAACTGCTCCGTACGGCTTCGGACGGCTCGGCCACACCCCGGACAGTACGATGGACACAGGCGTGCCGCTCGAGGGGCTCGGGACGCGGTCGGCCTTCCGGCTGTCCTCGGACGAGACAGCGTCGGGACAAAGGCAGCGGTCGGGGCCTTGGGACGGCTCGGACGAGTGCGAAGGGTTCGGACGGGTGTCCGGAACTGCACTGGAAGTCCAGGTGTCCTGCGAACAAAGAGCAAAGTGTTGAATGCTCTCCGTCAGCTGGCTCGAGTGTCGAAGCTTTACCTCTGATTTCTCTGAGGTCAGTCAGCCTTCTGCATCGAGCCAGCGGACGGAGCGCCTTTTATAGCGCGGGCAGCAGCCCTGGGAGGGTCGTGCAAAACCCACCCACCCATTTGATTTACATTGAGAACTTTCTAGATGCATCTAGAAAGTTCTGTGAATCTGCAGTTGAATTCTAAAATGCCTTTATAAATTCCCTTGAAGTGAATTGGAATCCCATGAATTGTACAAGCTAATTCCAATTGAATTTATAATAATTATTTGTAAATTTAAAGCTACTTTAAATTTAAAATAAATGCAAGATTTATTTGTAAGAATTCAACTTAAAACAATTGCCAGAAATCAAAAAAGAATAACTAAAAAGAAAGCCCTTAAAAAATGAATTTAATTGTAAGCCGAAAATTAATTGAATAATAATAATAAAAACAATGAAGTTCTCCGATGACACAGCCACAGTCAAAAAAAACAAATTAAGAGAGGAATAAAATAATTATTCCACACCAGAATCTTATTTAATTATGTGTATTTTTTGCTTTTATGTATTGAATAAAAGTAAGAAATCATTAAAAAAATCCTCCAATGCAAAGGTCAATAGGTTTGTTTGTGGGAAACAACCAGAATCACGCCAAATTACAACAATTAAAATGTCTACCAAATTCATTTTTGAAATTATCAAGCTTCATTTTGTGATTGAATTTTTTGATTCTATTGCATAAATTGTTCAGTAATTAAAATTTTCATTCATTGTTTATAATTGCAATAGGCCAGAAAATTGGGAAAGACGCGATAAATGAAATTTCATATTATTTATCAAAGCAAACAAAAATTGATAAATTGATAATGAGATTTCCGGCAAAGAAATGCAATGTTTTCATAAAACGAGATGCTAAATTTACTGAATTTCATGTTTTTTTAGTTAGTTAAAACAAAGTATATTTTTTGCAAAAAAAATTTCCATTCAAAGTAAAATAACATAGTTGCGAAAAATCACAAGGTCTTGCCTAAAAACGTACACTTTCATATAATGAGTCAATCAAATTGACAAAATTAATTATCTCTCCTGAATAATTACAGATAATACATCAAAATAATTACCTCTTTTGTGGCGTTTGTCAGTCTCATCTGAAGATTTAGCCTCAATTTTCGATGGAAGAATGTCTCGAGAAGATCACACGCATCACAAATTCAACTCATTATCCACTCAAACAACATAAATATTGTTCACCCACTTAAGAGAAAATCAATAAGTTCCACACAATTAGTATAAAAACACGACGCACATGACTTCCAGGCATAAATGCATTAGCATTGGACACATAAAATCATGTTTAATTGTCTGGCTTGCCAAAAAATGTCCCTCCTGTTTCCTGCTCGCCTTATTTCTCCTCCCTCTCCCTCCTTTTCCCTCTGAAATCAGAGTCAGCGCCTCTGCTTGGCTAATCATCGCATTCCAACCAAGAACGTGCCCCAGTTTGCGTTCAAACTTGTTTGTTTTCCTAAATTTCCGCGTCTTCTCCTTCTCTTCTCCTGTCTGCTGAACAATATTGGAGGGACTGGAAAGAAAGGAATTTCCCTTTTTGTGCAGTTAGAATTTTGAAAGTGAATTGTGCTGCGCGTGTTCTTCCTTCCTCTTGAAAAAATACAATACAGTATAATTGAGTATTTATTATCCTTAACTCCAGTGAAACGTTCTTTGTGAAATCTCGTTAAATTTGATTGCATCCGTGATTAATGTGGACATTTTTTTGTACATAAAACTGCCGAAGAAAAAAACCGCCGCCGAACTTCTGAAGAGTCAGCCTTCCAAATTTTGGTGTTGGATGTTTTGTCAGGTGAGTTTCCTGCAAATTTGCGAATCCAGCTATCTTTAAATTTATGTATAATTGCTACGACCTTGGAATTGGTATATTTTCCAATTTTCCTATTTTTAATTGTATAAAAATGTGTCAATAATTTCATATTTATGTGATTGATGCATGAAATTTGCAATATTAATCTTTATACTGTAATGTTCATAAAATACAATTAAAAATTAGCAAATTTTGAAGTATTTGCTGATCTTCAGTATCAATTATCGTAAAATTAAATTATTACATGATAATATAAACCAAAGCACTAACAATTAAAACATTAATTGTATTCATCAACAAAAAATGAGTAGCAATTTAAAAACATTTTAAGCTAGAAATAGCTAATTCATACAAAAATATGTAAAATATTTCAAAGTTCTTATTTTAATTAATCTTGATTTTTTTTCTCAGTAATAACCTGTTTTAAAATTGGAATATCCTCCTTTTATTATTAAAAATACACATAAAATGCGAAAATTATTCAATAATGATCTATAATGTTAAATGTTAATAAACTCGATGAAAAAAAAATAATATGCAACTCTGTACTTGAAAGAGTTTCAGGTTACATAAAATTTTATTCTCGTTTTCCTCTAAAAATCAGAGAGTGCAATAGAAGTTAATGATTGGCCCATAAAATTATTATTATTATTTTCATTAGTGAACACTGAATGGTCTCTTAATTAATTAATCTGGATAAAATATTCATTTTTTGTGGCCGTTGCTGGAACTGATGAGCACCGTGTCCAAAATTTGGACGACGCCCTCGAGCACAGTGAGGTCGGACTGGATGACCTCGGCCTCTCCAATCTATATAAATTAAAAAAATATTTAATTTTAAAATATTTAAATCAATAATTTACCGTGTGACGTCCGAGTTTGTCGACAGAGAAGTACACAGGAGTGTGTTTGGTTTTGATTAAATATTTCAATCCTGGCCGTAGCATTGAAAAGGTCACCATGTGGTCAGCAATGTGACCTTTGATGATCTGAAAAAAGATGAAAGTATCTAAAATTATTTTAATTGCAATTTTAATATTAATTCTTGCTTTCAAAAATAAATAGCATTTTAATAAAAGTTTAACTTCATTAATAAAAAATTCAAATAAATAATTAATTTAATTAATATCAAATAAACTTTAATAAATGCTTGTTTAATTTTTTTTTATTTGAATCCACGATCAAATGCTTTAGCCTTTTAAAAAAAATTATAATGAGGCAAACCTTATGCATAAACTTGCGGTCGGAAGTGTATTGCAGAAGTTTATCCTCCGGGAGCTCCTTGAACGCTTTGTCCGTCGGGGCCATCACCGTCACAGAGCCATTGTGATTCATGGATTTCAGCACTTGACTCAACCCTTTCACGAAATAACTACCGAAAAAATCAATCATTATATAATTAAATTTAATTCTGAAAATTACGAGAAATTTCCCATGGTCCTGAGCATTCCTTCGGCTGACTCGGCCGGCGGTTTCAGCGGCTTGTTGATGATGTGCATGCACGCGTTGCTGCCCCCGAGGTCCTTTTTCTCCAACTTGGCACCCTGGACGCCGAACGAGTTCAATTCCAACTGAACTCGAAGCTTATTCTTGTTGTCCAGCGAACGGACGCTCTAAAATAAAAATAAACGTATTTATGAAATTTCTGATTTTATTCATTTAAAATAATCTTATTTTTTGAGATAAGATTAAAAATATTCTCTTAACTCAAAATAAATCATTTTTTTGTTTATAAAAATCCACATTTTCATTAAAATGTCTAAATTAATAATTATCCTTTCCGTATTTAATTTCATTTTGTTAGAAAAAATAATTATATTTGCAAAAGAAAAAATGATTGTAATAAAAACTGTAATTTACCCTGTCGGCGACCATCGAATCGGAGCGCAGATTTCCCTCAACCACGTGATACATGACAAATTTCCTTGCCTTTTCCTTGTTCTCCTTGAGCTGCTGCAGCTCTTCTTTTGGTAAAGCTATAAAAAATTCGGAAAATTTCACAAATATCCAAAAAATTTAATTCTGCTCACAATACATGGCCGCTTCGCTAGGGGCGAAAAGTGTCATGTTGGGCATTGTTTCCAGAATGTCCGACATCCCAGACGTCCGAAGAACGTGGGAAAATGTGAACAGCTTTTCGTTTTCCGCAATCTGCATTGCACTCATGGCTAAAAACACCAATGTGGACAATTTTTAATAAATTAAAAATTAAATAAATTTTAAATTGAAATTATTTTTGCCAACCTTTTTGGGGAAATATCAAATCATCAATCATGTAGAGCAGACCGTTGGTGCCGATCTGATAGTGATTCCTCATCTTCTGCCCAGAAATGCTCACTCCTTTGCTGTCACAATCAAATTCGAGTTTCTCTTTGCCCAAAGTTCGTTGGTTTGTCTTGGTTGTCACGGCGCTCAAACACGTCGGGTGCGGAATGATGTGGTTCTCCAGAAGAGCTTTTAAATTATAATTTTTTTTTTTTAAACTATTTTTAAATGTTATTGGTCCCACCTTCCTTGATTTCAGGGTTGCTGAGGAGCCGCTCCAATTTGCCCTGACTAAGTTTCTGGAAGGCCTCGTCGGACGGCGCCAAAATCGTGTAGCTCTGCTGCGAGTTCTCGAGCCTCTTCTTGCACTTGGTGCCTTCGAGTGCCTTCGCCAGTTCGCTGAATCTGCCGTCCTGCTCGCAAGACATCAAAAGGTAAGTGCCAGAGTTTTTTCCAACAATTATAATTATAATTATACCGATTCGATCATTTCGGCGATATTTTTTCCCGGCACCACGACGTACGGCTCGAGAATTTTTTCCACTAGATGGACGACTCCGTTTGTCGCTTGCAGATCTTTCCTCAGCAGAAGCACGCAATTGACCGTTTTCATCTAAAATATTAATTTGATTTTTTTTTTCATCATATTCGGAATTAATTCTTACTCCGTTTGTGTATTTGTTGATTCGTAAATCCAGACCATAGAGAGAGGGCAAAACCGTGTCCGAGCCTATGTCGTCGGTGTCCACTCGGTGGCCAATGGCGTGGAGAAGAATGCTTGAATTTTTCTGCCGACTCGGAACCAAGCGCAGCCTTTGATCTCCAGACATTTTCTTCAAATATGTCGATCAAAAAGTGAAATTCAATATCAAGTTTTACAATAGGTTTTTGCCCGAAAAAATATCATTTGTTTATTTATTCACGGAAAAATTAATTTTTACTTTTTTTAGTACAAGGAATGATTAACAATGAGGAATAAACTACTGTGTTAAATTTTGACGAATCAACAGTCAAAAAAAGCTCGCAGTGTTAAAATTAGATCATTTTATTGGCGTTTGCTAAGAATAGGTAGTGCTTGTTAATCGCCATTGCGTGTTCTTCAAAGTTTATTTCATCGATTTGACCCAAGATATTCAGGAGCAAAAAGCTTTACAATTAAAAAGTTTGAAAAAATATTATACTGAAAGCTGAAAAAAAAGCGTTTTCCTTTTGTTTATATGGATTGATTTTTAATTACTTGTTTGAAATTGGTAATAATTGTTTAGAGAAAAATCGCATATTTTTTCAAATTAATTTGGGTTTAATAATTTTGCGATTGCTTAAAGACAAAGTGCTATCAAAATTAAAATAAAAGCAGCTTTCAATTTTCTCAAAATCCTTCTTGGAGAGCTCGAATCCTATGAAAAAAAAAAAAATACTTAAAAAAATAACCACTTCTGGAGTCAAAGATGGAATACTAAAATTTTTTTATATTAAATTTATATTAAAAAACAATAATGACTACAAATCTTCTAAATAGCATTAAAAAACAAATAAAAACATCATTATGAAATTGAACAAAACTTCTTATTTTGCTGTGTTAATTGCCATCATGATTTTACATTATTTGTGAGTCTAATTTTTTTTTATTAATTAGCTTCTAGACTTTTTCAACCTGGAATTTCAATGAATATAAAATTGTTGTCCTTGTCGGGAAGATAATAAATTTTTTGTTGTTTTAAATTTTGTTAATTTTTTCATCATTCTCACCTCAAAGGCTTTGTCGATGGGTGCGAAGAGCGTGAACGGTCCCTCGCGCTTGAACCTGCTGGTGAGGCCGGCCTGCTCGACGAACTCGACGAACTTGGCAGCGCCGTAGTGTTTGGCCGTCTGCAGAACGTCAGCCATCGGGTTCACTTTTCACAAAACACAATCAAGTCGATTACGATTATTATTATTGGCGCGTCTCGAGTTTTGATTTCGGCGAGAGCGCGCGTCGCAAACAAAGGGGCGCGCGCGTCTTTGAGATTTTTTTCTGCATTTTCTGTTTACTTTGGCGGCCAGCGAAGGTTTTATTGCTTCCGCGCGCCTAAGCGGCGTTTGAACCTGCGATTGTTTGCAGCTCGGCATTAGCGCAATTTTACGGCCCGGCATAATTAGCACCCAATTTAAGACCTGATGGATGCGAAAATATTTACTCTTTCTTCGCAACCGCGGCGCCCGAAATAAAATTTGTGATTTTTTTAGAATTTTTATTTTGTTCACCTCCAGTGCAACCGGCCTGACTATCGAGCTGGTGGAATCCTCCGCAGCATTCGTATTTAAGCCTCCTGCAAATAAAAAATAAAAGTCCCTCATTATAATAATTTAGGCCTCTTGTTCGCGCCCACTCACGTTTTCTGGCCACAAATCTGTCTGTTGTTGTGATATTTGCATTCGGTCCAGTATCTCCAGCTCTTGCCCGGAATCTCCTCGACCACGCACGCGTTCGGTCTTGAAAATGTTTAAAAAGCTTTAATATAAAAAAAAAATATTGTTCTTGGAAATTGTAGCATTGTTGTCGACCAGGTGGTCGAGTCACGATTACGAGAGCGGGATCGATTTCTTTCCACTATATTAAAAGTGTTAGTTCACAATTTATGTGCTCGTTATGGTCACAGAGTGCTCCAATTTAACTTGCAAATGGTCACTCGGTATTCGCACAACATTTTAGAGATCAATTGCCTATGACCTAAATTGAAGCGTGTTTGTAAATCACATCGGCTGCGATCAAAAGAAAATCCAATTTGAAAATGGAAAGAAGTTCATTTTCCAGGGAAATGCTAAATATAATTGAAAGGCCTAATTAATACAAAATAATTGATCAAAAATATCATTAAATTAAAAATCTTTTTTAATTTTTGATCAATTTTTGCATCCAAACAAGTTTAAATTATGTATTTTTATTTCAATTTGGGATTAAAAAAAAAACTTTTTAAATCTTACCCTTGCTCCTGTCCCACTTTGAGGTACCACGGAAGCTTCTTCTTTTTGGCCGCTTCGGTGCCGCCAACAATTAATAGTAAGAGCAGCACCAGTGGACACACTCTGCCCAGCCGCGCCATGGTCCTCGACTGACTGATCTCTTCCGCCGGCTGGTCGCTGGAGCTGCCATGTATACGCGGCCCCATAAGTTCACTTTCTAGCTTGGTGGGCGAGCGAGCGCTCATCAACTTTTGTCCACTGTAAAACTCCCATTCAAAGACACCCACGACCACCTTTATGGCGACAAAAATATTGAAATCACTCTTTCTTATTCTAATAAGGAAATTAAATATCTCTGGGAATAAGTTTTATAAAAAAATCATCAAATTTATTCTCATCCCTTCTATTTTTGTATTTTATAATTTCTTCAGCTCACTTGAATGATCAAATTGATCAGGCGTGAGATGCGATTGCTCTATTTCGCGCCGTTCGTAATTGACACTGCAACGAAATTAATGTGACGTGAATCATCTCATGTGAGTTGACCTCGCGCGTCTGATTTTGATATTATCTTTCCTCTCTCGCGCCTCGATGCAACACTCTTCGTGCGACGCCAGGCAAAAAGTGTGTAGCTCCATAAAACAAGCTCTTCTTATTATAAGGGAAGGCCTAAAATGGTAAATGTTCCCTTTTAAACAATTTAAATAAATTCATTATAAACTTCCTTAAGTTAGAAACTTCAATCGGAACTTCAAATACTAAATAATAAAAAATTTGAAAAAATTAAACTGCCATTTCCACCTTTTAGCACTGCCCTTATATTTACGATTTTGAAATCCAATTTTTTTATTTGCCAAGCGCGACGAAATGTGAGTCAGTCGAGTGTAACCTTTCATTATTCATAAAATTTATTTCCTCCTCCAGACGTTGCTTATTTTTTCAATCATCTGCCGCTTCTGCTGTCAGACCATTATTTGCAATTGCGAAATGTGTGTAAGTCTGCTTGAAAGTAAACCTCACAAGAGAGATGAATTGTTTGCTGGGAGGACGCGAAGTAAAATGAAATGACCACAGGTGGGTGGTGCGTTTTGTGTTTGAAATGAGATCATCCTTTCTGTTGTTGGCGGAGTCACACGCGCGCATAATCGTAAATCACGATTGTAAAAACGTCCAATTTTTCAGCACACTTTAATATATGCCCCTCTTTCCAACTTCCAAATAATCATTTTTTAGCTCAGGGATAAACATTTTTTTATTGCAACGAAAGAAGTTTTATATTTAGAGAGATTGATTATGACCTTTATTGCTTTTCAAGTGGAGTGGAAGTATTCATTTTTTTTATCAACAAGCACGGGTTGAATACATAATTCAATTTCTTTCTGCTTACAAGACAAAATTATTTTAACTCATTATCAACGTAATCCGTGGTTTTTCTACTGCATCAAACGTGAGCCACAAAATAAAACTGCAGTATATTTTCGAGCCGAGGAGTGATTGATTAATTCTCTGTGACTAGTCGCTCTTAATCAGCCGATTACTTGTGAGTAAAACAAAAAATATAATATATATCATAAAAACATTTCAACATAAACACGCACACTTCTTGCTAAAGTATTAACGTAATAGATTTTCAAAAAGAAAAAAAATCAACACTATAGACAAAAGAATTGCAGAAATTTGTAACACGTCGTTCTTTTGAACACTAAGTACGCAGGTAATTCGAACAGTGTAATTGTGCTGGCTTTGTACTGCCCCTGTTACTGGTAGGACTGACTATGGATGAAGGCGCCAGGGTTGAGTAGGCCGATCCTCTGCTTCTGTTTGCGCTGCTCGGTCATCTGAACGTCATATTTTCTGTTAGTTAAAGAAAAGCGCAAAAATTGTCGGCTCTGCTCAACCTGATCTTTGAGTTCTGTCAGCTGCTGCGAAAGGTTGATGACCAGGCTCTGGGTCAGGACGAGTTGCTCCTGCAAAGTCCGCAACTCCATCTGCTCCCCCTCGCCCTCGTCTGCCGCCAAAGACATGGCCCGCATCCTCGGGAACCAGTCCAAATCTCGCGCCTTTAGAAATTCTATTTAATTTAGACAAAAATAATTATAAAATCGCGTTTACCTTGACCATGGCGTAGACGTAACTCTCAGGACCAGTGAACTCGGTGGGGTCCTTAACTTTTACCAACACAATGAAGTACAAGTAGTGCCACATGTTGTGTTCACTCTTGGTGTGCTCCTCAAAGCTGACAGTCTTGTTGTCAAAAGCAGATCGATTGAGCCCTAATTTCATCAAAATTTATTTAAATTTTCTTGATAATATAAATTAAGCTCACCGCAAACAAAGCAGGTATTTTTAAGAATCAGCTCCTTTTGCTGTTTCTCACTCCTGAGGTCGGCGAAGGTGTCGATGATGACACCAAAAATTAGGTTCAGGACAATAATGATCACTATGAAGAAGAACAGCAGGTCGTACACCACTCTTGCTACAAAAAGTGTTTCCTAAAATTTTTGGCGAGAATTAGAGGATTTTCAATTTAATTCAAACTTACTTTGCTGCTTGGTGCTCTCAAAATGTCACCAATGCCGCCTCCGTTCCGCAAACCCTGATTCAGGGTGGTCAGGATGCACATGACGAGAGAATCACAGGCACGCTCTTTAAACTCTCCTGAATCTTCAACCGTCGCCACCACTTGATTGGCTAAAAGGCAGTTTTTTTATTATTTAATTTTCAATTTTTTAATTTATAAATAATCCAACCTTCTTTAGAGTAATGATTGACAATTGGCTCGGCTGTGCAGTTCTTTTCATCTGCAGAGCAAGACAGCTCCTCGCTCACAGCATCCGCAAAACCATTTGCTGTTGAATTTAGATAATATTTTTAATATATTTTTTTATATATATATATATATATATATATATATATATATATATATATATATATATATATATATATATATATATATATATATATATATTCTCACATTCAACTTCTCCGTCAACCGTGACCAGGAAGTCGTCTCGGAAGAACATAAATCCAATAATGGAAAACATGTAGACCAAAATAAGGGCGAGCACGGCTGTTAAAATGATGGACCTGCCGTTTCTGGTCACCGACCTGATCACATTCAGCAAAGTCTCCTCTCGATAAACAACGTCGAATAGCTTGAAATTTATTTATAAAAATCAGAAATATTAACAAACTTGATTTTAATACCAAAACAGAGTAAAAGAACGGATGCATGAAAAGCGCCAGCACACAAAAAGTCAGGTAAATCAGGTGGTAAATCAACTCAAAATCAGTGGCGATTTGCCTAAAGTTTTTTGTAAAGGTGCCTTGATTGCCCATTATGCTGACTAAATGGATTCCTTTGAGAAACACCTGAAATTTTTTAACTTAAAAATTGTTTAAATGAATAAAAAATTTAAACTGACGGTGATGGTGCCTAGGAGAAGAAGGGTTGGTTCGGGACCTATAGACAAAATCATCCGAACGATTGTGAAAGCGACGAGCGTTTTGACGCTGGCTTGGCGAGGAACAGTGATCACTATTGCAGCCGACACCATCATCACAGCCCACGTCAGGGCAGACCAGTGGGTGCTCACGACTACGGGTTGCAAGAAAACTTATGCAAACGAAGCTATAGGGAAATTAATGAAGGTAGCGCCTTACTTGGAACGTTCTCGTCAAAGGGGTAGAAGAAGGCCACAATGACGTTGATGAAAACGGCGCAGTTGAAAAGCATGGCGCTCCACAGAGACATGTAACTGCTCACCCAAAACAACAAAGGTTGGCCTGAAATAAAAAGAGGAAATTGTTTAAAAAAAAAATTGTAATAATTAAAATAAAAACTGACCCCTCAACTTTTTCTGCCACTTCATCTCATCAAACATGTCCTCTGTCTTCTCGAAAAAGTCTGAAACCTTTGAGCCCTGATCGTCCAACTCGGCAGTGTTGAAAATTCTGGACTTGGTGTCCGAAGTGAGATACTCGCAGGTCTCAGGGATGGGGAACACAATTTGCTCCAGTGTGCGGTCAGATCTCACAATCTATTAAAAATTGTCAGTTTGAGAGGAATTTCAGATAAATTTATGTTTTAAATACTTCAATCTGTGCTGTGTGGGAAGCGTAGTAAGTCAATGCCAGGTTGATTTTGGGATCACTGTTTATCTCGGAAGGTTTCAGCATCGCCGCCAACTCTTTGTTGTGTTGAGCAAGTTGGTGACACAGGATGTAAATGTTGTGACCAACCTTTGCAAAAATATGGTCATTTTTTTAAATTAAAGTTTTAATAATTCCCACCTCTCTCGGAGAAACACCTCCTTCGGTGTCGGAGAGGTCGTCCTCGATGGTGGAAACCTCAACACTGGTTTCTTGGTGGAATGCTCGGCAAGCAACATCAACCTTTTTTAAAAAGAAAAATTTAATTTAATATGTAAAATATCAAAATAAAAAAGTACCAATTGCTTGGGGTTCATGTTGTAAAGAATCCTCTCAGCATTTTCGCTGTCTCCCCTGCTCTCCATGATAGCCAGCAGCAGTTTAGAAGCGTTGTTTTTCAGCTCAAGCACCAGTTCAATATTTTTCTTCCCAAGCGGGTTGATGTCATTTAGAATGAGGGCAGTGATGATGTCCAGTCCGTTCGATTCGTGTGTTGCAATGCAGTTTTGATTGTCATGACATGGACCCTTTGGTTTAAAAATTCAATTTCTTTTCTTTTATTAAAATTTTTTTTTATTTACCTGGCAATATTCAGTTAGTGTTTCCAGCGTTTGGTTGATGAGAGCCACATTTAATTCGTTGATGTAGAGGCCGAGCAGACCCAGGCCGCCTGTGGTGGAGCCGCAGATGCAGTCGAGGAACATCAAAGTCTCCGAGACCAGATTGTAGTTGGTTTTGTTGGTCTGGGTGCGCAGCAGGTTCTGTAGGTCGCGGTTGTGATTTTCGCAGAGGAGCTGCAGGAAGCGCAGAATTGGTTGCATCACAAGCACCTTGGTCGAAAGGTTAGGTTGTTCCTCCTGCTCTCGATGCCGCTCCTGTTTCTCCGCAATCATGTCCTCGATGGCAGATCCGGAGAGGAGCAAAGCACCAGTCTCATCAGCTGTGATTTTTAATTTTAGTTTAATTGAAGAGGATGAAAATTTATAACAAACCTTGCAGATCTATTGAAGCCCTGACCCTGGCCAGAGCGCTTGGTCCCTCCAGCGCCACTTGATTCAATTCCTCCCGAATCTCCTCCGTCAAAACAATGCCATTGGCTCTGCCTGAAATTTACATAATTTAAAATAAATTTGTAAAATTAAATTCAACTTACTCTTTTTCCTCGCAATCTTGTCCAGTTCTTTGCTTTCCTTGTCTTCGTGGGCTTTGGCTGCAATGTCTGAGGTGTTCACAGTCACGGTGGACTTTATCTCTTGTTGGGCGTCTCTCATTTTGTCATAAAACACCTAAAAGTTTTTAATTAATAATTTTTGACAGCTAAAAATTTTATAATAATTACCTTGAAAAAGGATTGGCTGAGGTCTCCTGCCCTCAGCTTATTGTACATGCTCTTCTGAATAATGGAATTTCCTCCCTCCAACATGGCGATGCCCAGTTCGACCGCCTCAACAAAAATTGACGGCGAATGCACCGACTTGATGACCAACTCGACCACAAGGTCCGAGGCGCCCTCTTTGTCCAAGTGGCTCTGAACCTCGTGTAAAGTTCGACCAGCTCGACTCAATATTTTTGCTGTTTTTAAACATTTCAAAAATTCTGCAGAGTTTCGTAAAATTATCGCACCTCCTGGCCCGTGTGTGATCACAGGCATAGGCCCTCGCACACTTATATCTACATTCTCCTTTTTCTGAATGAAGTTCCTCCCAAAATATCGCATCAGCAGATGATTTCGCAACACATCTCCCTGGAATTCAAAACTTATTAAAATTTCACACTTGATGAATTTTTAATTATAAAAAAGTACAATTAAGGCGCGCATGCAACACATCACAGCTACTTTAAGCATACAAGAAATTTTTGTCAAGGCGCTAAGGTACATCGATTAAAATTTTCTGCGTGTTTTTTTCTAATCTATTTGAATAACGTGTGTGGAGGAGGAACGGGGGAAGGTTTTTTTAGTTGACTATGTACTTCTGCTTTTTATTTCACATCTATAGGTTTTCCTACCCTGATTTTGTCTTCCAATTCTTCGACTGTAAGAATTTCGGCCTGGGGAAAGCATTCGGAACAAACCAGCACCTTTGTCAATATTTTATGCAATTTCAGATGGTTTTCAATATCAAATTAATAAAGCAAAAGCCAGTAATAAGCAAAATGCACCGCCAAAGCTGAAAGTTTTATGCCCGAAATTCGCAGCTGCTAATGATTCGAGTTTCAAAATAATAATTATAACGTGTCTTTGAGATGCAAAAAAATTAATATTCAAAAATCAGGTTATTATGTATTTCATGCAGCAATTTCTTATTTAAAGGTAAAATATTTAACTCGTCATTGACCTGCTCTCAATCCTAATTGTTTGCTATTTAACCATTGTAAAAATTTATCAAGATTTTAACAAATTCTCTTCATAAAATTAAAAAAAAAAAAAATCCAACAAAAATTTTATTTTTTAAAGTGTTACCTTTTCTTTGTACTCGTTGTCGATGGCCATCATTTCACGCAAAGTTCGCAAAACCTTGACGCACAGTTTCTCCTCCTTTTCCTCGAGCAATTTTTCCGTGTGTTTGATCAGTCTGAATTTAAACATAAATTGATTTATTTAAAATTTAAATATTTTTCAATAAATATACCGTCTAATGAATCCGCCATTCTCACAGCGTTTTCGAGCCTCAGTGTTTGGGGGGAAGAGCAGTTCAGGTCTGTAGAGGATGTCGACTAGCAGCGACAACTCAGACTGAACCAGAGGTTCTAATTTGTCTTCCAACAAAGAGACTATGTCGTGGAGTCCTTCAATTATGCTTCTGTCTAGGCGCATTAACTGAAAGGGAGAGACTTGTCAGGAATAAATTTCAAACCCGAAAAAAAATCAGGCATCAAAGCGTATTTTTATAAATGCAAAATCAGTAAATAGCAAATTGTATTAATTGTATAGAAAAGTTGTAAATCTGAAAGTGGAGAGAATGAAACTTACAGTGTTAGTGCATGCATCAGGAGAAGAAATTAAGACTTCGTCGTTTTCGTTAATGCTTTGCAATGAGTGGCACTCATTAGACTAAAAAACAAGCCAACATGCAGCAAGAGTGTTAAACAAAATAAATAAAAAGGAAAAAATGCAAACCCAAAAACTGAAAACTGTCGAGTGAGAAAATGCACGCAGTGTGTCCGAGGAAAAAAATACACTTACTACCTGCGACTGCGATCGTTCGATCTTGCTCGGATTTTTTGACACGTTTTTCCACCGGGCTGTGTGCCTGGACATGGTTTTCTTGCTGAACATGATGTGCACTTTATTCTCCAGCTCCGTCGGGATGGCGATTGCACGAGTTTTTGCTGAAATTAACATTTCGTCGATTTATTTTTACAAAATAAATTTAATTTTGAAAACTCACCAACATCGGAAAGGGTTTTGATGCAGTTCTCAACGTTGAATCTTTGCGCTAGCGAGAGCCAACTGCTCTGAGAAACGTTGATTGCTGACTGCAGCAGTTGAACAAAAATGGGCTGTCTGGTCTAGAATTTCCGAATCCAGCGTCAGATTAACGAATAAATTAAAAGCATATAAATTTGCAGAGGGCAGAATGGTTCACACAAATTTTGAAAAAGGGAATTTCGGTAGGGACATGTAACCAAAGGTCAAGTTAAAACATCAGTAGAGGTCATTAGAGACACGTGCACACCAACAAAGCCAAGCAACCATATACGAAGGTCTAACAATTAAAAGTTTTTTTCTAACAAAATTAATTTTTTTTAATGCGAGGTTAAGTGAATTTGCGTTTCGCAAATGATGTAAATACTCACTTTACTGTGCGCTTTGTATGCGTGCTGGCTCCAAAACATAGCGGCCTCGCGCAGTTGTTTCTAAACCCCAATGAAAAATCAACAACACATGCAACAAGAGACATGAGAGACAGCATTGGACAGCAGCCGTGTGTTCAAACTGTATTCAATCTACATGCCCACGGCAGCAGCCTCTGTTTATGGAGGGACATTCTGCCGCCGATCAAAATTAAAGAAAGCACATGTTGCTCTACGAATTATTTATGAGATTAAATTAATTAATTAATTAATGTGTGTAAATTGTTCTCTAAACAAGCAGCTTTTCTACTAAAGTTAGTCTGAATAGTTCTAAATTGTTAATCTAATTTGATTAAAAATGATTTCTAATATGATGTGCCAGAAATTACTAAGAGTCACATAATATCAATATTTAAAACACAATGAAAAAGTAGCAATAAGACCGCAAGCAAGTTTGAAATTCCAAAGTTGTATGATTGATAATTCAAATTAAGTATTAAGTTTATGTTTCAAACACAAAATTTCAATCTCCTTGGTCTTTAAACTATTAAATGAACACGACAGGATCAACAGAAGAAAATTAGGTCAATAACAATCAGATGTTAAGAAATTATGGCAGCGAAATTGAAAATTGGCGAGAATAGATTTCATTCTGGTGGAATAGATGATTTATGGATCAAAATGCCATGCTGCCAGCTGACTAGACTCTTTTTTTTACTAAAATAGCAAAAGGCGCACCTGCACTGTGGTACTCTGGTCTGAGAAAGGACTATTGAAGAAGGTACTAATGATGTTCATGACACTGTTGGCCACGTAATTCTTCAACGCCGTGTCCAACTCAGAATCGTCCAGCTCGGCGACCTGGCCCATGTCCACAAGGAAACTACGTTCGAACAAACTCCACATGTGGTTCGAGGTATAGATCTCTTTCATTTCAACCTCTGTGTCGATGTAGCAGTGGTTCAAAAAGTTGATGTATGAATCTTTAACCTGATAATAAATTAAGTAAAAATTAACAATACTGGACTTGAATGTATTCAAAAACGTACTTCGGGAATGCAGTCTTGATGGCACACCATGGTGACAATATCATCCAAAGGCAGCAAACTGTGGCATTTAATCTCAGTGTACACATTTTTTCCCATTGTGCAACAGGCTAAAAGTTTAACCAGCTCCACATGATACCTGGGAATATTTTCATTAATCACTTTAAATTTAGAGGATCAACTCGAATTTACTTCAAAGCGCTGCTTTCGTCCATTCGGTGCCGCTCGGAGCGCATCATATCAATGAACTGATTAAATGAGGACTTGTCGTTGTAGAAAATCAGAACATCCTCTCCAGCATTCACCAACTAAATAAATTATATGAAAATTTAATTTCACACCAAAAACTTAAATGTGAAATTTTACCTCTTGCATGACCATATCCTGGCACTTTCTTATAAATTGGTTCTCCGCTTTGACAATGGTTTGCAAGAATTTCAAATACTGCACATGTTTTCCATGTGTTTCAATGCAGTGCACAAAATGCTGGATGACTTTTTCGTTGACTTCATTGCACAGGGACGAGTTGTCCTGGAATATGCTGCACACGGTCTCCGCCTCTAAAATCTACAAAATTCAAATGAAAAAAAGTAGCAAAATTAATTTGGGTAAAATTGTACTCCTGGATTTAAGAAAAGATCCAGTTGCTTGTGGAGCAGCGATTGGTTCTGTTGGTTCCCTAGGCAAAAGTTCTGCAGAAATTCGTGGGCAAGACGCATCAGTTCATTCATCCGAACGTCCTCCTTCTTGTCGTAGGGGATTTGCAAGAGATCGAGCACAACTGTGTGAACACCGACGTTCCTTAACAGTCTCTGCTCATGTTTCCTTGGCTTAATAGCATCTCCAGGCCCAACTTGCGTGCAAAGTTTATTCATCCTTCTCAAAATCTTCAAGTATAATTTAAATTAAAACCGAATAAAATTAAAATAATTTTTTTCTACTTGTTGCATTTTCTTGTATTCCTCAGTCTGATCTTGGTGCAGCAAGGGACCAATGTCAAGGTCAATGGCTGACCCCTGCTTGTCATAGGCAGTTAGCATGGTAGGTGTCTTTTTAACCGGTTCTTTGACTTCCTCCCTGGTTTCGTCTCCATCATCATCTTTCCCGTTCTTCTTTTTTCCGTGCTCGTCAGCACTCCTTGCTTTGTAGACCTATATAAAGTAAAATTATGTCAAATTCTTTCAAATAAGGTTGTTTTTAAAAGCGCTCACCCAGAGCTCAGACTTCTCAACGGACTGACGGAGAACATCAAGATCCGCCTTGATTTGTTTGTAGGACTCGACGTCGCTGTCCGACACCAGAAGCTGGACTTGTTTGAACGCTTGCAGAACCTCTTGTCTCTGGCTGAAGTGTCGGAACAGCAAGTGAAGGGCACCACTCACTAGTGGAGGGTAGTCATGCATGGTCAAGTGCAGCAGCACCCTCAGAAAGGTGCGGCCACCCTGGCCGTCCAAATCGAGCGCCGCACATTCCTCACTGAAATTAAAATTTAAATCTCCCTATGATTGCATTTAAATTACAACTACCTTGACCCGAAAATTCCTTCAGCTTGTGAGCCAATACTGTCCAAATCAATTCCCTTCTGGCCCATGCCCTTATTCTCATTCTCATCAAACTCCCTTCTGAAGATGGAGAGCAGACAGCTGATCCTGTAGTCCAACCTCACATCCAATATGAACTACAAACGTTAAGAAATAATTACAAGTTCATTTTTATTAATATTAAATTATTTTCTGTACCTGGAGTATTTCGATGATCTTGAGCTTGGTGTCCATGATGAGCGGGTACTCCTTCTTCAGCTGGGAGGGCGTCTTCTGGACAGCTACGGGTATAACAGATCTACCAAGTCCTGCCGCCCCAAGAGTCAAGCTCGTCATGACGGCCCCCATGTCCCCGATAGAACGCAAAACACCCCCTTCGGCTGCAGCGACAGCAAACAAAAAGAGACAGAAAACCAAACAAAATGTCAAAGGCGCATGCAAAATAAGGCAAATAATAATAATATTAATACAATCATAAAATTGTTAATAACCGCAAAGAAAGTTATGAAAATAATAAATTAATTCGTTCACAATAACTTATTAAATAAAAAAATTAATATAAAACACATAAAAAATAAACTGGCTGAAACTTTAATCAGGCAGTGCAGGAAAACATTGAAAGCGCCCCAATCCCTACCTTCAGAGTCCTCTTCTGTTTGCTCAGCTTTTGGAACAAACATGCAGAAACTGCATCATTCAATGTTCCCAGAGTTATTTTTGTGTGTGTATCAAACTCAAAGCAATTCATTAAAAGCCTGAAGCTAATTAAAGTTTCCAAGGATCTGCACTTTCAGTCTCAACGCTGGCAGACATAAACCCCCGCTCGATTTTAATTGCAACTCACAATCAATCTCGCCGATCGGAATCTTGCCGTTGACAAACTCGTTCTCCGAAACGCAGTCGAGGATGCTGAGAAGTGTTTTTGTCAACCTCAACAGATCGCTGAAGCTGTAGAATCCAAAGTAGATGAGGTCTCTTGCCAATTTTACCACCTGGTTTTGTCAATTGTGAATTTAAAACTTGGTCCTCTTTTAATTTTTACCTCAAACGTTAGTTTATTTTGGTCTTGGTCGGCAAAACTCCACATTTTGGCCACAACATTGCACAAGTAATCCTCAACAAACATAATGGTGGAGCTGAACCTTGCCCTCACCGCCTCCTTGTGCTGGTCAGGCGTTTTATTGCTATCATAGCTGCAATTTAGAAACAAAAAATGTCAGTGGTAGAATTTAATTTGTCATGCTCGGTTGTGGTGCAAAAAGGAATAAAAAAGCAACTCTCAATCATCAATAAAACTACTCCAAACTCAAAAGTACGATTAGTGAACAACAAAATTGCACGGCTATAGTTAAAATTCTCAAAAATAAAGACCACACTTTATTTACTCAGATAAGGTGCGCCAAAGGTTGACAGAATTCCCTAAACCAGCAAATGATAAGCGACAAAAGAAAAGTGAATATTTTAGCCCTGAAAAGTGCGTATGTCGAAAACGTCTTACTCAATTATGGACATCTTTGATGGAATCTCAGACCAGAGACGCGCATACTTGACTGGCGTCACTTGCTCTTGAGGGTCTCTGTCCACATGGAGGTGCAGCATGAGCCGACAAAACGAGGCTCTCAGTTCGTAGAACACATTTTCGTCAGCCATGCATCTAATATAAAATTGAATTTTAGTTTCTTAAATTGATTTTTCTTTTTAAATTTTACTTTAAAATCAGATCAATGTCGAGATGTGGTGAGAGATTATTCAGGGCAAGGTACTGTCTATTTAGGCACATGTTGGAAAAGAGGTCCAGCTGGTGACGGTAGTAGTCCAGGACTGCTGCACAATCGACACCTTTGATTGTGGGTCTGTCCTTCTTTGAAAGTTCAGTCAACTGCATAGAGTACTGAAATAAAAAAGATTACAAAATTAAACTAAAATATTAATATCTGTCTTACTTTCTGATTGCTCCACATGAGAGACACTTCCCTAACTTTGTTTTCTTGAATTGAACCGTCGGGCAACTCGATTGCTTTAACCACAGGTTCCATTCTGAAAATTTCAATTTAGTTAAATCCAGATTAAGTTTTGCAGAATTTACTTTGTTTCAATGAGTATGTCGGAGTTTTTGGAGCTGAGAACGCTTTTGCAGATTAGCTCCTGGGTGACAGCAATGGCTTTTTTGTTGGAAATGCACAAGTCGGAGAGGTAATCGAGGAAGCGGGACTGCCAGTTGGTCATGTTTTTCCTCACAAGACCGACAAAGGTCTCAATTTCAGCAGCAGTAATGTGTTTCTCCAGCAGCTTCCTATTATTGTGCAGAAGGGCAGTGATGGTGTCCTCGGCCAGAATGTCGTAGCCAATTTGCTTTTGCATGAAGCCAAAGTGCTTTGCTATGTATTCCTAAAAATGAAAATTATTTTAATTAAAAACAAATTAGTTGATTTCCTTTCATACTTGATTTTTTCTGTAGTCCTGCTGGCTGAGCCTCAAAATACGGTAGCAGAGTCTGAAGATGTTTTTGTAAGCAGCATGTCGAGGGTCGTTCAGTTCCTCAATCTTCAGAAAGGGACCCTCGCCATCGGTGCTCTCGAGAAAGGGCGCCTGCAGTATTTTGAAGAGCTGCTTCAAAATGTATTGCTCTCTCAGCAGTTTCTGCCTGTCTCTGTTTGGGTTGCTCACAACCAGGTCCAGGGCCTCCGCCTTGTTCTGCTCATTCTCTTGATTGGCAATAAAGTAGACCACGTCTTGCAACAGACTGGTCACCGCCCTTCTCTCGTTGTGTGAAATGTTGCCCTTCTCGAGCCGAGACGAAATCGTGGCCAGAACTTTGCAAGCGTCATTGGCAAAGTCCAAATCTCTCACCTCCATGGGTGGAACAGAAATCAGGGCAAAGGCCTCTTTATCCTCCTTTATTTGAGCACAGCCAATCTGCAGAGGCAAAAAATTAATATTATTAGTATTATTGTTTTATTTATTATTTAAATAGTTTTTACTTTTGACATGACTGGTTTCTCCTCTTCCTTGTCAATGGGAATGGAAGTGCTGTGTACCCAGGAGTCTGTGCAAAGGTGATGAAGACGGACATAGGATGATTGTGGCACTAAAGAGTCCCCACGGGTTAGGGTGGTGTGGTCCAATTCAAAGAGGGAGGCAATCTCGTTGGAGTTCGGCACTGCCACTAGGTGATACACTGAACCGTCTGGGAAAAATGACCATTATTTTAGAAAAACAAGCTCAGACATGTGAATTGAAGAAATGAACTTTACAAAAGTCAGGAGATAGGGGGGTTTATTTACAGAGTTTGGAGTTTTTGTGAGAATTGGGTGATTTTATTTTTTTACCTGCTTTCACTCCAACTTCTGAACAAAAAATTTAAATTAAAATGTTATAGTAGTTAATAATATTAGTGTGAATTTTGGCACACTAACCTCCCTTCAGTTTGCTCCTCATTTGGTCCAAAATATCATCGTCATCCACCTCGGCTGCCAAGTACCTGCCGGTGGCCAGGTGCTTGAATCTGAACAAAGAGTTCCAATGTCCAGCCCCACCTCTGCATGGATCATGTTGCACAACCTTCAATCAAACCAGGCTTAAAGTAGAGAAAAGATTCACACACTTTAAAGCTTACCTCGACTTCCCACAAAGCTTTGCTGCTGGTGGCCGCCGTAGCCGAAGTACGGCCAGTTGTCCTCAAGAAAACGTGCTGCGCCTTTTTGTACTCGTCCACCGTCAGGAACTTTTCCTGTTCAGCGTGAAAGAGACGCACGACATCTCCACCTTTTAAAATCTCCTCCAGATTTTCTCTGTGCTCCATGAAGAGCGTCACTTTCCAGGAAGTGTTTGAATTGACGACGTTGACCTTAAATTTGTGGACTTATTTTTTGTAATTAATTAAAAATAAATAATACTTCTTTGCAGCCTAAATTATCTGGCAGCTCATAGTTTGCTGCGACGTGGAGCACTTGTTGGCCTGCGTTGACAGGGTTGAGGATCACCTTGTCCCCGACCACAACATTGTCCCCCGTGGTCCGCAATTTGTAGAACGGCATGATGTAAAGCCAAGAGCCCTCATTTCCGTTTGCGTCCAGGTAAACTCTCATCGCGTTTCGCTCCAGCAAGGCGGGCAGGCGTTTGTTGACGGTCAGATACTTGTTTGACTTCAAATGCAGCAGCTGAATTGAAATTTATTAATAAAAGATAAGAAAATTTAAAAATGATCAAAACAAACTTGGATGACGCTCCCGTACTGGACAACGGTTCCTAGTATCTTTTTATTTTCAGATTCGTTCTGCTTCTTTTCAATATCCGCCGCGTGCTGTGAGAAAATAAACAAAGTGGGTATGACTCAACAAGAGGCTCTTCACAGTAAGGAAAACTTACGTGCAAACGTTTGAGCAAAACTGCATCAGTCGATGATGAACTGGCACTCTGCTTTGCCGCTTTCCAAAATTGCTTCTGGGCCGAGTACCGATTCATCGGGCAGATCTTAAAAAGGCAGTCTGGAAATTACAAGAAAAAGAAATTTAAAGATTGCAAAAATAATTGATCAGAAATATTAATTTTGATAAAGTTAAATTTAATTATCTATCTGCAGAAACTTACGGAGCTTAATAATTAATGTACAAATTAAATAGTTTTTAAATTGTTAAACATAAATCGGGTTTTACACATTTTGAAAATTTAATGATTAAATCAGAAGTTTTAGATTTTAATTCAAATTGATTAGGTCAAAAATTTAAAATAGCTCTCATTTGATCTAAATCAGATACTGATGGTCTTAAATTTAGAAAGCAAGAGTCAAACCAATTGCGAAAGACCTCTGATTGATTTGTGAGACGCCGAGTTGACTCTTCATCGAGGACATCTCGAATTAATCCCTGTAACAGTATCTCACGGCAAAGTACACGCGACTGCACTTTTATTGACTCTAATTGCCAATCAGTTATTTCTCGTCTCTCATACACACAATTATACCATCAACATTTTTCACCGAAGGCCACTCACCTCGAAACTTTTTCGGAGGGCACGCCAGGTCTCCGGCGTCAGGGCAAACGACGCATCGGTCGTCGACGAGGCTGCATGCAATAAATTGAAATAAGTACAATAAAAAAGAAAGTTTTTATTTCACCCCAAGGTGCTGAGGAAACCAGAGGCGCTGCCCTCGGCGTACAGGGACACGATGTCCCCGACGTGCAGGAAACTGGCCGCGTTCGAGTCTCCCATTCTGAGACCCGACTCCATTTCTTCTGCTTGATTAGGCGCTGCACTTAATTGTGGTTGGAAATCATTCCTATGCAGATAGCTAGGTCATCACCAGGCTTCACGCTCCTGTCGAAAAATAAATTACTTGGATTAATTCAAGCAAAAATATATTTAAGAGTACGTTAAAAATTTGGGTTACAAGGAAGAGTCCTTAAAAAATCAATTTATATTCTTCATTCTTTTGAAGAGTAATGTAAGAATATGCGCAGAAGGGTTGTGTCAAGAGGGTCTGCATATTATTGGCAGACTTTAAAGGGACACTGCGCTTAAATTAGGATAGGGCGCCATCGAAATTATTTAAATAATGTGTCGTTTTCTTTTTTAATCTTAAAATAAACTTTTAAAACTCAAAAATATATTTGATTTTGTGAAAAAGAAACATTTATTTTCCTGTTAGATATTTATTTAAAATAAAAATGTTAACCGCTCCTATTTGTGTCAGTCTTTACACTTACTCAAGCGTGTACTATTCCCTCCTGATCTAATGAGTAAGAATAACGAGCGTTTATCTCGAGCAATCGAGCTGCAGGCAAACCACGTCTTGCGATCTTTGCGGCTTTTCGTGTCACGGTCCCCGCCAGATCGAGAATAATTGTGATTCGAAAAGCGAAAATACCCCGACCCGTTCGCTTTTTTTGTATTCACCAGTGCAGTATAATAATAATAATAATAACAAGCACAGCATGAATAATGTATATGCAAGAGGGCCTGCGGTGCGCGGCTGCCGAGCAAGCCAATTACTAACCAACGATTTTGCATGCGAAATAAAATAGTGCACGAGCAACAAATTTGAGCAGAGCAACTTCGACAATTGGTTGTAAATTGAGGACCATAAAGAATCATGTAGCTCTTTTGAGATATTGAAAGGAGAGATCTAAATTATTTTGCTGGACGCAAAATGGTCCCTACATCCGTTTTTCATTGATTAAATATTTGGGAATTTCCTTGCTAATAAAACCACGCGACAGGAAATACCACTATCAGCTTCTTTACAGTTGTATTAAAGTAATGTAATAAAATTTTGGAAACATTTTAATAAAATATTTATATGAATTAATTAATTAATTATGTTAATAAAAAGAATTACCATAAGTTTGTCTTCAAATTCAAAAAGATAAATTTAATTTATATTCAACAATAATTGAAGTAAAAACTGCAATGATTGATTCTTGGTGAAAAAAGTTTAAAACAAAAATCAATAAATTAAAGCCAGGAAGGTATTTTGTGTAAAAAAAAAATACATAGAAAATATGAACAGATATAAAATAAATTTACTACAGAAACTTGTTAATTCTTTTTAATTTTTATTGCAATCTGAAGTTTTATTGACATCTTAAACAATTGATAAAATCTGAATTCAATTTCACCCTTATTTATTTAAAAGAATTAGATATATTCTTGATTTTCATATATATTTTTTCTAACGTTGCAATCCGGCTTAAAAAAGAGGTCAAAACTGTGATTTCCCTTCCTTATTTCTGGATAGATGATACCATGCCGAGTCCATAGCGGTGTCAAGGGTGCTTATTACACGAGATACGCACTGTAAACTGAATATGTTTGTGTGTTGCGGTGACATCTCAACAGGTTTTTGAACAAAAAATTCGCGCCGAATAAAAAAAAACATCATCACCGTACGCAAACAAAAGCGATAAAAAAAATCATTCTTTGAGCAATATTATTAAAAAATAAACCGGCTTGCAGAATTTTTGTTATTTTGCAAAACTTTTACTAGTTTTTCAAGCAGAAAAATTTTCTTCGGGCAAAATTTGTGTGATTTTGCTGATTTGTATACAAATTTATAAAAAATAATAATAATAATCCGAGCCAAGAATAAAACAGGAATTAAATTTTGTTAATTTTTTTGGTTATTTTTGTTTGTTTTTGTCTACTCAAATTATAATGTCTTAATCACGATGGGTTTGTTTTGAATTTTGAAACGAGGATTTAACCACTTTACAGTTTCAGGAACAGGGAGGATGGTGTCGGCGCCGAAAGTGTCGGCCGGGCAATGGTGTCAGGGACACGAAAGGATCGAGTTTGGTGCTTACTCGCTTTGGTGGGACGCGTGCTGCGAGCTGTGGCCGACGGTCTCCGGTCGAACGACGGCCGACGGGGGTCTGGCGATGACGAGGACGCTCGCCGACTGCGTGACGGTCTCAAATTCGGCGCCGAACGTGAGTTGGCAACGAGTCAAAAACCATATGGGCCGATTCCCGAGCAAGATCTCTTTCTGCACTCGACGGCACTCGAGACTGGAAGGTTGCCGAGACCCCGCCCCCTTTCCGACCGAGTGACGTCACGCTCTGTGACGTCACGTGGTGCCTCCAGGGGTGGGGGTCGCTCGCTGGAGAGCAAGAAGTTTAAAATTTATCAGCCGCACACTCATGACTGCAAGCTTGCTCCATCTCTTGATAAAACAATATGGATCGATAAAATAAATTGATTAATTTTAATTCATTGATGTAAAATTAATTCTAATTAACTGGGTTTGTCACACACAATCCACAATCCTATGACATCTCGGCCAATCTCAAATTTGGAAAAAAAATGTATAAAAGCAATTTCATGTGAAAATTTTTGCAAATTTTATAACTTAATGCTTGCTCGAGGTGTATTTAACATATTTAAAATTGATCATCCTCTTAAGATTTAATAAAGCACTATTTTTATAATTTTTATTTAATAATTTGCATTGATTCTGTGTTGGTTGAATACATTTAGATCTATTCAGTTTGCAGAACTTTATTTTTGGTTCTTAAATGTATTTAAAATTCTAAATTCAGAAAAAAATATCCACCGCCTCCCCCGGCTAAAATTCAGGCTGAATTTGTTTTTGAGATTTCTCATTTTTATAAACGTTAAATTTTTGACTACTGCTTTTCCTCAGGATCTAAAATGTCCAATAGGCTATCAACAAGTTCAACGACCACTTAGCTGGCGAGGTTCCTGAGGTTCCTCGTCTTGTTTTTATGCCTTCTGTTTGCTGCATTTTCAATTTTTAAATTTATAACTGAAAATTGCCATGGCAAATTTTCAGCATCATAAAGTTCCTCAATACCACACAGATCTGATACAGATTGAATTGTATAGATAGCAAAGGGTTAAAAATAATCGATTAAAAATTTATTTATTATATTATTCATTTAGATTTTAAGCCACATTCAAGATTAATTATTTTTGTAAATTTCAAATTATAATAATGTTGCGTTTTCATTGCAGAAAAATATTATTTCAAAATTCTCTATTCTCCATGTTTTTCGCACAATTTTAGTAAAACCTCTTATAAAATAAGCCCCCTGAATCTGCTTTACACTTAACAACACGAACAAAAAAGGCAAAAAAGACTCGACCTACATAAATTAGAATAGCAATACACACAAGCAAACTAACAACAATTTGGACAAAGATGAAAAGTTCCATTTTTTGCAATATATGTACTTTTCGGGGCAATGATTTATGACAAATGCATTTTCGGGACAATGCATTTTATGGGAAATGAAAAAATTATTTAGGAAAAATATTTTGGGGGAAATATTTTAGGGCAAATAATTTTTGAAACATTGAGGAGGTTTGAAATTAGGGGTAGCCACTGCGCGGAGAGACGAGCAGCTGGGCCGGCGGCCGAGACACGAGAGAATCGTAAACATGAATTTGCTCTCGCCGTTCAAGCACGGATTTGATCAAATTTCGGTGAATTAATCAATAAATTACAAAATTAAGAGGCCAGTTACTCATTATTATGTTTAAAAAGATTTTTGTATTTAAACACTTGCATTCAACTAATAGGGCGCAAAGTACCACTACCGTGGCGCCGTTGTCGTTCGAATGAAGTTTGACGCATGCGCAGAGCGTCTTTGTCAGCGGCCAGCTGGACTCGCAATCAAACCAACGTCGCGAAGGGCTGCGTCGCGGCAGACACTACTTTTATGGTTTCAAGCCGCGAGCCGTCTGCAGACGGAGCGTTTTTGCTGGCCAGGGCCGTGACCTGAGCAACACGAGCTCCCCGCGATGGCCCTCAACCTGTGGGAGAGCAAAGTTCTGCAGCTGATGGCCGCCGGCCTGCTGCTTTTCTACGTGTGGATGGACGTGGCCCTTTACTACCAAGTGCAGGCAAGTATATTTTTTTCTCATATTATGTACACAATTGACGCAGTTTTATGATTTCTCTTCTCGGAGGCGGTTTTGACGGGAAGTCGGTCGATAGCTTTTTTGGTTGAGAGGTTAAAAAAATATATATATAAAAACAGGATGTACTTTTAGGATGAGTTTTATCCTCACGAACGAATCTTCTTTTATATTGTGTACGTTATTGGCTTTGTGTTTAAATTGCAAACGAGAGATCGGCGACGCGCCCACTTTTCGCGTGTCTATTAGCGAAATTCGCCTATGATGTAACGAATCGCGATCACGCACCGGACGCGTGAACCACTCATCTCGCCAATCTTCTCATTGATGGTGACCGATTGAGTCAGTTTCATTGAAAACAATTTAAGAAGGTTCAACTTGTTTTGTTTACAATGAGTGTTTTCTTGCCTTGCATGTAACAAAAAAGAATCGATTAAATTATTTTAAAACATTAAAATAAAAATGTTCGGAATATTTCTGAGGAATGAAATTTGTAAAAATAATTGTCCTTTTATTCCTCAAAATTCAAAACCGCTTTCTAATTAAATTAAAAATATTTGTAAACAATCGATATAGTATTTTATAATTAAAAAAAAATTAAATTGAGCGAGGAAAAAATAATTATCACGAAGAAGTTAATTTTCATTTTTTAAGTTAAAAATATGAAAATTTATTAGGAGAAAGCGTAGCAAACGTTTTGCATTAATCTGCAGGAAATTCAGTTTAAGATTTGATTAATCTTAAATTATCTCATTAAGATTATTCATAATTTTTTTTCTTGCAAAATTTGACCTGCTGAGCCGGAAAAAGTGTAATAATTATTAGAATCAACCGTGTTTCTTGCAACTATAGTGACCATAGCAACAGAGCAAACAAATTTTTTTCTCCAAGTACATTAAAAAATGTTCATATTTAGAAAAATCAAATATCCATTAATATTATGTACCTCATTTGTGCAAAATAATTAAATTGCTTTCAAAAATGTTCCATTCACATTGTTTGTAATCTTCCTAACCATTTCAATTTTAAATTATAATACTTATAGAAATAAAAAAGAAATTCACAAAATTTTTAAGTTTCATTTATTTTCTAAATTTCATCACATTTAAAAAAATTATTATATTAATTGCTGCATATTATGATTTACAAATGTATTTTTTAGTTATTTAATTAATTGCGGTATGGATTTCAGGCTCTCCCAGTTTCGAACGGAAAGGGCTCGGCAACCAGCTCCTCGTCACCCTTCGCCTATGTGACCATGAAGGCCCTTTTGCTCGACCACACCACCCACTACGTGCACACCCCGCTGGCGGTTTGGTTCAACTCTGCGACCAACTTTGCCGAGGTTGGATTCCTTATTGTTAAATTTTGCTGAACGCTCGTTTAGAAAATCTGTGCCACTTTGCATTGCGTCACCGCCGTCGCTCTTTATAAAGGCTTATTTGCAGTTACATTCTTGCGCAATTGCGACCCCTCTGACCGCGCACAGCTAAAATGAAAAAAAAAAGAAAAATCCTCTTCGCGAAATGAACGCTTGGAGCGAAAGGGTTGCGGATTGTATAATAAATCTGTGAGACTTCTTGACGCGGTGCCAAAAGCCGTAAAAGCGTCTCTGCGGCAGATGCGAACTTGTTGTTTACTTGAAAGTTGCAAAACTTGCAGACTTTACTGATTTTTCTGATTTTGTTACAGGTGTTCACATGGATCACCGCAAATATGGTCAGCTTCAGCCATGTGGTTGTTGCAGTGGTCGGAATGAAACTGCTCTGGAGCGATTCACTTTCGACGAGGCAACTTGGTGTCCTATTATTTGAGGTGCTTTGAGTTTAGATTCAAACATTTTAAACATAGTTGTTAAAAAATTCAAAACAAAAAATACAAATTTATGTTTTTTTAAATTTGAACAAAATAAATTATAATTTCTGGTCTCTTTATTTTGAAAGTTTTCTGTATATTTTTCTTTTAAATTTAAATTTTGTTTAAAAAATCAGTGGAATTTTATGCAAATTTCTTAATTTTAGAAATGTATCTTTGCATAAAATTCTACTGATTTTTTGAAGAAAAAATTGATTTCAAATAAAAAATGCATGAATTTATGCAGAAAACTTTATGAATATAGAGACCAGAAATTATAATTTGTTTTTTTTTTGTATTCTTTATATTAGATTTAAGTTTTGTGTCAATCTTCAAATTTCTCAGTTATAAATAATCATTTTCAATCCTCAGGTTCGTTCGTTCCTGGACGCCTTCGATGGCACCCTGGCGAGAGCGCGGGCGCACAGCTCGCTAGAGGAGCCTGGAATCGGTTCTTCGGGCCACCTGATCGACGGCGCCTGCGACGCCCTCGGCTGCATCGCCCTTTTCCTCGGCTGCCTAGGCATTCTGCGTCGCAAACCTCCTCCCCACTACTCAGCCCTGCCAGGGCCCGGGGGCAAGGAGACGCGCGAAACCCTGGCGCAGTCCAACCGCAGGGCCATCACCATTGTCGGCTGCGCCGCACTCCAGATGACGTTGAGTTCCCTATTCTGGAATAGGACGCTCATGGAGTACCACGATCTCCTCGAAGTTCCTGGGCCTACCTATTCTACTAGAGTGAGTTTAAATAAATATAAAAAAAGTTATGAAATTTGTTAGAAAAGTTAAAGATGAAAGTTTTAATTCATGAAATCAAAATTCGCATAGTTTTTTTTAATTCTTATTTTATAATTTATTTATTTTTAAAATTATTTATATAAAAGTTTATTTTAAAAACAACAAATATTAAAATAATAATTACTTTTCCAATTCATAAAATTTTAAGTTGTTTTCATCAGGAACGTCAATTTGGGTTATTTTCTAATTACAATTAATTTTAAACTCCATTTTTCAGGTAATCCAAAACACTGTGTTCAAGTCATCAGCTTTGTGGATTACAGTTTGGTTTTGGCGGCTTACCAATCCGCACGCCATGATGGAATTGATTTTGATCAGCATATTTCTGGACAAATTATGGGTACGTTTTTAGACTTTTTAGTGTCTGATTGTTATCTTTTGACGCCGTCATAAGCGTGGTGTATTTTAGTCTCCCTGCTAACGATGATCAATTTCTCTCTCCATTATAGCATTTCCTCACGTGGATTCAGTACATTGGTTTTGTGATCCTGCTGGTGCAGGTGTCCATCACCGAGACGCACCTGCACTACGTCGAGGACCTGATTCCGGTGGTGAACGCCAGCATGATGACCCCCCTGTCAGGGCGATAGCCCCTCTGAGTTGGCCGACTCAGCGCTGTGATCTGTACAGTAGTCACTACTTTCCCGCAAATTTGTTTCCACTCCTCTCAGCGTCCATGCAACTCCCAGCAACACCTATCCTCACCTGCTTGGCCCAAATCCAAGAGGAGATCTGATAATTTACAAATTTTTTGGCACAGCTAATGTGTATATAAATAATTTTTCGAGTAAATATTAACCATACAGATAACGTTTAATGACTGTCACCGAAATTTAAGGGAAAATTTGCTGTTTTTACAATCACTGTCAGAAATTTTATCGCAATCCGGCCTGTTATTGTGGATCTATTTAAAAAGAAGAATATATAATAATGTAAAATAATGGTAAATTAATAATATTCAGAAACTCTGTACCATTTAAAATTGCTGTTTTAAATGGATGATAATCAAAAATCTGCTGTTGTCTACCGATGGAAATGTTCGGCAAATAGTTTAATATTGATTGTTTATTGAGAATCTCATGATCAAATGTTGCGGAATTTTTAACTGTCAAAATCTAAATTGTTCGGGCAATAATCATCTACTCTCTCAAGATTTTTGTCCATAAATATGAATGCAAGTACAAATTAATGCTGATTGATATTCAAACCAATTCTGGTAGTCATTTTTAGTTATTTTACAAAGCGTACATCACCTAGAGCAATAAAATCTAGCAACATTTAATTGTCGGACATTGCTTAGATGCTTAATTGATTTGTTTGAAATCTCGCTGACGGAAATACACTTTGAATGATTGTGCCGCAAAAATGAAGTATGACTAAGTGCTCTTAATAACAGTTGATGTGAACCGAGGCTAGTTACTTACAGCCCAGCGTCTTGCCTAATGTGTTGTGACCTTTGTTGGATGCCATATATATATATAATATACATACTGAACATTTTAAAAATCTCTTTCCAGATTTGGTGCCAATTTTTCAAAACAAAAAAATGCCATCATTATCTGAGAAAGCTTGAAAATTTTAAACAAATTGTGACAGAATAATAATTTATTTGCATGATGTGTAAATACTGTTCCTTTTTATCTCATTGTCTAGTTGTTTCGGCTTTTTATTGCTAAAGTTTCTCCGTTGGCAGTTGCAACTGCCGACGCAGGTTCCGATTCGTCAAACACACTAACAGATCTGATTGATGTTGTATTTTATTAAATCTATATACATCATGTCGTATACAATAATAACACAACTGCTTTTTTTAGTACCCAACCGCTGCCATAAATAATAACACTGGGGGCACGCAAATAAATAGTTTGAAATGAGCAAAACCCCTGCCGAGCTGTGGGTATGCAACTGGCGTGGCTCGCGTGTTTTGCCGGTGGCCGACATCAATCAAAAGTGACATGACTGCAACAGATTGCTGTGTAATGTCAATTAATAACACCAAAAGCAGAGTGACTTTGTAGGTAAATATAAAAATGAATCGTTGAACCCGGTTGTCTGGAATATAAATAAACAAGCCGCGCTTTTAAATTATAAAATCAATTTAATCAATAAGAATGATTAATTTAAGAAATAAATTGTAAAAATTTTCGATAAATTTTAAAAAATACATCAGGGAAAGACAAATCAAAAAGGGTTTCTTATACAAAATTTCTGAAAAGAAAATGTAATTAAAATTTTTGATAAAAAAAATTGATTTGATTTTTTTTTTTAATTTTTTCATAATAAAACAGATACAATAAATATTAAAGGAAATTTTTATAATATTCAATTGAGCAAAAGCATGTCGGGGAAAATGCATCCAAGATTAACCTTGTTCGTTTTTATTCGCAAACAATAGCAAAACTCCGGTGGCTTTAGATTTCGCAAGTCCGTGTGATATTGAGAGCTAGGCCGCCCCGAAAATAAAAGGAGCAGGATGTGCGCTTTTGAGAAACAACAAAAAGCGAGCGATGCGGCGTGAACCGCAATTTATCTGTAACAATGGCCAGAGAACTGACGAAATTCGACTCTAATTACAAAGAGATGCGGGAATATTTGTGTTAACAGAGTGTTAATGACCATTAGAAAAATTAATTAATGTAAAATCACGGTGAGAGAAGAAAGGTCAATTTATTTCAGTCAAGGTCGCGTGGAAATCTGGAGTTTGGCCCAAATGATAATATTATGCTGAGAATATTATAATTCCTGAGCAGCCAGACGTGCCGAATAATCATCGTAATTTAATTAAGAATTCTCTCTCGTTTGTGGCGGGCATAATTTTACATGCTGTTAGGAAGCGTGTCTCTGAAATATGTATGTGGATAAAAATCGCAGCGGCGTGAAGGGTTCACGAACATTTCGGCGCGGCCGGGCACAATTTATGGCTGTGTGTTGAGCAGCTGCCGCTACGAAACGAAAAGTTTTGCGAGTGAAATATTCCAACGAGCGTTTTAATTCTCCATAAAAATTGTGAGAGAGAAGTTGTTGCGAGTTTGTAATAAATTAAAAAAAAAAAAAACAATTACACAGCTGAGATTACTGAAATGAAATTAGTTGCGAGTACGTTCAGTTTTAGATTTGAATTATAAATTTTTAAATTTTATATGAAATGAAAATAGATTTGCAGATTTGCAAAATTATTCGATAGGATACTTTTTTAATTGGAAAAAATATGCAAATTTTAAGCTAAAAAAAAGAAAAATTTTATATTGACTAATACAACAGAACTCAAATTTTAAAGAAAAATTATAATGTTTCTAATATATTTAAAAAAAAAATGCGATTTGTGGATTAGGACAATTTAATTTCACGTATCATAAATTACTACTTTGATTATCTAGAAAATATTAAAAAACTTTTATGTTTTGACATATCAAATCCACATTAACAATTCATTAAAAATTTTGTGTAAAATGACAATACTCTAAAAATGTGAATCTTAGAATTTTACTGGAATTTTAAAAAAACCTCTGTTAAATACTAAATACTTGAAAAAAAAATATTTTACCATTTTATAACAATAAATATTTCCAGATTTTTCTTTCTTTCTCTATTCAAATCTGGATTGATAAAAAATTATGGTTAACAAAAAGAAAAAAAATTCCGCATCTAGATAATTATCTTAAGGCAAAGCGCCTATTTAAAAATTAGACAAAGAATTTTAATTGGGCAATTTTTCATGCTTGTTTTTCACTTTTACAGCCACAATTCGCAACTGCAGCCCCTATCTTTTTGCTATATCTCATTTTTCGCGCATGAGAGCGACGACAAGTTGGTTTTCTGTCCACGAAGTGTATCGGATGACCGTCAAACGAGCGGCTAGGAGGAAGGCGCGCGCCTCATGCATGTCTCCAGAGTCATTAGCCGCATCGCTCGACTATGATATTTTAAACACACACTTAATACTTAATACTGTACAAAGAAAAAAAAAGATAATGCTGCTGGCCGAATCCTTTGTTCTTCTCAGCTCCTCTGCGATAGGGTATTTTACATTTTGTTTTTATTGCCATACAATCCGTCCGAGTTCAAACACCCGCCGCTGCAACACACAATTATCTCCTCTCGTGATTATGTGAATTTCGCAAAAACGCGTAAAACGTAATTGCAGGGTTTCGTTGCACTTTCCTTATGGATTCTTGCGAAAAAAAGTAAAACAATCGGCGAGAAATTCGTAATTCGGAATATGTGATTCATGCATTCCTAGACGGAATCACGCACAGTGCATTTTTTGTTTGAATTGTTTTGCAAGAAGTGTCAAAATTGAAGCCAATTCTAATTAGAGTAAAAATGGAATTGTATTTTTGCTCCTTCAATATGTAATCTTTAAAAAATTAGGAAACTAAATTTTGTCAAAAAGTAATTAAAAGTATTTAAATTTGTCATATATTAAAAAAATCTGAAAGTGTCACAATAATAAATTTTATGACGCAGGGTTTTTTTTGTTCGTCAGAGAGTAAATTAAAAGGAGGAGCACCCTTGATGAAAAGTGGCTTTATTACTTTATTATTATGATGTTCCTCACAATCGGACCAAAGATTTGTACTTGACCCAGTGCGTCGGTCGGCCGGACACCAGAGCAGCACCCACTTCAGGTGGTCCACGCGAAAGGAGGAGTTTGCGGCGCCGAGAATCGCACCCGTCGCCTCCTCCTCCTCCTGCTAATGATAGCGCTATCAAGATAGCATTGAGAAGGTATATAAGTATCCACACCGGCAATAGCCAGTTATTGTGTATCTGAGTGCCAGGCATGGGAGACCACATAGCTGCGGTCACCTTTTTTAAGGTAAGAAATATTTTTTATTATTAAATTGATATTTGGTAAAGATTTCCCAATGGTTAATTTTGATTAATTTTTTTAATATTAGACCAGATCTATTTTTACTTAATTTGTATAATTTTAAATAAAAAATAACATCAAACACTTGCAAGCATTAAAATTACCAACATTTTATGATGAAAATTTCATTTGTTTAAAAAAAATTGTTTATTTTTGTTCACAGATGAAATTTTAATTTAAAAATTAAACCGATTTACATAGAAATTTGAATTTGAAATCATCAAAGAATTTTATATTTAATTTTATTTTGAATTTTTGAAAGCTATATAGTCGCAGAAAATGATTGAAATGCTTTATTTTATACTCGAATTAAGTGAAAACTCTTTTTGATACTCCGTGTCTCCTTTTTGCATTGTTAATTTTAATCACCAGTGGCAATGACTTTTCTCTAAAAATTAAAAATTCCAAGGCCTTCAAACGGTCTGCTCATTCTTCTCGCCTTGGATGGATATAAAACGCTTTTGCAAATTGACGTGTGCGTCTCACGGGTTGACGAGATTAGATTGAAATCTGTGAAGGTCACACATCTCAAGCACTTTCTTTCTTTCTTTCTTCGTGGGAATTTATGCCCGTCTCGTCTCGGGAGCAATTAATTAATAATAATAATTCCCACACTCATCATTTCAATTCATTGAGTTTTGAATTATTGCGCAGGTAGCTCTGGTGACCTACTGGTGCGTGATCGTCGCGGCCAATGCCCAGCGCAGGGAAGAAGCGGACGAGCCGCCCAGAGGCTACGGCGACGGCGGCCCAGAACCGATAGACCACCAAGCCTCCTCGCCGATCCTGATCTTCCGCGGCCACGGTTACGACAACCTCGGCTACGACAGCAAGATCGAAGACGTGTGGACCTCCAGCGGTCCCAGCACCGGCAGCAAGGGTGGCAAAGGGAGCAAGGGCCCCAACACGGGTTACTTGGCGCCCGCCGCCGGCTCAGGAGATTGGGACAGCAGCAACACAAAAGGGGAGCAGCCCCCAAGCAACGGCTACCTCACGCCTCACAAGGGTGGGGACACCCCCAACACAGGGTACCTGGCGCCAGACAAGGGTCAGTCGCATAGCAAGGGTGGTGCGTCTGCGTGGAAGGGCGGCCAGTCGAGTGGGGGTTGGGACGCTAATAAGGGTCATGGCGGGTCATCTGGCTGGGACTCGTCAAACAAAGGTCACGGAGGAGGTGGTAGCTCAGGGTGGGATCAGGGAGGAAACAAAGGTTACGGGGGTGGGGGTAGCTCAGGTTGGGATGAGGGAGGAAACAAAGGTTACGGGGGTGGGGGTAGCTCAGGGTGGGATCAGGGAGGAAACAAAGGTTACGGGGGAGGGGGTAGCTCAGGGTGGGAACAAGGAAACAAAGGTTACGGGGGAGGGGGTAGCTCAGGGTGGGAACAAGGAAACAAAGGTCACACTGGCGGTGGCTCAGGGTGGGATAGCGGTGCCAAAGGTCACGGTGTAGAGTACGAAGGGAATGTTGGACACTACGGACCTCCGAACACCGGTTGGGATAATAAGGGGCAAAACTCAGGGTGGGACAAAGGTCAGAATTCAGGGTGGGACTCTTCCAGTTCGCAGGGCGGTTACGGAGGAGGAAATCAGGGGTGGAGCCAGCAGGGTGGCGGCAAGGGTCAGCAAGGCTGGGAACAAGGAAATAAGGGTTGGAGCCAAAAAGGTCAGCAGGGAGGTTATGGAGGACCTCCGTCTGGCGGTTGGGATCAGAGTAATAAGGGCTACGGAGGCGGCCAACCTCAGGTTGGCTGGGAACAGGGTGGAGGCGGCGGAGGATGGAATAAGGGCCAAAAGGGTGACGGGTGGCAGCAAGGACAGGGGCAACCTGGAGGGTGGTCAGGCTGGATGAACGTCATGATGCAAGGGTGGAACAAAGGCGGCGGCTACGGAAACGGCGGCAGCAAGGGCTTCGGAGGCGCCGGAGTTTGGACGCCGAACCAACGCCCGCAGCAATCAGGAGGCGGCGGTTGGCCAATGAAAGGAATGTGGAGCAACGGCTACGACCCTGACAACGACCCCTGGTCTCAAGGTGGAGGCCACGGAGCTGGTCCCTCAGGAGGCGGTTACGGAGGCGGACCCCAAGGAGGCCATCAACAGGGCGGTGGATACGGAGGAGGCTCTTCCCACGTATCTGGAGGTTTCGGAGGTGGTCATCAAAGTACGTCAGGGTACGGAGGCGGCCCTCCCAGAGGTGGTCAACACGGTGGGCCCCCTGGAGGTCATGGATATGGGGGCGGCTCTGAAGGCCACGGACAACAAGGATATGGAGGTGGAGGCGGCTTTGGTGGACACGGAGGTGGCCAAGGAGGTTACGGAGGCGGCCATGGGGGCCACGGAGGCGGCCATGGAAGTAGCTTTGGAGGTGGCGGCCACGACTGCAGAGAGCACGGAGGACTGAGGGCGGGCAGCGCCGTTTGGGAGTCGAGAGAGCCCGCAGGCTGGGGCACTGGCAGCTACGGCCAGCGGTGGACACCGGACGGCCACAGAGTGTGAGTTTTGAATTTTTTAAATTTAATTAAAATAAAAAACTAAATAAATTGAATAAACCAATGAATTAATAAATCAAAAACTAAATAAATTGAATAAACCATTGAATTCATAAATAAAAAACTAAATAAATAAAAAAAATAAAATATTGGGTTTGGAATTTGGAAGCATTTTAATTATAAAAGATTTGATGAAAATTGTGAGCGAACTGTTTTCAGCAGTGCCACAGGTTCTGAGGTAACTTATCGCGAGTACCATTACAGCTCAGAAAATCTCAACGGACCGAGTCACCCGAACGAGGGTGGTCACCCGTCGCACCACAACTCTCATCAACAGTACAACAACCACTACAGAGAGTACCTTCTGGAAAGGGGCGCCGACGATCTCGCCAGCAGCAGTGCCAGACCTGCAGTCGAGGCCACAACCGCCAAATCCTTGTAGTTGAAAAACTTTGTCCTTTGTAAATATCTCGTATTTATAATTTAATTAATTTATATATGAGCACAAAATAAACTATTATACAAAAAGAAGCCGAAACTAAGTGGTATTTTAATTTTTTTTATACATCTCCTGGGGTTTCTGCACGCGAGTCAAATTAAAGATTGTTAAAAAGAAGCAGGATAGAGACTTTTAATTCTATTTTCGCGAAGCAATTATATTTCGGTGGACACGCGTGTATGTTTTTTTCCTGCTGCAGGCCAGTGTGTGTTTGTATGCGATTATCCATTGTTATTCGTGAGGCCAGAATTTATTTTTACGGTGCTTGCCCCACGCGAGGTTGGCGTAGCACGTGCTCTTGCTGGAGGTGGATTTGGCTGCACTTCTCTTTGTGGGGGCCAGTCGATCGCGCGCGCGTCTCTCTCTCTCGCTTTCTTATCAAACACTCGCTCTTTATGCGTAAAAAATTAAGTTAGGCCCAAGTGGAACAACAATGCAGGCACACGACCCTGCTGCTCAAATCTCGACTCACAAAAACATGTGCATGGCGTAAAAAATGAAGCAAGCGTAAGAATATGGAAGATTTCTTTTGTCTCTCCGCAGACATGTGGATCATCTGCAGATTTGAATTTAATCGTTTGCTCAATATATTTATTCTTAAACATAATGCAAAAATAAAAAGAACACATAAAGTGACATAGAAATGTAGTGAGTAAATTTGATTTATAATTTTATTGTTTTTGTTGGTCAGGAAGGGAAAATAATTATTCATAAATTTGAAACGTCAAATTCTACGAAAAAAATAAATAAATTTTAAAGACATACATTTTTAAAATTGTTTCTTTAAATTTTTAATTATTTTTTATTCAGGCAATAATTACTGATTAATTAGATTACTTATCAAATTTTTTCTGCTGAAATTGTATAATTTGTGTCTGAATATTTTGTATTAACTTTCTTTGTTGCTTAAAATAAGGTATAATCAAAATATTTTTGACAATGTTTTCATTTTTTTTTTATTAAAAAATTTATTAAACAAAGAAAATTATTTAGCAGCTTTATTTAATTTAGTGAAAAAAACTCTTCAGTCCAAATTGGTCCAAATAATAATTTGACTTTCAATTCAGGTTTTTTAAATTAGTAGAAAAATCAACTATAGCTTAAAAGTTTTCTATACTAAATTTAAATTTTAGTTCAATAAAATTAAATGCAAAATTTAGATAACATGTAGTAAATAATACAGTATTATTTAATGTTTTTTTTATGATCTGCAGGATCATCAAATCAACTGAATCTAAAAATTAAAAACCTTATAATCTTTAATAATAATTTAATAAAAAATGAAGTTTATTAATACTGCATCATTCAAAGGAAATTGTAAATTTAAATTCTATATTATCTTTGATTAAAAACAAATCAATAAATAAGTGTAGAAGCAAAATATGCAAATTTAATTGCTAAATTATTTTAATTTTTAAAGAACAAGTTTTAAAAATAAACTACTGAAATCTCTCCAAATTTAAAAAAAAAACTATAAATAATAATTACAAATAATTAAAAAATATGTATTAACCTTCAACTCCTTACAAATAACTAAAAACTTCAATAACGTTGTTTTGCTATTTTTTTATGCAATTTTTGTTTATAAAATAATTAAAATTCACGTCAACACCAATTAATTAACCAACAATTTCATTCCCCTCCTCCTTTTGTTGTCATCGGACACGACGAACAAGATTCACTTTTGGAGAGCAAAAAAGCAAAGCGCACCGAGAACATGAGCCGCAGCGAACGGTTTTTTGCCGGCCAATAATTAATGTCTCGACGGCCACAGCTGTACCATTTGGTCCGCTCTGCATTAAATAAATCGGACGCAGCGAAACAAAAAAGGACATTTTGAATGGCTGTCACAATTTTAGATTAACAGGCCGCAAGTGTACGAGCGAGGGAGGAGTCTCTCGGCTTTATTATTTCGAGTGTGTGCGACACGTGTGTGACACATGCTTGCATCATCCCTTGCATGTTCAACCCGTTCCGTGCATGCGCGCATACATCATTCAAGAAAATAAGAAATGCTTTTATTGCGGTGCTAAATGGACCGAAGTCAAATCCAGACCCCTCTTGATGCGGGCTGGACCATCAAATTCTAAAAATAAAATTAAATTTTGATAGAAAAAAAATGATTAAAAAATATTAGTTTATTAATTGCTTTTCGATCATTTTATTTTTTCTAAAAATTTAAAATAATAAAAGAATTGAAGTTATTTTATTTTATTTCATGATTTTTTTTATAGAATTTTTTCCCTATAATTTAAACAACTGCAACAACAGAGATGAAAATAGGAGGTTCTGGAGGAGTCCATCTTTCACTTTGTCTCTCTGATTTTTTTCCGTTGACAAGTGCTTACCACCCCCTCCTGAAACTAAATCACACATGAGGGCAAGTGAGTCGGCTTAACACAATTATAATTAGCCTCTTGCAACCGTTAGCACCAGACGAGAGAGAAGAGAACGGTGCTCGCTTTTTTTTGTACTCCACATCGGAGACAAGTGGATATTTTTTATGTAATTAAGGAAAGTGAAAAATTAGTCAAGTTTGAAACATTCTATGAATTCTATCAATTAATCAAATTTAAATTTAATTAATAAAACAAAAATTCAACCTTAAAATTTTTATTTGTTTTGAAATTTATTTCCGACAAAATATTTTTGTTCCATATCATTCTGCTTCAAAAAAATTTGATTCTTCTATAAAAAAAAATTAGAATTTATTTAAATGCATTACAATTTGTAAAAAAATTACTTAAATTTGAATTTTATTTTCAAAATCTGCTCCTGCATCTGAAATTGAAACCTTTTTTAAATTTCATCTTTGAACATTGATTTTTTTTCCAGCAGTCTTTGACAAACAAATCATAGTTTTTGATTCTCTCATTCATCAAACGCACAACGAGACCGCGCGTGTGTATATAAAATCGTCGTTTTTTTTCTCTGTCCGCGTGCTGGCGCCAGCAGAGAGCAGAGGTCTGGCCAATTATTTGTATATTCTTGGCGTGCTTCGAATGAGCATCGTTTCATTTCAATTCGGTGTCCGTCAAGATGCTGCATCAACTTGGATTCATTTGTGGAGCCGAGCAAAAAGCAGCAGCACATGTGATTGAAGTATGCGCAGCGCAAATGTGCGATACGCGTAAATCACTCACCAACTCATTTCGCCCGGCCTTGGCCTAGGAAGCGAAGAGAATATTTTTTACTCTGGGCGCACTTGTAATTTAGCCGGCGAATAATAAACAATTTTGATAAATTGGGGCAACAGGAGAACAAAAAAAGTTTACTCATTTAATTATGCGAAATTGTGCAAAATTAACGAAACTTCAAACAATAGAATTATTTGAAGTATAATTTGTAAGTTAAATAATTTGTTATAATTTTTAATATTTTAGGTAGTTTTGCAAAGAATTGTAAGGTTCATTTGAAAAAAATTAAAAAGATTTTAAATTTTATACCAATTAAAACGCTTTTTCGTTGTATTTAAATTTAAATTTTAAGTCAAGCTCAAAAAGCTATAAAAATTCAAGAAAATTCAGTTAATATTGATGATATTGAGGAAATATTTATCAATATTTATCACCTTTCCTTAAATTAATTTTCCCACACCAAAGTATAATTTGTTTTGCTTTAATAATTTTAATTTTATTTTCTTGCGAAAATTATTTTGATATATTTTTCATATTTCAGAAAAAACATTGATTTAAAATATTTTTGGATAAAAGAAAAGTCCATAATATTTTTCATATTTTTTAATTTTTAATTTTTATTTTCATCAACTGTTACATAATTTATTTGCAGGCGAAATTTTGTGTTGATCTAATTTAAGGAAACTTTTAACCTAAAAAAAACCCAGAAAAGACAAAGAATGAAAAATCTCTCTGCTTTTTTTCACACTTCAACCAGTTGATTGATGAGAGTTGGCTCGGATAGCGGCGCCGATGCCTGCTCTCGAAGTATAATTACTCGGTGTCGCTGCTGCATTATTTTTATTTGGTGCGGCGCAGCGCGAAGGGTTGATATTTACACAAGAGTGTCCTTCCTTGTCGCGCAGCAGACAACAAAAACGCGGCACACATTATCTCTCGCAGCTCATTTAGCGTTTTTTACTCGCTCGGATCGGGGCGCGCATATTTTAATTTACGCCGCATGTGTGACACGCCATTGCGGATAAAAACAAAAGCGGTGCCACCTGTTACTGCTAAAAGAAAAAAAACTATACTATGCTCTAGTACGAGCGAGAGATATATGAAAATTTCGATATGTGCATACGCGAGGGCTAATGCCGAAGAGATTGAGTTGCATGAGGCACGCCGCGCTCTCGTCTCGCCTTTATGATTGCGCTTTTTATCGGGGCGCGGGACATGTGGCGCACCATTTCAATGCCAAAGACAAGTTCAAACAATTTTTTAATCAAAACACATTTCCAAGCCGATAGATTGTTTATGTACACATTTTATTACTCTGTAGAAAGTAGAGAGAAGAAAAAAAATTTGATTGCAGAAAAAAATAATTTAATCTAATGTCATCATTGGAAAATTAAATTAGAATTACATTTTATTATTCAATCGCTATGCAACCTGCGTGACAAATGAAATAAAAACCTGATTTTTAAATAAATTAAATTATAATTTTGTTGTTTATTGTTAAAAAAAAAATGCCACTGACGTAAATATTTCGTTAATTTTTTTCAATTTAGGTAAAAATATTGAATGTAAAAAAAGTTTTTTACAAATTGAAAATAAATTATATTTTAAAATTAAAAATTTAATTCAAACAAAATGCATTTTTCTGTTGCTAGAAATTGTATTTTTCGTTGTTTAGAATTACACTCAAAATGTTAATTACTTTATTGCATCATATTTTAACATGAATTAATATCTGTGAGATCAAACTTTCGGTGCCAAACGAGCTAACGATGATCACACTGCACATTCCCTTGAAAGTGTATTTGCAACATATTCATGCAGTGTACGCGCGAATTATTAAATATATACGCGTCTCTGTGTTTTCTTGGTGTTTCTTTTTTCTTGCAGAGCCATTGTTCTTTTCTTGTGTATTCCGGTACTTAACCTTGGGCAGAGTGTGCTGGATTTGAATTATTATATGCAAATGCGACGGAGGCGGCCGACCGAGACTTTTCTTTCGGCCTCTCGTCTCTCCCTAGGATTCGTCTCATTGTTCGCAAACGTAGATCGCTCCTCCTATCTTTTGCAATCGCCATCGTAAATTAGTTGCAAAACACAGCAGCTTTTCGGTTTCCGCGGCAAAACTTCCTTTGTTGAAAAGCAATAAATCTTAATTGCTGAAGAAAGATGATCTGCGTTTTATTTGGTAGCAAGTGACCCTGGCTATAAAATTATAAACCTCTAGAATTATCCGTAGTAAAAAATACTTTTTTCGGTTTTGATAAACGGAGCTGATATTTTTTTTTATAATATTTATGATGCAAAAACCATGGAAAAATTTGGAAGGTAGAAAAAATAATTTCCACATTATATTCAATATTAAACCCATTAAACAGTTTTAATAAGATCAAAAATTAAACTGAGATCTATCAGTTTAGATAAGAGAGCTCTAAATTATTCAAATTATCTGTAAGATGCAACCTATTATTACTTATTTATTGATCCAATCATTTATTATTATGCAAAATATAATTTATTCTTAATATTACAATTCCGATTTTTTTCACTTTCAAAAAAAAAAGAAACTTACTTATTTTAATTCCAAATTTTTACTTTAAATTTATTTTTCATTTTAAATAAATTGTAAAAAGCATATAAAGTGTGATAAAGTGATTTCAGTAAGTTTTATTTCGATTACTCAAAAGCACAGTTAAACGTTGTAAGTTTGTTAAATAATTAATTAATATATACCGACTCCTTTCTAATTAGAGTCGGCATACCAGTACTAATAGCGTACTTTTTTATGACACTCGCCAGGTTTTACGGTAAAATTGTATAAATGCAAATAGTAATTAAAGCAGCAGTCGACGCGCCTGCGAGTCATTTGCACCGCGAAAGCGGGTTGCAATTATTAACACAAATGTACGCGCTTGGCTGGACGAGAATCTTCCACAGAATGCATAAATATTTATGATTTAAGTTAAGAAGTTAATTGTTGGGCAACAGAGCGCAATTAATGCAAAAATCAACACGCTGCATATCGCGAGCACTGATCAAAAGGTCATTGTCGCTGCAAAGAAGGGAAAAAGAAATTATTTAAATATTATATGAATTTTTGTAAGTTCATTGTGCATTTGAAAAATAAAACGCCAGTTATCTCTTTACCATTCTTCATTTGGGCCGAATGAATGGAATTTATAGTTTTTTAATTTAAAGAATTTTATTAAATTATTTGCAAATGATGTGTTAAAATTTCATTTTTAACTTAGTTTCAATAAAAATTGCAAGTTTTTATTTCAATTCTAATTACATTCGTGTTATTCCTTTTAAAATTAACAAATTTCCAAATATAAACTTCTATATCGATCAAACAAAAAATTAACATCGCACCCAATAAAAAAATTTTCAAATTACCTCACAACCCTTTCTAAAATGACCCATTAATCTTTTTATTCATATTTGATATTCTAAATTAAAATTGGGTAGTTAAGAAACCGAATTTTCTTTTAATATGTCTATTTTATAACAGTTTTCTTTTTCTTTAAAATTTTTTAATTAATAATTAGAAAGTTTCAAAATCATAGATATATTTTTTAAACTTTTATTAAAAGGACTCAATTTCTGTCACTTTTTTATTATTAAATTATCAATTTTTATGTAACAATTTTAATTTAATTTTTAAATTTTACACATATATAGGAAGCCAAATCAGAAATTGTATGTAATTTGATGTTGTTTAGCTTGTCTTTTATGAATAAAATTTTTTGTTCTCTTCGGTGGTGTGTGTTTGTCTGATTGTGGTGCAAAAAGTGTCTCTTCGAGAGAGTACGACGAGGGCCAATCAAAAGAGAGGCGCGACTCAAAATAAAAGCATGTGTGTGCCCATCAACCCCTCGTCCTCGATGCTCTCGCGTGGCTTCTCATTGTGGACCGGAGACGCGGCACGACATGTACTTGGAGGACACGACTTGCTGCTACCAACACGGCTCGCCGTTGCCGTCGGACGAAGACTCGATGGTCAGTCACGTCACCATGGGTCACTTCGGACAACACTTCGCGCAGTACCAACAAAGAACGACAGCAGGTAAAAATAAATAAAAATTAGTAAAGCAAAAAATAAATTGAATTTTTTTTCAGATATGAATATTTGCGTCGAGTCTTTCGGACATTTGGGTTTGAAGAGGGAGGTTGATTTTTATCAAAAAACCGGCTACGAACAGGAAGCTTCGGAAGCAAATCAGGTTTGTTTAAAAAGCAGTTTAAAAAAATTGAATTTTTTATTAATAAAATTTTAGGTGGTTTTGCCTCAAAGCGAGTGTCTGCAAATGTTTCAAGAAGAGCAAGGGTTGCTGATGGAAAATGATGGTGAGAGCGAAATCGAGGAAGATCTGATCGACGAAGAGGAGGACGAAGACGATTCAGGTGAGAATTTTTCATTTTTTTTTTTAAATTTGATTTTTTTCAGAAATTTCATAATTGATTTCTTGAATATTCCAAAAACTTATAAATAGAATAATTATTTTGAAGAAAATTCAAAACTGAAATCTTGGTTTAAAAATATCTCTCATTTATAGTTTGTAATTTTTATTAAAATTTTCCAGGCTGCTATATTTTGCGGTGCAAATGGACCAACTGCACTTTGACCTTCTCCGACCAGAAGACGCTGGTGCGTCACATCGAGAGGTCACACGTGATGGAGGCAAGAAGAGGCTCGTACGAATTCGCCTGCCACTGGAAAAACTGCCCCCGCGCCTGTCGCCCCTTCAACGCGCGCTACAAACTGCTCATCCACATGCGCGTCCACTCGGGCGAAAAACCCAACAAATGCACCGTAAATATTTTGTTTACAATTATAAATTTTTTTTAAACAAATTTTTTTGAATTAGTGGCATGGATGTGGAAAGGCCTTCTCGCGTCTGGAGAACCTGAAAATCCACCAGAGGTCGCACACAGGCGAGCGACCCTACCTGTGTCCCTTCCACGGCTGCGCCAAGGCCTTCAGCAACAGCTCGGACAGGGCCAAGCACCAGAGGACGCACCTCGAGCCGGTCAGTAAACAAAAAGAACCGACAATTGCAACATTTTCTAATCTTTCCGACTCGCAGAAGCCGTACGCTTGCAAAATTCCTGGCTGCAGAAAAAGGTACACCGATCCGAGCTCCCTTCGGAAACACACCAAGAACCACAGCACCGGCAGGCTGAGGAAAACGGTTCGTTTCAGAAATGAAATGTAAATTATTTTTCTAATTTTTGTTCGTAAACAGTTGCTGGACGAGGTTGTCGTTCAGGAGCCCAAAAGGGTACCCGAAACTACTCCTTTACCACCGTTGGAATCGATAATTCGACCGTCCGAGACGTTCTCCCCCAACGGAGTCATAGCCTACATGGATGACTACCTAAGCAATGAGGCTTTGCATACAGGTGAAAAAATTCAACTATATCATTTTCCAAAATTTGTATATTTTTTATCTAGTTATTCCATTCTATTCAAATTTAGATTTGTTTTTTAAAATATTCGTAATTCTATTTAATCATATATATATTTTTTTAATAATTTCAGATTACAACTTGCCAGAGACCAAAATTGACTCAACATTCGATCCAGTAATGCTCGACCCTTTACCCTTTGAGGCAGTGAAGAGACTGCTGGAGGAGGAGGAACCAACTGGTAAATGTTTTAAACCCATCATTTATTTCTAAAATTTCAATTTTGATTCTATAGATTTTGAAGCAGCGATCGACATGTTTCCTCTGCAGCAACAATTCCAGCAGACTTTCCAGAGCTTTGCCACGACAGGCCCGGCGTATAGAAGAGACTTTGGAATGTAGAAATTGTGTATTTTCGTATTTTGATATGTATATTTATTAACAATTTGAGACGAAGATTATTGAACGGATCTCTGTTGGCATCAAATTGATCTCTAGAGTCTTTCTGTAAATATTTTGTTTGCACAAAGAAATGAATATTTTTTGACTGAACTTTTGAATTTTGCGAGTGAATAAAATGAGCCATATTTTTGAAAAATACAAAAACGTGTTCTGATTTAAAAATTAAAAACAGGAATGACTAAAGGATTAAATGGAATGTTGACAACACTTTCCAAGTCTCGTGCAAAAAATGGCCCGCAGAAATAATATAATATATCACATATAAATAAACTAGCAGTTAAGTTTGCCACAATTTTGCTTAAGTACCCTTAAAATGCCTTTTATGTTATACAAAAAGGCAGTTAATCAAATTATTTGGAATTAATTTAACTCATGGCCGCTCTTTGAGATTTTTCATGTTGTTTTCATACCCGTTGAACCTCTGCAGAATACTGATGACGTCCTTTGGGGAGTCACTCTCGTGTTTGGCGTACTCGAGTAAGGTCGATTTGTACCCGGTGTTTTTCAGGAAAAGATAAACGCTAATTTTAACAGAAATTAATGAAAAATTCATGAAAATAAAAAATAGATCCTACAAGTAGAGACTATAGTAGTCTGTCTCAGCCTGCTTCAGGGCTCGTCGCAAGTCGTTCATATCCTGGATGATTTTCAGTTTGAACGACTCAACCGTCTTTTTAATCGTCGTAGGAGAACTCGAGACATGGTCGAAGAGCTTTCCCCAGTTTAGGCAAAAAGAACTCACGTCCAGATCCTATCAAGTTTTAATTCAGATCATTTTCAAAAATTAAGTATTTTGATTATTCTTACGACAGATCCATTCATGTTGACCGCTTCGAGCTTGTCAGTTTCTGGATTCAGATTGGACAAGAGTTCAGGGCCAAAGGTGACGGTGGTTCTGTCTTCCGGGGCCGTCACTATTGAGAGCAATTCGGCAAGACTAGCGGCGGCGATGAAAGACTGAATGTCCGCCTGCAGCTGCGAGTCCAAGTCTTGACTCACATTAATTTTGTATTGCCGAAGAACCTGATAAAATGAAATTATTTAAAAATTTAAGAAAAAAATTTTGTGTGTTTAAATTACTGCTTCAAGAAGGTACGAGATTTTTAATCCCAGATTGCTCACAACTCGGCCAAAAAATCCAAGTGAGTGAAACGGCCACAGCTTCAGTCTGTCTTTAAATGACTGAAAATAATAAATTATTCAAAATTTGTATTTTTTTTTGTAATTATTTATAAATATACCGTCTCTTTGATGAAATCGACTTGGCGTCTGCAGAAGGTTTGCAGCTCGGCGCGGTAGATTTCAAGTTGGGCCTCAGGTGGGGCGACCAGACAAAAAATGGCCTGGCTTCGAGGCGTAGTAGAATTCGAGTCTGGCGACTCCTCGTCTGAGCAATGGAATGATACGTAGAAGCAGGTTGCTGGGGTCAATGTGTTGGTGTTCAAACTGTAATAAAAAAAATAATTAAAAATAAAATTTTCTTGATAAAAAACACTGACCTGAATTCCATTACGGAAAAATTCCCGGTGCCGATGTAGATTGCGTTTTTGGTCAGCCGTCTGAGGAGGAAGGTTTTCATGTACTCGGTCTGGTCATCTCGCAGATTGGAATGAACGATGTCGAGTTTTTCTTCTTTGTACCGAAAGAGTGACGAGCTGTAGCAGCCGCTCTTAATCCACTCGCTCTCGTCGTTGGCCTCTAAATGCATGGACAGTCTTTTGAGACGGGACTCCATTCTCGAGCCAGTCTGGAAATCAAATCAAAAGAATATATAAATTCCGAATTCTTAAATGGAAGCGCTGAATATCTCACCTCTTTTGCCTTTTGCTAATTTAATCCAGTCGAAATGTCATCAGAGATGACACCAGATCCGAATTTAATTGCACAACAACAAATGTCAAGTGGGAGTGTCAGAGGGATGTGTAGAAAGGAGCTGAATACTTGATCTCCCAAGTCCACAATCAAGATTATAAATGCGATTATGCCTTTATCTCCCTGTGACACACCCCATTTTTTCAAAAATCAAGTATAAACCGGTTTCTTTATTTTCTTGATAACCGTAAATTTTTTAATAAAAAATGACAGTTTAATTCAAAATTTAGCATTAATGATAAATAATTTATCAAAATAATATTAATTTTGTTAAAGTCTTTTCAGAATCTTTCAAAATAACTTAAAATTACATGATTGAATTTTATCGTTTACCGGTATATTGAAGTAAAAACCGGTTAGTTTTAAAAAACCTCGCGCAGTTTTCCATTTTCCTGCTTTTCGCTCGCTTGTTGTGTGTTGCTATTGATTTGATCAGCTGGATACGGACGGCTCTGGTCATGGACCCCGAGACGTAATTTCGCCGTCGACGTCGTGGACATTGAGCGTTTTGCGATGAATTGAGCACCGTTCCGGTGCAAACGAAGCAATCGCGTTCGTCTGCAGACGAAATTCATTCACCGAGGGTAAGCGTTTATCGTGCGTTCTGCAAGAAACGCGGCGGCGAACGCTATGTCATACGTGACGTGCGTGTCTGCTCGTTCGGCGCCGAGTTTCATTATTAATGCATGGTGGTGAATAATAATATAACACCGCGTGCCCGATGCAGCCTTCAGATTATGCACTGACCACTTGAATAAAACACATTTTCAGCCAGTAAAGCAGAGAATTTTTGAACCATGGCGAGTGATCGATCCTCTTCGGGCCACCACGAGCCTCTCACGCCCTCGGCCTCCAACGAGAGCAGCAAGGCCCTTCTGACAACCCCGGGCAGTGAGTTGGGAAATAAATTTTTTGCTCGTTATCTGATTAGCAAGATAAATACATCAAAGCTTTTATTTTTGTTAATTTTTTGTCAATGATTTTAGCGCCTTTGAGTGCAGCCGAAGAGAAAAAATTGAGACGAACAAGTCTTCAGGTCATGCTAACGAAAGCAACGTCTGGTTCTACGGAATCTTTGAACCAGACCATACCAGCAGGTAAGAGAATTTTTAAAAAAAAAGGTGATTGTGATATTTCGTTTGCAATTTGCAAAGTTACGCAAAAGTATATATAATTTAAGGAGTGCTGCGCGCGATAATTTCGCTTGCACGGCTTCTCGATTTATGAAGAATTCGAAGAAGCCGTAAAAAAACGACCAGCCTTTTTTGCGCACAACCTACGCTTTTAAAATTTCCGCGCACATGCAACTTTGTGTTTTTCTAAATCGCTGAAATCTTTGTTAAGAAATGGATTTCTCTTCAGGATCGAACAGTTTCCTCGACGCGAGCAACCTCAGCGTCAGATCCGAGAATGTTTCGCCGGAGAAGGTAATTAATTTACAATGTTTGCCGATTCTGATAAACATCATGTTATTTGCACCGAGTTAATCTAGCTCAATGCTGTTTGCACTTTATTTCAAACAAGATGAAGATAAGCCTCTTTAATTGCTTCCATTGAACAAATATCTTGAAGTGGATCTAATTAAAATTTATCAAATTTCAGGCGAACGGAAGTAAATTAGCCCGCAAAGAGTCCTACAAGGCGCAGAGGAAAAATTATCGCCAAGAGAAGAAAAGGGTGGCGAACGAGTTGCTGAGCACTTTGAAGGACCCTTCAGTCATCATTCTGGCCGACTGGCTCAAGGTCAGAGGCACCCTCAAGAGTTGGACCAAGCTGTGGTGTGTTCTCAAGCCGGGTCTGCTGCTCCTCTACAAGTCGCCAAAGACCAAAGTAGATTTCAATATTTGGAAGAAAATTCATTCAAAGAAAGTACATTTTTCGTTCAACAGAGTAGTCACTGGGTCGGAACTGTCCTGTTGAGCAATTGCAATGTGATCGAGAGACCTTCAAAGAAGGATGGGTTTTGCTTTAAGTTGTTCCATCCAATGGAACAGTCCATATGGGCACCGAGAGGGCCAGAAAAGGAATCTATGGGTAAGATGGTCATATTTTTATAATTATAAGCCACATTAAAACTTGAATAAAAGTGGAGATTTGAATTTAAATTCAGCTTTTCCTCAATGCGTTTTTGTGACTTTTTTATTGCTTAAGAATAAACAATATATCCTGCTTTTTTCTTTCTTAAACAATAAAAAACACTAAAACCCAATCGAGGAAAAGCCAAATTTAAATTCAAATCACCATGAAACGTGAACTTCTACTCCAAATTTGAAAAAAAAAATATTAAAACTTTTTATCTTGTTTCCAAGAAATGATCCTATTTTATTATGAAAAAAACTTGATTTAAACACAAATAACATCTGTGATAATCTCTGATTAATTTCAATTAAAATAATTCCCTCTTTTATTTTTTGAAGTTGTTGTTTAAAAGACTTTGTCACGCCTTATTTCTTCTCTTATCAAATAACGACGAAACGCGAAACAAGCCCGTTCTTATCAGTCGCAACTTGCAGGTGCCGTCGTGTTGCCGTTGCCGACCGCCTACTTGATTTTTCGTGCCAACTCGCAAGCGGCCGGCAAGTGCTGGATGGACGCCCTCGAGCTCGGTCTTCGCTGCTCCTCTCTGCTCATCCGCACCTCGTCCGGCCGCGACTCGACGCCCCAGGCGCCCGAACACCACTGGGAATTCGAACACCACTTTGCCGACCAAGGTATGTATTAGATTTTTCTTTGTATTTAATTCGGAATGAAATTTATAATTTGTTGCGTAATTGCCGCTTTTCGCTTTTATTTCCCCCTGCGTAATTAAGACTTGCCTAGTCCCGCTTTGGACTCTTTGCTTCACGACTTTCTGCCCTCGACCCCGAACACCCCGCGCAGTCTGCTGCAGCTCAAGCAGCCCAGACTCAGTTCGCCGCACCCGGCGCTGTTCGTGGGCGGCACGCCGGTGCCCTCGCCGACCCCCTTTTTCCACCAACTGTACGCCGCCGTTTCGTGTCTGGAGCGCGAGTTGTCGCCCAACCGCGGGCGCAGCCAGAGCGCAGACATGGGACAGCCGCGGTGCGGCTCCTCCAACCGAATGTCGCTCGACATTTCCCAGATTTCCGCTTTGAGCGCCAAAGTAGCCGCGCTTGAATCTAATTGCTTGACAGAGTCCAGCACCATGGACACCATGAAGGGCGACCAGCACTCGGTGTCCGAGTCGGAGACAGACTCGGACGGAGGCAAACACGACGACGGGCTGCTCGACGACCCTGACTGGGAACCCGAAAAGACGCCCTACATCGAAAACGAAGAGGAAGAGTTTGGCTCGGTAAAGACAATAAGAAAAAAATTATGTGTGGATTTAAAAAGAAAATCCCAATAACCTTTTTTGTGTTGGTCAGATTTATAAGATCTAAGAATTTTTTAATTTTATATTTAAAGATCTGTCAGAAAATTCATAAATTCTGAATTAAAATAAAATAAACTCTAATCTTAAATTTTAGACAGAAAATTTCAATTTTTCATTACATTGAGAAATAAATTTAATTGAAAATTATTTTCAATTTCTTGAGTTTTTGAAGTCTTGAGAAAAAAGTGGTGTCCAAAAAATTAAAATTGTCCGTTTAGTTTCAATTTTGTGTTGGATAAAAAGATTTTTTTTTTTAATTTGATCAACTTTCAGAATAAATTTTGGTTTGAATTTTATGAACCAATCAATTTCTCATCTATCCACATTAATATTATTTAAAAAATAAATATTTAATAAAATGTTCTCCTTAAAATCAAATGCAAATTATTGCTAAAAGTTGTTAAATTATTTTTTTATTCAAGGCTGGCGAGCAAACTGAAGAGTTGGCCGAGGAGAACAAGTCACTAATTTGGTTCCTGATGAAGCAAGTCCGCCCTGGCATGGACCTGTCCAAAGTCGTCCTCCCAACCTTCATTCTCGAACCAAGGTCCTTCCTCGACAAACTTAGCGACTCCTACTACCACGTGGACCTTCTCTCTCAGTAAAGAAGTTCAAACTCTGTGTATTTATGAAATTTACTTTTATTTAATCTATTTACAGAGCTGTTGTTGAGGAAGACGCGTTCACGAGGATGAAATTGGTCGTCCGGTGGTACCTTTCTGGTTTTTACAAGAAACCCAAGGGGTTGAAGAAGCCGTACAATCCCGTCCTAGGAGAAAGTTTCAGATGCTGCTGGAACCATCCAAATGGCTCCAAAACCTACTATTTGGCAGAACAGGTAAAATAAATTATTCCAAGATTCGATTTAATCTTAGCTTTTAAATCAGGTGTCTCATCATCCACCTGTGTCCGCCTTTTACGTAACGAACCGGCAAGAGGGTTTCTGCATCACAGCGTCCATCCTCGCTAAGTCAAAGTTCTACGGCAACTCGACGTCTGCCATTCTCGACGGCACCGCCATCCTCACATTGTTGCCTCGCGGCGAGGACTACACAATCACAATCCCCTACGCCCACTGCAAGGGCATCCTGATGGGCACCCTGACCATGGAGTACGGCGGCAAAGTGGCCATCGAGTGCGAGAAGACGGGTTACAAAACGGAAATTGAGTTCAAGCTGAAAGTGGGCCATCTGTCTAGCTGATTAACGAATTATCTATTAACTCGATTGTTCATATTCCAGCCGCTCATCAGAAATATGGAGCCTAACTTGATATCAGGGAGATTAAAGCTCGGGAAAGAGACTTTTGCCACTATCGACGGTTTCTGGGATGGAGAGATTACGATCAAAGACAGGAGAACTGGGGTCAGTGCATCATTTTATTAGTACATGTGGTACTTAAATTTTTTGTATTATTTCAGGAGGAACAAATTTTCTGGAGCCCAACACCAGAAATGAAAGCTAAAAGGCTCAAAAGATGCACTGTCCCTCTGACGCATCAGGGCGAGTTTGAGTCTGAACGACTTTGGCAGCACGTTTCGGCCGCAATCAGAAGAGACGATCAGGTAATTTTTATTAATAAAAAGCTTCAAAATAAATCAACTTTTGAATCAGGTGGCAGCAACAGAGGAGAAAACTGTTTTGGAGGAGGCGCAGCGGGCGTCAGTCAAAGAGCGCAAGGCCAAATGCGAAGATTGGACGCCAAAATACTTTGAACAAGACTTGATCAGCGGGCAGTGGGTTTACCGGCACTCGGACTTGCGGCCGTGGGACACGCGCAACGACGTGTTCCAGTACGAGTGCGACTACGTCATCCAGACAAAGACCAGGCACAAGACGCCGATGATCCGTACCTCTAGCATAGTCAGTGTGGAGCCGTCTAGTGGTGTATGCAGAAATACACTGAAAGAATCTAGATTCGCAGTGAATGGTATTAATTTTGATCTTCAGATTCCCCTTCTGTCAGCCGACGTGAGGGACGCTGTGAGGAGGAGGGCAGGGGACAGCATCAGCACCAGCAACGAAGATAATCATAGCGATTCTAGCGGGTCGGAGGGAGGAATGAGGCTCCGACAAGAAAAGTAATTTAATTTAAATGATTCAAAAATTGGATGTTAGAAATTGCAATTTTAAATATTGCAATCAAACTATTCGGAAGTTTTTGAGGCTTAAATTTTTAGCAATTAGTCGCTGACTGAACAAGCTTGCAAATTTTTCTTAGTTGTGGATCCATCGGTAGTTGAATTTGATTGATTTGAAATAACAATTTTAAATATTCCAATCAAATTATTCGGAAGTTTTTGAGGCTTAAATTTTTAGCAATTAGTCGCTGACTGTACAAGCTTGATAAATTTCTTAGTTGTGGATCCATCGGTAGTTGAATTTGATTGATTTGAAATAACAATTTTAAGCGAAAATTCTTTTAATTATTCAAAAAAGAAAATAATTCCCAATTTGAATAAAGAATGTCAGGGGAGTGTTTTTTTCCTTTCTTGGATTAAAATCTTTTAATTATGTAGAATTTATTTAAACTTTTTTATTCTTAACCCTTTCTAAAGAATATTAATTTATTATTTCCCTTTCTAGAATTCGGGAGGCGTTGAAACCGTTGGAGGTAATGGTCTCTCAACAAGCAGAGCATTTAAAACGTCTGGACACCAAACTGGACAAGATTGGTGTGGTCATGTCCAAGCGGCAGCAGCAAAACGGCAGTGGCGTCGCTCAGATTGCCGCTTGCATCTTTCTGGCCGGCCTTGTGCACGCGCTTTTCGCTTGGCTGCTGTTCTACCGAAACAAGTGAAGGAATCTCGCTGCAATATTTACAAGAAGAGCTTCATCTGATTTCAATCCTGCCATATTAATGATTACTAGTTACTTTGCCGTACGTGTTTTAGACTTCTTTTCCGCATGGTTACGTTTTATCGCAAGCGTGAGAGTTTTACAACACATTCCTGGTTGATTTGTTTTTGGAACTTTTTATATAAATGCAGGTCACTTTTTATTCAACGTTGAATCTCACTTTTTAGAAGAGGAAGGAAAAAATTATGTGATAGAATCGGCAAAGCACTCAGTTTGGCCTGCTGGAATCGCAAACACTAATTCATTTTTTTTAGTTCTATACACTTTTTGTATGCTTTGTTAGAAATGTGTGAACAATCAATTTTTATAAGCAGTGCATTTTTAAACTCGTAGTCGGACAAATTAGGCGCAGTTGTTGTTTTGGAGTTTTTATTAACAAAAAATGGAGGATTTTTAAATCACTCGGCTTGTTCTCCTGAGCTCGCAAAATCCTCAATCAGACTCAAAGTCAATTAAATCATTTAAAAAAGAAAAAAACAATTAAGTCTCAGGAGAAGTAAAATATACAAAGAAGTTATCTTGCTTGTATCTCTGTGTTCCCCTTCGGAAATAATATTATCTTTAAAATTTCAAATTGTACTAATGCGACCACACAACAGTCTGAAACTGCTACTACTGATATTTAGAAGCCACAAATCTGAGTAAATGGCGGCTTGAATTTCTCCCTAAGAAGCAACTTTCTTGAAATAATAATATAAAAATTAATACTTTGTACCACACACCAAGAATATAGTAGCCAAAAGAGAGAATTCGAATGGGAACTTAACATTGGAATTGATGAAAGAGAGATTATATTGTGAAAAGAACCAGTTTGAATGTTAGTTTTGGAATTGTTCTGATCTAATTTAAAACCCTGAGAGAACGTGGTCACCTTATTGTTTTGTGAGTGATGAAAAATGCAATTACTTGCAGTGCATATATTATTGGTTATGTAGGAATTAATAACTCAAATCTCTCTCTCTGTGGTAGATTTATTGCTATTTAACTTGAAAAGCGTCACTGTATACCTAAATTATTATATATACCTTGTTATCTGTCCCTGTTGTTAGTTAAAACTGCTGTACAAGAAGTTGAAAAATATAATTCTCCACCAAGAAATTGGATTTTTTTTCTATTATTATTTGATCCTATTTGTTTTTAAAAGGAGAGGCTTTTGTTAAAAAAACCGTCCGATCAATTTTGAATCTTGAATTATCTAAGTTTTATCTACATTAATTTTTTATATCAGTTGAGTCAGTTGCAAGGAGACAGAATAAGAAATATTTAATTTATAATGGAACTTAATTTTTTTGAAATTTAAAATTGTTTTTTATTGGAATTTTCTAAAATAATTTTTATCCCAAAATTTAGAAATTTAAAAAAAAAAATCACGTTAACTAGTATTATGTAAATTGTTCGATTGCTAGCAAAATTACAATATTCAATTGCTTATATGTATTCATTAGAATACATTTTTTGTTCAAGAAAAAATCTAATGTGGTGAAAAAAATACGAAGCTTTAGTTTCTACGTTGATATGCATGCATGGGTCTTATCAGCTAAAAGTAATAAAATTGATTTGTTGAAATTTTAAATTAATGGTATTTTGAGTTAATTTTTGATGTTTTATTTTATATTATAGCGGCAAAAAATTTAAATTACAAAAAACTCAAAGCAGATATATGAGCAACAAGAAGTGTCAATGGCACAACAGATACTATTTGATTGAAAAATTCCAAAATATAAAGAGTACAAAGGCTTGTTATTGACAAAAATATACAATCTCTTAGTTTGGACAAACAACCAAACAAATTGGCAACTGTGAAATCATACAACAAAAATAAAATTAATGAAAAGTCCTCTTGGGTACTGGCCCAACTTGGACATGAAGTTGGAAAGTTCATCGCAAGTATTTTACGCGAGAATAGCAGACCATTTAAAAAATACAGAGAATTGAAGTACAAATATGAACGCTGACGCCAGTTGCAAAAGACATGATTTCATTCACACGTGGCGGAAGGAGCAGTTATTTCTCAGACAGTTTTTTTCAACACATCTGAACCTTTTGATCGACAAAAAGCACGACTGGCAGATGAAAAAATGTTCACAATCTGAATGAAAAATTACTTCAGACTCCTTGTTGCATTCGCGGCACCTTTTCTCCAAGACGACAGAGGTCACTGGGTAAAAAAAATATAATCAATAAATATCCCATTTACATATTGAATTCAATTCTTACTGTCCAGAGAAATCAACTTGGCGAGACGAATGAATCGCTCCAACGAAGTGACGGTCTTGTCAACGGTTTTGGCTCCCTCCGTGACTCCATCAAGTAATTTACCGACCATGTCCTCGTCCCACTTGCCTGCTTCGGCGTAGCACAACGACTCCGTCAATTGCTTGATGCAGGAAATCTCTTCAGCGTTTAATTTGACTCTGCTGATCTGTGGATATTTTGGAATACATTTTTACTAAAAAATTTTTTTTTTAAATAAAATATTTACCTTTAGAGACAGAAACCTGTCAGCACCTCCAACAACGTGAGCTGGTGGTGCCAATTGACGATGCCTCTCCGGTAACACATTATCATCATGAGAATCTTCACCGTCCTGATCGCTCGAGAACTTGAAATCTGGTTCTTCTCTCTCCGACTGTTACAATAAAATTAAAATTCAATGAAGCAAGAAGCAATCAAAATTGTTTTTTACATTACCAGTAGCTTTGCAATAGTTCTTTTCAGTTCGTCCAGCTCGGACCGAGAGACACGTCCAGTTTTTGAGGCATTATTTTTCTTCTCCCTGATAACGAAAAAAGAGAAATAAAATCAGTTCTGTAAGAAGAGCAGACTACGGAAAATATTTAATTACCATTCCTCTCTCTCACGGGTTGTGCGCTCACACTTTTGTTCATGTCTATAAACTGAAGAGGGTCTGAGGAGTTTTTTGCATATCGTGCACTGTCTGAAAAAAATTTATAATAATTATTTTGTTTGAATTTTTTATAGCATTCGTGTGGGTGGGATGATATCAAACTATATAGTTTATATACGAGGCACATTTCATATGAGTATAGTGCTGACCCCCTTGCAAATTGTTGGAATTTCCCTTAAAAAAAAACTTAAATTATAATTTGCCCAAATAGTATAATTAAAATTTCCGAGTGGCTGAAATTTCCATGCTTTAAACGGTAAATTTGGTAATCAAAACTTTGGCTAGAGAACTTTTTGTGCATTGTTTGCATCAAGAGGAACCCCTTATTGGCCCATCTGTTTTTCAGAAGGAAATAAGTAGAAACTCTCTCTGGACGATGAATTATAGGAATCGCACGGTACCAGCAAATATATTGCCTTCTTTTATAGAACACGCGCGTACAACACAATATACAAAAACTGGCAAAACCACGTATAATTCGTAACGCCCAGCGTAGTATGTTGAAAATTTTGTTACTATTTTCCAATTTTAATTTTATATGAGCTATATAGTTAATTATAATTTCCAGCCAAGAAATTAAATTAAATTATAAATAACATGCAATTTTTCTAGAAGCATAAATAGTTTTTTATGGAATATATTTAAAATAAAAATATTTTGTACATTGATTATTAAGATTAAGCCTAAATAAAAAGATTTTGTAAATATTTTTAATAATTATTTGCCAAATTTTAATCACTTGGTTCTCGCTCTCTCCTTGGCGCACACGTCGCGCGATCCGTGATTTTGTGGCACCAACGCTTGCCAAACACAAATTGCACGCCGGCAGAGTGAAATGTGTTTGCATCAGGCTCAAAATCGACAATTTTCTACCACTACCTACGTGGTTTTTCAAGAGCGGCGAAATATACTTTTTGGTTAGAAAATCAAAAATAAATTGGCGAAAAAAATCAATGACTTTTTCTAGATTTATTTGTACAAAACAATTTGCCTTGACAGTCTTGATACGATCCTTTTTTAATAGAATATCGGCGGGCGGGCCATGCAATTTCTGGAACTAATTCGTGCAAATTGTCTGAACGCATCATGGTTATTTTATTTTTTGTGCTGATGATTTTCAACTGATCGGCAGTGCAACTCGACCAAGATAAAAAAAGTGGATAGTTAATATCCCATTAAACGTTCTCGTCTATGATCCAGTTTACGAGAACTATTCAGGGATGTTTGTGAGCTTGTGATTTAAACTTTGTTGCAAGGTAAGTCATTATTAAAATTTAAATAAAAAAAAATTAGTTAAAATCTACACACACAAAAGTATTAGGATTGCACAATTTTATATCATTGGAAAAATAATCGTCGAACAAATAGAGAAAAAGATCATGCAAAACTTGCAAATAAAAGTTTGAATTTTATCTTCTAATTGTAACGGTCATGGTGGAATGCCGCTGTAGTGAGGTAAAATTCAAGTCGTTTGCAAACAAACACCTCCCCGGTCGCTGCTAAGCAAAAGCAAAATAGCCCAAATTGATGAGACGGTCAGCAGCGAGCGGTGGCCAGTCGTAGAGATGTAAAGAATTAATCAAAATGCGCGTTCTTTCTCGAGCTACGCGGTCTACAATTCTTAAATTACCCCAATAACTCTCGGCGAGCTCGGCTTGGAATGATGTGAATTTATTAATTATATTCTTTTTATAAGCTATATATCAGGTTATTCATGAAATTTCTAAATGCTAGAAATAATTCTAGATGAGCAAAGTCCGCGAATTTTCTAGAGCCACGCAGGATAAAATGAGTCAAATAAAAATTGATATAATTTTCAAACATTTCTCATTTTTACTGAAAAAAATTGGTGTCAAACTTACTTGAGGTCTTTCTCCTCGGAAGGGTCCCTGCGGCGAGACCTACTGCCAGTTGCTGATGGTTGCTTTTTAATCGTACCAGTTGATTTTTTCATTATGTATCAAATTAGCACCTGTTGAGCACAAAGTTTATTAAATGAAAATTTTGTTTTCATTAAAATGTATAATATACACCGACCGCCTTTGAAATCAAGGTTTCGGTGGCGATAAGGGATTGCTCGGATCAACGCGGTGGCGGCGGCAACATTTACCTGAGAATATAAGAATTGATAATGGGCAGCGCCAAAAACGGTGATCGAGGGATCAATCAATGGAAGATCGCAGAGGCGATGAGGAGTTTCTTGTCGGCAATTGAAGTCTGAGTCTCGTGAAATTTCTGCGGCGACAAGACGACAAGAGCCGGGTCAGCCGAGCCGACAGCCTTCCTCTTCCTTCTCCCTCCTGCGGCTCCTGCGTGCCCTGCTCCCACTCATTAGGGAGCCAGGTGGATGTAAGGGGGGTGTATAATGCATGGACTATAATAATTTTGTAAATCAATGATTTACTATGGGTATGGATTATTGCAACGCGGGGGAGAATGGCGCGCACAATTCGTTTTTGCGCAAGTTTAATTTTTTATTAATTCGCGCAGAGATGAAACTTTCAATTGTTCACACACAACCAAAATCTTAAAAAATTTTTATTTGTAAAAATTCTGTATCTGGAGCCGAGTTTATGCGTGAATTTTGTATTTTTTGAATAGAGAAAAGACTATTAAAATAGTTATATGATAAATAAAATGGGATGAATAATAAAATATACTGTGCAAAAGATAAAGTGTGTTTGGAAAGAATTATGAGAAAAACTTAATAGTGAAACAAAACAAGTAGCGTTTATTTCCCTTCTGGGAAAAAAATAACATAATGTTTTTTTTTTTTACTTTTTAATTTGAATCTTTTTGCAAGGATTTTCAAAAGAATTAAAGAAAACTTCCCAAAACTTCTATTATTGAATAAAAAGTGCCAGTTTCCCGCTCAAATTCAAATCGTTTGTCTTCGTCGCTCCAGCTGCAGCCTATGCGCCTAATAACTGAACAGACTGAACTAGAAAACAAACATTGGAAGTTCTTATCTCTTACACTGAGAACTCGGAGTTGTTTGCAGTCAGGTACTGACTTTGAGCAATAATTCGCGTGTGTAGATTACAAAAAGCAAGAAAAGCACCGTAATTTCTGTCTTCAAAAGTCTTCTTCAGGTGAGAAAACGTTGCCGGAAACCGGCTCCCCCGCAGTGAGTCATGTAAATTTTTGACAGATCTAGAAAAAGTGTCAAAAATTTTCACTTAAATTTCATTATAACTTTATAAAACCTAAAACCTGTTAATTTATATTTATTACAAAAATTTTCATATCTTTAAGTTTAATCCAAGTGAAAAATTGCATTTCCTTGGCCATGTCAATCAAAGCAAATTAATTCTGTTCCGCATTTTGTTTAACATTTTCACATCGCAAGGGCGCGGCATTTTTGTAGCCCCAACTGCTCATCTTCAGCAATATGAATAAATGAAGCAGCATCATGTGAAATTAATTAAAATCTGGGTAGTGTCTCTGATTCTCTCCCACACAAATTCCCTCTCTGAAATTTTCAATATAATTAAGTAAAATATTTCCAGATTTTAAAATGTGGAAAGCTTCCGTGCGTCACAATGTTGCACCCAAGGCTCCGGTCAACGACGACGACGACGCCTGGGAAACCGACCCTGACTTTGTCAACGACGTGTCCGAGGAGGAGCAACGATGGGGCTCGAAAACCATCGAAGCTTCCGGCAGGACGGCTGGTGCCATTGAGTAAAAATCAAGAATAAGTCTGAATAAATAAAAAACATTAATTTTTATAAATTTTCAGCATGAAAAAGTTGATTGAGGAGACAAAGCAGGGTGATGCCCAGGTCAAGGAAAAACAGCTCGCAGACGGTCCCAAAGCTGCTTACGGCTACGGCGGCAAATTTGGAGTGCAGGAAGACAGGTTTGGATTTTCTTAAATATATTAATTATAAAATGTTTTGTTGTTATTAATTTTTTTGAATTGCTATAAAATCATAACAAATTGTAATAAATTATAATTATCTTATATAAGAATACTTTTATAAGAGTCTGGCTAAATTTAACTTAAATTACATTATGTGCGTGGTGGGTTAGTTATTATATAATAAAAACCAGGCTACCAATAAGATTATAAAATTAGTATTAATATATTATTATTTTAAACTGTTTTAAACTAAAATGACAATTTTGGTTTGAATTTTACGAGCCCCTTAATTTTTCATCTATGCACATTAATATTATTTAAAAAATCAATATTTAATAAAATGTTAAAATGTTCTAATCAAATGCAAATTATTGCTAAAAGTTATTAAATTATTTTTTTTTATTCAAGGCTGGCGAGCAAACTGAAGAGTTGGCCGAGGAGAACAAGTCACTAATTTGGTTCCTGATGAAGCAAGTCCGCCCTGGCATGGACCTGTCCAAAGTTGTCCTCCCAACCTTCATTCTCGAACCAAGGTCCTTCCTCGACAAACTTAGCGACTCCTACTACCATGTGGACCTTCTCTCTCAGTAAATAAGTTCAATCTTTGTGTATTTATGAAATTTACTTTTATTTAATCTATCTACAGAGCTGTTGTTGAGGAAGACGCGTTCACGAGGATGAAATTGGTCCTCCGGTGGTACCTTTCTGGGTTTTACAAGAAACCCAAGGGGTTGAAGAAGCCATACAATCCCGTCCTAGGAGAAAGTTTCAGACGCTGCTGGAACCATCCAAATAGCTCCAAAACCTACTATTTGGCAGAACAGGTAAAATAAATTATTCCAAGATTCGATTTAATCTTAGCTTTTAAATCAGGTGTCTCATCATCCACCTGTGTCTGCCTTTTACGTAACAAACCGGCAAGAGGGTTTCTGCATCACAGCGTCCATCCTCGCCAAGTCAAAGTTCTACGGCAACTCGACGTCCGCCATTCTCGATGGCACCGCCATCCTCACATTGTTGCCTCGCGGCGAGGACTACACAATCACCATCCCCTACGCCCACTGCAAGGGCATCCTGATGGGCACCCTGACCATGGAGTACGGCGGCAAAGTGGCCATCGAGTGCGAGAAGACGGGCTACAAAACGGAAATTGAGTTCAAGCTGAAAGTAGGCCATCTGTCGAGCTGATTAACGAATTTTCTATTAACTCGATTGTTCATATTCCAGCCGCTCATCAGAAATATGGAGCCTAACTTGATATCAGGGAGATTAAAGCTCGGGAAAGAGACTTTTGCCACTATCGACGGTTTCTGGGATGGAGAGATTACGATCAAAGACAGGAGAACTGGGGTCAGTGCATCATTTTATTATAGTACATGTGGTACTTAAATTTTTTGTATTATTTCAGGAGGAACAAATTTTCTGGAGCCCAACACCAGAAATGAAAGCTAAAAGGCTCAAAAGATGCACTGTTCCTCTGACGCATCAGGGCGAGTTTGAGTCTGAACGACTTTGGCAGCACGTTTCGGCCGCAATCAGAAGAGACGATCAGGTAATTTTAATTAATAAAAAGCTTCAAAATAAATCAACTTTTGAAACAGGTGGCAGCAACAGAGGAGAAAACTGTTTTGGAGGAGGCGCAGCGGGCGTCAGTCAAATAGCGCAAGGCCAAATGCGAAGATTGGACGCCAAAATACTTTGAACAAGACTTGATCAGCGGGCAGTGGGTTTACCGGCACTCGGACTTGCGGCCGTGGGACACGCGCAACGACGTGTTCCAGTACGAGTGCGACTACGTCATCCAGACAAAGACCAGGCACAAGACGCCGATGATCCGTACCTCTAGCATAGTCAGTGTGGAGCCGTCTAGTGGTGTATGCAGAAATACACTGAAAGAATCTAGATTCGCAGTGAATGGTATTAATTTTGATCTTCAGATTCCCCTTCTGTCAGCCGACGTGAGGGACGCTGTGAGGAGTAGGGCAGGGGACAGCATCAGCACCAGCAACGAAGATAATCATAGCGATTCTAGCGGGTCCGAGGGAGGAATGAGGCTCCGACAAGAAAAGTAATTAAAGTTAAATGACTCAAAATTGGATGTTAGAAATTGCAATTTCAAATAATTCCAATCAAATTATTCGGAAGTTTTTGAGGCTTAAATTTTTAGCAATCAGTCGCTGACTGAACAAGCTTGATAAATTTCTTAATTGTGGATCCTTCGGTAGTTGAATTTGATTGATTTGAAATAACAATTTTAATTAAAAATTCTTTTAATTATTCAAAAAAGAAAATAATTCCCATTTTGAATTAAGAATGTCAGGGGAGTGTTGTTTCCTTTCTTGGATTAAAATCTTTTATTTATGTAAAATTTAGGATTAAAATCTTTTATTTATGTAAAATTTCTTTAAACTTTTTTATTCTTAATCCTTTTTAAAATAATATTAACTCATTATTCCCCTTTCTAGAATTCGGGAGGCGTTGAAACCGTTGGAGGTAATGGTCTCTCAACAAGCAGAGCATTTAAAACGTCTGGACACCAAACTGGACAAGATTGGTGTGGTCATGTCCAAGCGGCAGCAGCAAAAAGGCAGTGGCGTCGCTCAGATTGCCGCTTGCATCTTTCTGGCCGGCCTTGTGCACGCGCTTTTCGCTTGGCTGCTGTTCTACCGAAACAAGTGAAGGAATCTCGCTGCAATATTTACAAGAAGAGCTTCATCTGATTTCAATCCTGCCATATTAATGATTACTAGTTACTTTGCCGTACGTGTTTTAGACTTCTTTTCCGCATGGTTACGTTTTATCGCAAGCGTGAGAGTTTTACAACACATTCCTGGTTGATTTGTTTTTGGAACTTTTTATATAAATGCAGGTCACTTTTTATTCAACGTTGAATCTCACTTTTTAGAAGAGGAAGGAAAAAATTATGTGATAGAATCGGCAAAGCACTCAGTTTGGCCTGCTGGAATCGCAAACACTAATTCATTTTTTAGTTCTATACACTTTTTGTATGCTTTGTTAGAAATGTGTGAACAATCAATTTTTATAAGCAGTGCATTTTTAAACTCGTAGTCGGACAAATTAGGAGCAGTTGTTGTTTTGGAGTTTTTATTAACAAAAAATGAAGGATTTTTAAATCACTCGGCTTGTTCTCCTGAGCTCGCAAAATCCTCAATCAGACTCAAAGTCAATTAAATCATTTAAAAAAAAAAAAAAAAAACAGTTAAGTCTCAGGAGAAGTAAAATATACAAAGAAGTTATCTTGCTTGTCTCTCTGTGTTCCCCTACGGAAATAATATTATCTTTAAAATTTCAAATTGTACTAATGCGACCACACAACAGTCTGAAACTGCTACTACTGATATTTAGAAGCCACAAATCTGAGTAAATGGCGGCTTGAATTTCTCCCTAAGAAGCAACTTTCTTGAAATAATAATATAAAAATTAATACTTTGTACCACACACCAAGAATATAGTAGCCAAAAGAGAGAATTCGAATGGGAACTTAACATTGGAATTGATGAAAGAGAGATTATATTGTGAAAAGAACCAGTTTGAATGTTAGTTTTGGAATTGTTCTGATCTAATTTAAAACCCTGAGAGAACGTGGTCACCTTATTGTTTTGTGAGTGATAAAAAATGCAATTGCAGTGCATATATTATTGGTTATGTAGGAATTAATAACTCAAATCTCTCTCTGTGGTAAATTTATTGCTATTTAACTTGAAAAGCGTCACTGTATACCTAAATTATTATATATACCTTGTTATCTGTCCCTGTTGTTAGTTAAAACTGCTGTACAAGAAGTTGAAAAAATATAATTCTCCACCAAGAAATAGGATTTTTTTTCTATTATTATTTGATCCTATTTGTTTTTAAAAGGAGAGGCTTTTGTTAAAAAAACCGTCCGATCAATTTTGAATCTTGAATTATCTAATATTTATCTACATTAATTTTTTATATCAGTTGAGTCAGTTCCGAGGAGACAGAATAAGAAATATTGAATTTATAATGGAACTTGATTTTTTTGAAATTTAAAATTGTTTTTTATTGGAATTTTCTAAATAATTTTTATCCCAAAATTTAGATATTTTTCAAAAAAAAAAAAAAAATTACGTAAACAAGTTCATTATTAAAATTAAAAAAAAAAAAATTAGTTTAAATCTTCACATAAAAAAGTATAACGATTGCACAATTTTATCATTGGATGCTGGAGAAAAAGAATCGTCGAACAAAATAGAGAAAAAGATCATGCAAAACTTGCAAATAAAAATTTGAATTTTATCTACTTTGTAACATGGTCATGGTGGAATGCCGCTGTAGTGAGGTAAAATTCAAGTCGCTTGCAAACAAACTACTCTGCTAAGCAAAAGCAAGAAAAGCTGAATCGAAGACGGTCAGCAGCGAGCGGTGGCCGCAGTCGTCGAGGATGTAAAGAATGTATCAAAATGCGCGTTCTTTCTCGAGCTACGCGGGTCTGCAATTCTTAAATGACCCAAACAACTCTCGGCGAGCTCGGCTTGGAATGATGTGAATTTATTAATTATATTCTTTTTCTTCGAATGATAAGCATTCAAGGAATTGCTAAAAATAATCCTGAGCAAAGTCCGCGAATTCTCTAGAGCCACGCAGGATAAAATGAGTCAAATAAAAATTGAAATTATTTTCAAACATTTTTCATTACTGAAAATAATTGGTGTCAATCTTTCTTGAGGTCTTTCTCCTTGGAAGGGTCCCTGCGGCGAGGCCTACTGCCAGTTGCTGATGGTTGCTTTTTAATCGTACCAGTTGATTTTTTCATTATGTATCAAACGCACCTGCGTTGAGCACAAAGTTTATTCAAAGAAAATTTTGTTTTCTGGTCTTGCCTTTGACTCACAAGTTGTTGCCATAGCAGGAATGGTTCCATTGAAGCTTGCGAGAATTTCAAGTTTTTGTTTTTAGAATTTTCGTCGTTTTTGCCAAAATTTCATTAAAGAACGTACACATGAAAGATTTAATCTATATATGGATAATGATTGTGACACGGCCGGGTGTAATTAAAATATTTTCTAAGCAAGTTGATTCTTTGCAAGTTTTTTTTTTTATTTTTATATGTGTCTCGGAACAAAATATGGTTGAAGAAAATTATTCTAAGTTATACAAACTAGCTATTAACAAAAATTTTTATAACATAAAACAATTTTAGTTGAGACAAATAAGCAAAAAAAATATTGGCAGCCTCAAAATTCAGTCTTCAAAAAGACAAATTTATGCGAAGATAAACGAGCACCTGACAAGTGAAACCAAAGCCAAAGGAGCAAATTCATTATTAAAGCTAATGCCAAGTGCTAACCATTTCTGACAACAACAAAAGTACCATGAAACAAATGAACACAGAAGCCAGTTGCAAAACTCATGATTTGGTTCACATATTTTGGAAGTGACAATCATTTCTCAGGCAGTCTTCTTTAATACAACTGAACCTCTTGTTAGAACGAAAGCAGGACATGCACACGAAGAAATGTTTGCAGTCGGACTGCAGCAATTCGGTAGATTCCTTGTCGCACTCACGGCATCTGTCGGTTTACTCCAGGACGATTTTTGTCACTGGGGTAAATAAAAATATAATCAATAAATCTACATAATAATAATACAGAATTCCATTCTTACTGTGCTCTACAATCAGCTTGGCAAGACGAACCACTCTCCCTAACATAAGGACGGGTCGCGTCAAAGGTTTTGGCTTGAGCCGTGACACCCTCCAAAATGTTACCAGCCATCTCCTCTTCCCATGGGTTGCCTTTGCGGAAGCACAACAGCGAGTCGGTCAAGTGTCTCTTCAGTGGTCAGTATGACACTGGTCACCTGTGGACATTTTGGACACATTGGTTTAATACTACAATTTTTTTTAAAAGAAAAAGTTTACTTTATGTGCAAAAACCGTTCTGCACCTCCCTCCTGAGCTGGCCTTCGGGTGGACACTTGACGATTTTTTTCCAAGAAAACATCGTCGTCCGAATCTCCAGCACTTCCAGCAGCCTGATCGCTAGACAACTCAGAGTCTACACCTTCTTTCTCCGACTGTTACCATAAAATTGAAATTAAATGAAGCAATGAAAATTATTTTTTACAATACCAATAGTCTGGCCATTGTTCTCTTCATTTGGTCGAGCTCGGACTGAAGAGACTCGTCTAGTGTTTGAGGCACTGTTCATCATCTCCCTGATGACGAAAAAAGAGAAACAAAATCAGTTCTGTAAGAGGAGCACTACGGAAAATATTTAATTACCAATGCTCTCTCGCACGGGTTATTAGGCGCTCACACTTTTTTCATGTCTATATACTGAAGAGGGCCTCAGTAATTTCTTGCAAAAGCTACATGGCCTGAAAAAAAATTGATAATTAGTGGTTATGAATTTTTTAACATTGGTGTGGGTGGGATAATCTATAAGAGGAAATATTAAGTTGAAGCACATTTCATGTAAGTAGTGCAATTGTTGAATTTCCCTTAAAATCTTAAAAAATAATTTGCCCAAAGAGCACAATTAAAATTTTAGAGGGGCTGAAATTCACGTCCAAATTTGGTGATTGAAACTTTGGCTCGAGGACATTTTGTGCATTGTTTACATCAAGAGGTTGTTTTTCAGAAGGAAATAAGACGATGAATTATCAGAATCGCAGCAAATTTAATGTTGCCTTCTTTCATAGAGTACATACTTGAAACACAATATACAAAAACTGACGAAACCATATATGTTACAGTGAGCCTTGTATAATTCGTGTATAGCTCCGCGTAGTATGTACAAAATTTTGTAACCTTTTTCCAATTTTAATTTTATATGAGAGCTATATATAACTATAATTTCCCGCCAAGAAATTAAATTAAATGAAATAATCACAAATAACATGAAATTTTTCTAGAAGCATAAATTGTTTTTCATGAAATATATTTTAATTAAAAATATTTGGTACCTTGAATATTAAGATTACGCCTAAAAAAAAAGATTTTTAAATATTTTTAAAGCTTATTGGCTGATAATTTGAAGGCCTTGGGTTCTATCCCGGCTAGGGTCAGGGCTTGAAAAAGTTCTGATTCTGGCCGGCTAGTTCACAAGACTTAAGGAGATCATAGGAGGTGCATTAATCACTGCGACAGGCAGATTCGGGAGGAATTGCAGGCATTTCGTCTGCAATTTCGGATATGCAGTCTGGTGTTTTCTGCGGTTTCCATCAGACATTCCAGGCGAATGCCGGCATAGTTCCCATTCATAGGCCGCAGCCGCTCACCTTCCTCATATCCTTCAAATTCCCTACATACAAAAACCCATCCTATACTCCTTTCCCCCCGGCCCAGTGGGTCCAAGGTAACCGTGTTATCGGCCCCGAAAGGGGAGAACCCGAGTTATCGGCCCTTGCGATTTAGCAGCCAGTCTGCTAACGCTGGTGCCTTTCCCAAGAGGCATAAACAATTAAATAAAGAAAAAAAAAGATTTGCCAAATTTTAATCACTTGGTTCCTTCTGGCAGTTCCGCTAAATGGACTATAGACGATTGACGTGATTGATTTTTCAAAATTTAAAATGAAAACAAAGTCCCTTTTCGGCAGACCCGCTACATGGTCTATAGACGACTGACGTATATGTTTTTTCAAAATTTACAATTACAACAAAATCTCCCCTTTCGGCAGACACGCTAATGGATTATAGACGACTGACGCATATGATTTTTCAAAATTTACAATTAAAACCAAATAAACTTTTGGCAGACCCGCTACATGGACTATAGACGACTGACGTAATTGATTTTTCAAAATTTACGATAAAAACAAAATCTCTCCATCGGCAGACCCGCTACATGGACTATAGACGACTGACGTACTTGATTTTTCAAAATTTACAATTAAAACAAAATTTCCGTTTCGGTAGACCCGCTACATGAATTATAGACGACTGACGTATATTATTTTTCAAAATTTATAATTAAAACCATATCCCCTTTTGGTAGACCCGCTACATGGACTATAGACGACTGACGTACTTGATTTTTCAAAATTTACAATTAAAACCAAATCCCTATTGGCAGACGCGCTACTTGGACTATAGACGACTGACGTATATGATTTTTCAAAATTTACAATCAAAACCAAATCTCCCCTTTCGGCAGACACTCGCTCTCTCCTTGGCGCATACGTTGCGCGATCCGTGATTTCGGCTCCAACGCGTGCCAAACACAAATTGCACGCCGGCTCAATCTTTGGCGAGTGAAATGTGTTTGCATCAGGCTCAAAATCAACAATTTTTTCCACTACCTACGTGGTTTTCCAAGAAGCGACTAAAAATATATTTTGGTAGAAAAATATATTGGCGAAAAAAATCAATAACTTTTTCTATGATATAGATTTATTTGTAAAAAACAATTTGCCTTTGATAGTCTTGATACGTTCCTTTTTTTAATAGAATATTAATTTGTAAATACGTACGTGAACCTGGGGTTTGGCTAATTTAATCAATTAATTATTTAACTACTTATAAATATATCTCCTTAATTATCATTTATATAATAGTGATCAAATAATTGAAATAATATAGCACGGCCCCAGATTCAGACGCGCTCGCCCGTCCTCTTTCAATACTATTGAGACGTTTGGGAGGAGATTTGCCTATTATGTAAACTATTATCAAGTGGCGGTAATACAAAAGTCAATGCACACAACACGCGACGCGGAGCGTGGGTGCGTTTTGGCCAGATGTGTGAAAGAAGGAAGCGGCAGCTTCTCCTGCTTTGTCGTCAAGCGCTTTTGAGAAAGCGTCGCTCTCATGAATAGTGAGATTGAAAATAATGCTTTGAATAATTTAATTTAAACGTCTCAATTATATTGTCAGATTACGAACTTTCAGAATGATCGATTGGTCTGTTTTAAATGAAATTTATTATTTATGATATAAATAAATATTAAATTTATAAAGCGGTCTTATTTATTTATAAGTTTTATATTTCTGTATTTCCATTTCTTAATATCTAAAGGATTTTGTTTGTCAATTTAAATTTGCTAATTCTTACAGTTAAATTAGAGGATTTTTATTCTGTTGATGACAAGGTTGATACAAATAAAATGTTCAAGTATTGATATATATGTTCAATAACTATTAATATTACCAGATAATAATTTAAGAAGATTCAATTTAAAATCAGTTTAAATTGCACAATAATTAAAATAATTTTGTATGTTGTGTTTCCACTGTAAATTTTCCTTTTTAAAGATTACAAATAATTATGAATTATGATTAAACATACAAAGTAAAATTGATTGAGAGATGGTTTTTTATTTGCGAGAATTAATTAATTAATTCTTGCCTAAATAAATTAAATTTAAATGAACAGGCCCAAGCCTCTAAAAGAGCCTTGTCCTCAGACTCTAACAATATCTTTTTTTATGCGAGATGAACTTTTTGTTTAATTCAGAGAGAGAGAACAGAGTAAATAAAATAGCAAGACAAAATATAAAAGAACACACAATGGGCAAGAAATTAGCGCGAAATATATGCAAACCTTTTCTCTGAAATGAGTGCGGCGGCAGGATGAACACGCCTGGGGTTGACACAATTTTATATTCAATATTAAAACTTATTGAACGGCTAATTGTAGTTGGAGATCTGCGTTTGACGGCCGGTGAGCGAGGTCTGATCTTTATTTTTCCAAATTTTGAGGAGAAAAACTCCTCCTAACTTTAAAAATAAAGCCAATAAGGGTGGTCTAAAATCTAGAAATGCATCACGTGACGAGACAGATAATTAATGTGACACAGAGCAAACCGGTAGGGCGCACGGACTTCGGGGTTCGGGGGAGCGGCGAACTTGTCTCTTCTTTCTTGACGAGCAGGGCGCGCGCACTCAAGTATAATTGATAAATACAGAATGAAATAATTATAAAATAATCTCGCAATTTATAAATTTAAATCTCTCAAATTAGCATGCCAAATTATATGATAATAAATTTTAAAATAATATAATTCTAAAGGAATAATAGGATATAAAATAATTTTCCTAATTAAATCAACCAATAAAAAACGAAATATTCAGGGATGTTTGTGAACTTGTGATTTAAACTTTTTTGCAAGGTCAAAATTAAAAGAAAGAAAATAAAGATAAATAAATAAATAAAATCTTCAGATAAAAAAGTATAATATGATTGCATGAAGCAAATTTTATCATTGGATGCTTTCATTAAAAAAATAAACGTCGAACAAAATTGAGAATACATCATGCGAGACTTTCAAATAAAAATTTGAATTTCATCTAGTTTTTAACTTTGTCATGGTGAAATGCCGTTGTCTTGAGGTAAAATTCGAGTCATTTGCAAACAAACGCCTCCCCGGTCGCTGCTAAGCAAAAGCAAAATAGCCCAATTGATGACGGTCAGCAGCGAGCGGTGGCCGCAGTCGTCGAGGATGTATAGAATGTACATAAAAAGTGCGCGTTCTTTCTCGAGCTACGCGGTCCGCAATTCTTAAATTACCCGAATAACTCTCGGCCCGCTCGGCTTGGAATTTGGAATGATGTGAATTTTTTAATAATATTATTTTTCTTCGAATGATAAGCATTCAAGGAATTGCTAAAAATAAATTCTGAGCAAAGTCCGCGAATTTTCTGGAGCCACACAGGATAAAATGAATCAATTTATCCGAATAAAAATCGAAATAATTTTCAAAAATTTTATTACTGAAAAGGGTTTGTGTTTAACTTACTTGAGGTTGACGTCGGACGGGTCTCTACCACTTGGCCGGCGGTCACTTGGTGGCTGCTTTTTAATCGTTCCTGTTGATTTTTTCATCGTAGATTAGATCCAAAAGGCACCTGTTGAGCACAAAGTTAAATCAATGAAAATTTTGTTTTTCAATAAAAATTATGTATTAGAAAAGACTGCATTTGAAATCAAGGTTTCGGTGGCGATATGGATTTGCTCGAATAAACGCGGTGGCGGCGGCAACATTTACCTGTGATATAGGAATTGATAATTGGCAGCGCCAAAAACGGTGATCGATCAAGGGAATCAGAGGCGAGAGGAGGAGTTTCTTGTTGGAAATAGCACACGTCCTATTCTCTTCAAATCTCTGCGGCGACAAGAGCCGAGTCAGCCGAGCCGACCGCCTTCCTCTTCCTTCTCCCTCCTGCGGCTTCTGCCCTGCTCCCACCATGCAAGGAGCAAGGTGGATGCAAGGGGCTTCCAAGCTTTTACCTTTTAATTGAACAAATAATTTTATTAAAAAAATTTTTAAACAACATTTTTGCTGCAGATAATTTTCGGAGATGTTACTGTTTTGGTGAATGAAGAGCGCATCAGGACACCAAAAAATTTGTCGCCGTTATTTGTCCGAATTTTTTTTTGTCAGAAAACAGCATTTTGCATTTGTCAGAAAATTATTCATCAGAAAACCTCTTTTCCGAATGTCTGAAATTCAAAAGTAAGAAATGCAACACAGTCCGAATTTTTTTAAAATTATTTTTATTATTCTATTATCTAGTATAATTATCTCTTACAAGAGAATTCTCAGACACTACGATTTCTTTTATGGAATCCTGAGGCAAAAGACGGTTTTTTTATTGGCGATTTTAAATGTGAGTGCACTCCGAAGGGTCAATAATAACACTTACTCCGCCAATAATATTTTGAAACTATTTAAGAAATTCTAAATTTTTTTAAAGATTTGTAAACAATTTTAAATTTTTTGCAATTATTAAATCAATGTATTATTTTTACACATAAGATTTTGTATAGTGTTTTATTTATTATTATTTTTTTTTAATTCATTGGTCAATGGACAATAGTTTTTAAAAATTATGAATTACTCAACTGATTTTTTTGGAGAAAAATTAAACTGTTTGTATTCAAATTGAATTATATTGTCACTGAATTTAGTGCCATCTGCCACGAAAGATGGTTTAGATAGTTTGCTTTGTTTTAAATTCATGCAATTATGAGGATCTATTGCTGACTTAAATCAATTTTAATTCTCACATCAAGGCTGTTCTGCTCACAAAATGAGAATAAAAAAAATGAAAAAAAAAATAATAAGATTTTTGCTATCAACAAGTTTAGATTTTAGTCCACTTCACATTAACCAAGATTTAAGCACCTGTGCGCAAGGAAAAGCGTTTTCTGATAAATGGATTTCGGATAAATAAAAACTGTTGTTCTGATAAGTGATTTCTGCGTTGAATAATTTTCGGACAAATGCCGAAAAAAAAATTCGGATGTCTTTTTTTCAGACAAATAAGGGTTTCCCGATCTTATGGGTTAAAGGTTGAGAAGTTTTATTTAACAGTGTAGATGTCATAAGCTCCTCGTGAAGTGGAAAAATTCTTAAAAAATTATCATTTCTATTTTTATGGAGTGAAATTATATTTCGCGCTAAATGCAGTCAAATTCTCGAATAGGGCTCAACAGTAGTTCACTTTCCCGCCGCAAGTCTAAAGCGCCACGTATGTAAATATGGAAGACTGAACTCGCAAACATCGGAAGTTCTTATCTCTAAAACTGAGAACTCAGTGATATTTGGAGTCGGGTACCGACTTTGAGCAATAATTTGCGAGTTAGATTACGAACGGCAAGCAAGCACTGTAATTTTTGTCTTGAAAAGTCTTCGTCAGGTGAGAAAACGTTGCCGGAAAAACCGGCTCCCCCGCAGTGAGACTCGTAAATTTTTGACAGTTCTAGAAGAAGTGTCAACAATTTTCACTTTAATTCCACATAATATTATGAAACCTATAAATTCATTACGAAAATTTACAAATCTTTAAGTTGAATCCAAGTGGTTAATTGTATTACATTGTCAATCAAATTATTTTAGTTCCGCATTTTGTTTTGTTTTGCATTTTACACATCGAAAGGGCGCGGCATTTATGGCATTTATATCCCCACTGCTCATCTTCAGCAATGAATTAAAATGAACCAGCTCATGTGAAATAAATTTAAATCTGGGTCGTTCCTCTGATTCTCTCCCACACCATTCATTGAGATCATTCCACGCACCGTCTCTCAAATTTGCAGTAATTATAAAAATTTAAATTTCCCTAGATTTAAAAATGTGGAAGGCTTCCGTGGGTCACAATGTTGCACCCAAGGCTCCGGTCAACGACGACGACGACGCCTGGGAAACCGACCCTGACTTTGTCAACGACGTGTCCGAGGAGGAGCAACGATGGGGCTCGAAAACCATCGAAGCTTCCGGCAGGACGGCTGGTGCCATTGAGTAAAAATCAAGAATAAGTCTGAATAAATCTCAGAAAAATTAATTTTAAAAATTTTCAGCATGAAAAAGTTGATTGAGGAGACAAAGCAGGGTGATGCCCAGGTCAAGGAAAAACAGCTCGCAGATGGTCCCAAAGCTGCTTACGGCTACGGCGGCAAATTTGGAGTGCAGGAAGACAGGTTTGGATTTTTTTTAAATATATTAATTATCGGTTTTTTTCACTTTGCACTAAGCAACGGAGTTTTTTCACTAAATTTAAATTTAGCCAGACTCTTATTTTATAAGTATTCTTATATAAGATAATTATATTTTATTACAATTTTTTATGATTTATTATAGCAATTAAAAAAAATTAATAACAACAAAATAGTTTATAATTAACGTTAATTTTAAACTATCTTGTTGTTATTAATTTTTTTGAATTGCTATAATAAATCATAAAAAATTGTAATAAAATATAATTATCTCATATAAGAATACTTTTAAAATAAGAGTCTGGCTAAATTTAAATTTAGAGAAAAAACTCCGTTGCTTAGTGCAAAGTGAAAAAACTATAATATTAGTGCGAGAAATTTCACTTGTTTTAGATTATTAATTATTTACTTCCATATAATTAACGTTATTTATTCTTACAGAATGGATAAGTCTGCCGTTGGCCACGATTACGTGGCGGCTCTGAACAAACACGAGTCCCAAAAGGACTATGCCACCGGCTTTGGAGGCAAATTCGGGGTTCAGAGTGACAGGCAGGACAGGTCGGCCGTCGGATGGGACCACGTCGAGCAGGCGCAAAAGCACCAGTCGCAAAAGGACTATTCTGTTGGTTTCGGAGGCAAGTTCGGTGTGCAGACCGATAGGCAGGACAAAGCGGCCGTTGGCTGGGAGCACCACGAACAAGTTGCAAAACACGAAAGCCAAACCGATCACAGCAAAGTGAGAAAATTTCTTTTCATTATCAATATGCAAAAATCAACTGGAGTGATTTTGATGGCAAACTTCTTCTGCATCTTAAACTTTGAATTCATTTCAAAAACAAAATTTAAAAAGATAGCATTCCTTTTTAGGGAAATTTTCTAATTTCTTTCAAAAGCTTTGTCGAGAGTAAAATTCATGAAAATTTACACAAATTAAATTAACATCAAGTGCTGTAATTGGGCAAAGTAAAATTAATGCCAAGCTTTAATCCTTAAAATTAAAATAATCGGATGTATTTTATATGAAACGGTTGAAATAAATAAAAACTTTTGTATAATTTAGAATTTCATACAAATAAATATTTAATTTACAGGGCTTTGGTGGTAAATTTGGAGTGCAGACAGATCGTGTTGACAAATCCGCTCACACTTTCGACGAGAATGAAAAGCTGGCGCCTGCTTATGTGAAGACAAAGCCTGATATAGGTTTGCGTTTTGTTTTTATTCCAAAGTAAATGTATCTTACCAAATTTACAATATGCTCAGGTGCAGCAAAACCGTCAAATTTGCGAGCCAAGTTTGAACAGATGGCCAAGGGCAACGACGATGAAGTTCGGCAAAGGGCCATGGAAGAGCGGAAGCGACGGGAGGAGAGGGAGAAGAAGGAGTTGGAACGGGAGCAGGAGAGGAAGAAAGTGGAGGAGCAAAGGGCAAAGGAGGAGGAAGCCAGACAGGCCGAAAGGGCACAGGAGGAGGCAGAGAGGAGGGCCAAATACGACGCCGAGATGGCCCAAGCGCAGGCCGAACAGGACGCTCAAGAAAGGGCCAGAAAACAGGTTTGTTTACAAAATTAAATTATCATTTAGGTTTTAAAAAAAAAAAATTGATTTTATTTATTTAAACAGTTTCAGTTGCATGACATTATATATTTATAATAAATTACAATTTATTCATATAAAAAAAATTCCTAAAAAAACATTTAATTGTTGTAAACCAAATTTAACTCCAAATGGAATTTGTAATTAGACAAATTTTTGAGTTTGTTGTTCAAAATATCCTTTTTATTTTTAAATTATTGGGAATATAAAAAGTGTTTCTATAAAATTATCTCCCAATTAGAAATTCAAGAGCATTATTAAGCGTTTGAATTTTATTTTTAAACTAACCAACAATTGTTTCTGCAGAAAGAATTGGCAGAGAGGGAGGAGAAGGACAGGAAGCAGCGAGAGGAGCGCGAACGGAGAGAACGAGAACAGAGGGAGGCAAGAAATAAGGAGGAAGAAGAAAGGGAGAAGCAGCGTCAGCGCGAGGAACAAGAACGAGAGGAACAACTGGAGAGGGAGCGTCGCCTGGACCACGAAAGGGAGCTCCAGGAACAGGAAATCACTCGCCAGTTGCAGCAGCAGGCTGAGGAGGACGAGGAAGAGGAAAACCTGACGGCCACCGCACTCTACGACTACCAAGCGGCCGCCGAAGACGAAATTTCCTTCGATCCTGATGATCTTATCACCAACATTGAAATGGTAATTATTTTAAATTAAAAATGACACATTAAATTCAATTTTTTACTTGAATATATTTTTAAATATTATTTAAATAAATTTTTGTGAATTCCAGATCGATGAAGGCTGGTGGAGAGGAATGTGCAAAGGCCAGTTTGGGTTGTTCCCAGCCAACTACGTTCAGATGAACCAGTGAAGATTTTAATCCTCGAAGCTCAGACGCACCCAGCGGGCTGTTTTATCAAGACGGCTCGATGCCAATTTATATGATTCCAAGCATTTTTTTAACGAATTTTAGAGATAGCGATTTTTACTGAGGTCGGAACAGTAAATAAATAGTATTGAGTTGGTACTTAAATTTTTATTGGATCTTGTTACATTTTTAAGATTGTCAACAGCGAACGAACCGCAAACACATCTTCTCGATGTTGTTATTACACTTGTTGTAAAATAAAATATGTTATAACGTAAAAAAAGAGCAGAGCTGCAACCTCTCGTTTCAATCCTGTACACAATATAAATCTTTTTACACAGCAAATTTAGGCACGGCGCTTCAAATCCAAATCGCTGGTCATAAATTACTTTTATTTATGTACAAATTTTATATAGGCAACGTTTGTACTGAGCTAATTTAAACAATTCGCATCAAGTATCACAAGGAAATCGAATAATAATATGTACAAATTTCAACCATCACTTTGTATAAATTAAGTAGAATTTTCAACCAATTTTGCCGAGACGAAATTTAAGCAAAGATTGTCACACACAGCTGAACTTGACTCCTGAAACGACAAACAGACATGGATAAGCTCGAGACTGGTCACAACAAAGAAAGCAACAAACCGTCATCGCTGGAGTAACAAGAGTGGCAGTGCAGTTTGCCGTTCCTGACCCTGACGTCGGTTCCCATCAGACCGTCTCCCAACTGGATGCAGCAGACGCAACACTTGAAGCAGTCGATGTGGTAGAAAAGGCGGAGGCTCTCGATGATCATCGCCGCCCCACGACCTACAATCGTTTCTTTCATGTAATGTTGAAATTTCTTATAATTTGGCAAACATTCGGATCAGAGAGCCTTTGATCCTTACCTAATTCCAGATTGCAGTGGGAGCACTTTTTCTTGCCGCTCACACTCAGCACTTTGTCGTCCACGGAGGGAACAGTCGAGCTGGAAGAATTTCTCTGAGGCGGACTGCGCTGCGGAGAAACTCTCTGCGGGAGCTGACTGCTGTTTACAAATATATTTGTTAATAAAATCAAATTTTTATTAATATTTTAAGTACTTTTGCTTCTGTTGAACTCTCTGTGTTAGGGACATGATAATGGCATCGGGGAGGTGTTTGGGCTGCTGCTTCACTGCTTGCCTCTGTTGCTGCTCCGTTATCCTCCGGTGCTCAGCCTCCTGAAAAACACAAACAAAAGTTGTTGAAATGAAAATTAAATTAATATTAATTGGAATTATTTAAATAAAAATAATGCATAAAAAAATAAAAACATGAATTAACTATAAAATTTTACCAAATAACTCAATTATTTAAATACAAAGTTGAATATGAATTAAACAAATAGTAATTTTAAATTAATTGCTTTCTTTGATTATTTAAATTAAAGAAGAAAATTAATTTTAAAGTAATTATTGAATATGAAATAAGTAAAAATATAAAAAATAATCATGAAAATTAAACTTTAATGTGCTTTATTTAAAATGAAACTTGTCCCAACCTGAACAAGCCAGTGCTGGTGATAATTCGTCAGGCCAAAGGCGCTCGAGCTGCGCGGCCGCTGGCTCTTGAGCTGAGGCTGCTGACTGCTGGGGAGGGATTGTTGCTTGGGCAGTTGGCTCATCGAGCAACTGAGGGGTAGAGAGGGTCTGGGGGCGAGGGGGTCACGCCGAGGTACGGCAGGCCCTACGTTGGAATCGTCTGCGCTCTCCAAAATCGAGTCGGCAGAAAAATTCCTAAAAATAAAATTTAAACAAAATTCTTATATAAAAAATTTTGAAAAATTTTACCTTGTCAGAAGGGCACTTGTGGAGTGTCTGTTGGTTGGTTTGACAGGTGGAGGCGGTCCTGCCTTCTTTCTATACACCACCGGCTCTTGTTTATCTTCGTAATTGTAAGGGTCTTCGTAAAGACTCGAGTACCTGTGAAGCAATAAAAATTTCAAATATTCATTTAAATTCATCTCAAATTACTCATATATGAATCTACATTTGTGTATTTTGCATAATTTTACCATTTTTATATGAAATTTAAACCATTTAAAACACCTTAAATTTCATTATTTAATATTAAAAATTGCATTAAAAACATTTTTAGTAATTTTTCCAGTTTTAACATATTATCTATTTGAAAATTTTATACCTAATGCAATTTAAAACTGTAATTTTTAATTTATTTAAAACAGATTTCAATTTATTTAGCCAAAATTCAAAATTGCTCTAACTATCAAGAATTTTAATTTATATTTTTAATTTAAATTAATAAAATGATCAATTATTTTTTACCTTGGCTGTGGTGGCTGAAAGAAGGCCTGGTTGACGTAGGTGCGCTCCTGCTTCTGCACCTGTTCCTCCGACTGCGCCTTTCTCAGGTGCTGCTGCTCAGGCAGGTTGGCATAGTCGTGCTGCTGCTGCTGGCGCACTTTTTGCGGCGAGCCGGACACAGGCGTGTTCTTGGCCGTGTGGTAGTCCTCGTCGGGAGGCGTGTCTCGGCCTTCAGGTTCTGCCGGAATGATGTCCAGACTCTCGAGACTGCGCATCGCCAGCTTCTTGGCAAAGGACAATTCCTGTTGCTGCTTCAGTTTGGCCTGCTGCAGCAATTCGCGCTCGAGTCGCAGCGCCTCTCGCTCGGCGGCCAGTCTCTCCTGAAAAAGACGGACGCGGTCAAAACTGGCCAAAATCTAATTCAAAATTAAAATAAAACCCTCAACCCAAAGCTGAGAATAATTTTGGGGGTTGTATATTTGTTAAATTTAATTTTCTCTATATATAGTGAATTTTTTTTTACAAAATTTAAAAATTTACAATTTTTTTTCAAATATTTATAAATATTAAAAATTACCATAAACATCCTCAGTGATTGGTTTTTTTCAACAGAGACAAAACAAAGATCAATGGGAAAGCAACAAAGAAAGCAAAATAGCTAAATAAAACAGGGACAAATAACACAAGGGATCGAGCAACAAACTCACCTGGGCACTCAGGCTGTAGTCTTGCACAATCTGGGGCAGCTGGACACATGAAATGTCAAGAGACTTTTTGTAACTAACTAATTAAGTGTGATCAGCATCATCAGTGCGTGTTCGCAGGAGAACCTCATGCGCCTCTTTCCGAACGAAGACAAAAATATTCAAGTGCTCCCTGAACCACCACATACTGTGTGTATATCAAATACTGACAGAAAAGTGAAGAGTAGTTTTTTTTTCATTAGAGAGGATGATGCAGATAATTCTTAATTGGTTAATTTAAAGCTAGAGCTAGTTTTTTTTTCAATTTTTGATTCCAGCCACCTGAAATTGGCGAATTTTGAAAGAAGTTTTATTTATAGGAGAAGAGGAAAAAGCGAAACAACCACCAAGATTGTCTTGTGTAGGACGACTTTCCAGACCTTTTACGATGGTTTTATTTATTTATCAAGAACTATTAACCATAGGTATATATGTATAATAATAATCATAGTAGCAAACTGTTTAATATATAATTGTGTGTAAGTGTGTGCCTTATTGTTAAACTCAGTGCGCCAAAATTTGTCCAAATTTTTGTAAAACCACAAAAACTTCTGAGCTGTCCATTCACAAATATATAATAGAGCTGCCTTTTCGTTTCATTTCAAGACACAACGGGTAAAAGAAATTTCCAAAATGTAAGGCTGTCCTTTGGACAAATTTGCAAGCGCTCTCGGTTGGTCTTCTTCGAATAAAGATTTTGTACACAGGCTTGCTTAATTAAAGTCTACTGAACTAGCTGACTTAGAGAGATGCAGTCAAATGGAAGCGGGATTAATTTTTTGGTATAAATCAGTACCGACACCACACCACAGGATAGAAGGGGCACCATCAAGGGCTTACTCTCTCGGCGGTGACCTTCTTCTCCAAGTTGATCACGTTGTTCTTCTCCTCCTCCAGCTTGAGCAGCTTCTCCTTCAGCTGGTTGCTCAAGAATTCGTCTTTCTTCTCGTTCGATTGGACAGGCGGAATCGGCGGCGGCACCGACGGAGGAGCTTCTGAAATTAATTCATCATAATTAAACTGCAATTTAATATTTCTTTCAAATTACTGTTTGTTATTTCAAGTCCCAGGAAGCACTTTCGCATGATTTCTGTGTCATCTGCGGTTCCGACTGGAGGCGGTGGAGGCGGCTTTTCTCTCGGAGGCTCCATTTTTGTCGGAGGCGCCAAAAGGGCCGACAGCTGCACACAGAAATTTTTAAACTAAAATAATGTAAGTTGAAATTAAAAAAAAAACCGACCTCATCATCAACAATTGGAGAATTTATCATTCCCAAGAGACCTGATGAAATAGGCAGAGGGTTGTCCACCTCATCATCAACTTCATCTGATTGGCTGTTAATAAAAATTAATTAAAATTAAAATGGAAGAAATTTAAAAAATTAGGATCCTGAAAAATTAATTGTTCGTACTTCACAAAGAACTGTTTTTAAAAGGAATTAATTTAATCCTTAATTTTTTTATTCAAATATCAACAGATAGATTTGCATTTAAGAAATATCAAAGATTTTTTTAATTATTAACAAATTTTTCTAAAATTTGTACCTGACACTGTCTGCGGTGTGGACACCAGAGTCCTCTCCGCCCAACGGCGACCTGTCCCTGGGACTGAGAACTCTGGGCAGGTCACTAATGATAGGGCTGCTGGAAGTGTCTGGAAGTCCGTGGCAACTGTAGCTGGGGGCAGGGGAGACTTCCTCCTCTTTGGGGACGGTCGGAGGGGCTTCCGTCGGAATGGGAGGTGGCGCCGTTTTGGGGGGTTTGTTGGGCACCGGGGGGCGGTGCTTCTTGGGAGGGTTGAACAGCACCGACTCCTCGATGGACTTTTCGAATCGGCTGATTTTGTCTGTGATTGGTTTGATTTCAATGTTCTCCAGCCGACTGGACGACGAGCTGGAGCTCAATGCTGTGGTGATCACACTCGGCTCTGAAAATTAAGCAGTTTTTTTAGAAGAAGAAATAAAATTTAATAAAAATGGTAAATGGGTCTGCGAAATGTGAAGTGAGATTTTGCTGGAAATGAGAATCTTACCAAAAAACCATGCTTTCCCAATAAATAAAACTATAAAAGAGCAACAGAAATTTATTCAAAGGGACATTTTTATATTTTAAGTATTTTTTAAACATACCATCTTTTGATTGGCAGATTTCGCGGTTATTGTTGTTGAAATGCTCCATTTTGCTGAAGATTGTTGAGGAAGAAGAAGAAGTGCCTGAGAGTCTCTTGACCACACTTGACTTGATCACAGGAGCCGCCCTCGGGGGTGACGCTTCGAACTTGGGTTTGACCTCTTCGGGCTGCTCCTCCGCCTCCATGAAGTCCTCCGAGTCGCTCACAACAATGGTTTCGGTGACAACTTTGACCTCCCTGACGGCAGTTGCTGCATATTTGTTGTTGGAGTTTTCGTCTTTGACGTTGTTGTTGAGAATCGGCTGCTCTAAATTCTTGCTGATGTTGAGTCTGGTCGCCGAAAACTCAGCGTAACTTTTGATGGCGCTTTCGTAAGTGCACTCCTCCTCCTCCTCAACCTGCTTTTGTTATTTATTAATCAGGGAAATACTTAAAAAAATTCTTCCTCACCTTTTTGTCTTTTCTTTCCGATTTCACCTCGACTTTTTTGCTCTCCTCCACATATTTTGCTTGGCCATTTGTTTCGGAGCCGGAATTGTTGCTGGCCACTTCTTCGACCGGTGTTTCTTCTTCAGCCGGAAGACTGCTGTGTGAATCGCTCTGTTCATCTGTCTGCTCTTCTCTGGCGTTGCCGAGTCCCAGTTCGGAGAAGTTGATCTCGTTGTCATCGTCGTACACAACCAAATTGTGTTTCCTTGCCCTGATAAAAAAGTGAAATATTAATTTAAACTCAAAATTGATGTGCTAAAAACTTACTTCATCATTTCACTGAAGGTTTTGCTCTTTCTGGAGGCGCCGCCGGGATCACTATCTTGCCTTTTGAACTCGGACACCCGCTCCAGTAGGTGCTCCTGTCTTTTTCTTCGATTTGCTTTCCAGCCGTCCAGGTCCTGCGCCAAAAATACAGAATTTCGCTCAGCACACGCCCCAAAAAAAGATAAGGTGTCAAAATATTGTGTGCACAGCCAACAATTTTATCTAATCGCCAACTATGCTTTCAATTTGGCCAAAATTTAGAGGCACATCTGACATTTTTATGACCAAAATTGTCATGATTCATAAAATAAAAAAAATAATCAAATTCTAAAATAAATTAAAACAAAAATTCCTTTAAAATGAATAAAAAAATTCAATGAAAATTATTATAATAAAACTCACATTCTGCCAGTCTTCGGCCTCTTCCTTGCGGATGCGTTCAGGGGCTGGTTTCTTGACAGGAGGCGCCGTGTACAAGTGGGTGGGTGGCTTGATCTTGACGAACTGCAGAGGATTCGCAGGGGGTGGCGCAGGACCGCGCAGTTTGGTCAGTTTGGAAGAGGGCGAGTGGGAGGCGCTGCTGAGGTCGCCGAGCAGCTCCTCGGACGACGGCTCGGACTGCGTGTCGGACATGGCGCGCTGCGAATCAGCGTCGCCCTCGCTGCTGCACACCTCCGGCTGCGGCATTTTCCTGCAACAATCATCAAATCATCTCAAATTAGACAAAATAGTTAAATTAAAAATAATCTGTTCATAAATATTTAAATCAAATTCCTTTCAAAATTTATCAAGTTTGCCATAAAAAGAGAACAAACTATAAAAGTTTTTATAGAAAGAATTGAATTTGTTGTTGGTAGTTTTATGATTTTAAAATTTAAATTAAATTTTTTTTATTCTTCTTGCTCATGAAAAAGGGTCGCACACCGTGACCGAAACTGGTAGAGCCGTTTTGTTTTTGAATAAAAATAATTTTTACAACGATGAAAAGCCTGATCTCTTATCTCTCCTCGAGTGTCAATTTCTTGTAACAAATTTTATTTTTATATTTTATTTTAAATCGTGTTATTTATGATTTCTATAGATATTTTTAATTCAAAATTATAAAATTCCAGTAAAACTGTTAATTACAAATTTATTCGCAAAAATCTCATTATTCATTTTGTCATTTTAAAATTTTCAATGCAACTTGTCGGTCGTTCCGCGGGTTCACGCTCAGGAATTTGGCGAATCTATTTTTCAATCAACCAATTTTAATTAGATGCGGTGTATAGAGACGCGCGAATCTCATCTCGTGAATGGAGGCACTTGATTGCGGCGCTCGATAATCGTCGCGGGGAACAATAAATTATAATGGGCCGCCGCACGTTGATTGAAGTCGGGGCCGCGAGCGGCGGCAGGACCACAAGTAGTGAGAAAGAGAGGCACCGTTACGTGTGCAAGAAGAAGAAGTCTCTGCAAATTAATGAGGTGACACCTCTCGTCGCGTACCATAATTTAGCCGCCGACAATGAGGATGTCTCGAATTATGTGCGGCAGCAGAGTGAGTTCATCTTTCTCTCCCAGAGAGACCCACTTTTGCCCGCAAACTCGCGCGTTTGTTTATCCGCAAGAAGTACTTTTCTCTTTGCATTTGCGGCCACCTGGAAATGACGCGTGTTTCGCCCACCCGGTGACCAAATTCTAAATTTTGCACACGCTTTTAGATTTAATTCTTGAAATATGAAAATAATTAAAATTCCTTTCGAATTAGAACAGATGATCAAATTACTAAAATTAAATCTCTCATCCTATTAATTAATGCTCGAAGGCGAAAGTAATCAATAATTTGCTGCCAGCATACGTGTGTTGAGACATTTGTGGGCCGTGCAGCTTTTGGCCTGAAAAGCAGCGGGGTCAGGTCTAACGAGAAGTATTACAACAGAGAGTCTCTCTCCGCCGCGAGAGGATTGTTTTATAATAGAGCTGAGACGTTATTGGCACCTCTGAAGGAAAACACGTTAACTTTCTTTATTCCGAAGATAAGAAGAGGAAGAAGTGTTGAGGGGATAATTATTTCGTGATTTGCCGGATGGAGTTTGTTCCTAATTCGGGGTATAATCGGATCGAGTGTGAAATGAAGAGAGAAAGATTGAGGCGTGAGTTCCGATAAGTTTCCTCGATCCGCTTCAAAAATTCAATTTTTGATTAAGAAATAAGAAAAATTATAATAAAAAAATTAATAAGTTTAATATTATTTTTATTTTTACAAATAATTTATAAGAAAATGTGTCAAATGTGTTTATTTAAAATGATTTTATTCCACTTTTATGCGAAAAAAAACCGTGGCTTTTTTTACCAAAGCAATTTCTCTCTGTTTTGAGTTTTTTGTTGCTTCACGCTATATTATCTTTATATATAATTATCCTTCCAGAGGCGCAAATGATTTTGCACGTACGCGCGACTACTTGAAACTAATTTCTAGAAGCGTGTCAAGGTATGAGCATTAGGTGGCGTCTCTGCTCTGCAGAGAAAAAGTAAATCAGGGCATAATCGCCTAATGGCTACGTGTGTGTCTCTTTCTCTTTCTTTTTCTTCTGCGTGTCCCCAAGGGGCCTTTTTCGTCCGTCTCTCGCGAGAAATTGAGCCCGGCTGGATTATTATTTTGATAGCGGCGTGAATGTGATACCTCTTGACGTTTTGCCTGACACGGAGCGGTTTGTCTCTTAATTCGCCAAGGTTCGGCCGCTGTGGCGAAAGTAAAAGGGACACTTATTTTGATGTATCAGCTCGTTCAGTCGCGGCAATCGCGACGTGCCGATCGCAATTTGCTTTCAATGTGTAAAAAGCTCTTTTCATTATTATGTGCGAGAGTCTTTTGTCGTGCAAATATGTAAGGAGAATTAAAAAATGCTCGACTATTATTCAGACAACGACAATGATGGATCTCGGTTTGAAACTATCGATACTGAAACCTTGAGAATTTGCTGATTTTTGTGTGTTCTCTCTTAATACAAAGGCTATTTTAGAGATAAATTAAAATTTAAAGTTATTTTCAGATTAATCTCTGATGTCACTTTAAAACATTTCATTCAAGTATTCAAGAGTTGAGCAAACTGATGTTTGTGTTTTTGGTTTCATTTCAAAAGCTAAAATTAAAGCGATAAGCGACTAGAGCAAAGTATAAAGACCGTGACCGCGGTTGCCTAGAGTATCAGTTTGCAAAACACTCTGAAAAATGTTCAAGTTGACCATCTGCCTTGCCCTGTTCGTGGCCTGCGTGGCCAGCCTGGAGACTTCTCTGGTCGAGGGAATTCGTGAAAAGCGGTCCCGGGAGTGCTCTTGCTCCTGGTCCTCCGATTCAAGCGACTCTTCAGATTCTTCCAGCTCTAGCTCATCCAGCTCTGACTCCAGTTCTTCTAGCTGGAGCTGCAGTTCTGACTCTAGTTCTTCCAGCTCTGACAGTTCCAGCTCAAGCTCATCTGACTCCAGCTCGAGTGGAGCTTCTGGAGACCACAGCGCCAAGGGATGGCACAACGTCCAGTGCAGACACAGATGGGGAGAGCACGCCTCCTGGGAGTCTGAGAGCGACAGCAGCTCCAGCAGCTCCAATTCTCTCACCTGCAGGTGTTTCCAGGATTCTAGCTCTTCCAGCAGCTCGTCTTCATCCTCCTCCGATTCTTCCAGCTCTTCCTCTTCTGATTCATCCAGCAGCTGCTCATGCTCTTCCAGCTCAAGTGACTCCGACTCTTCGTCATCCTGTGACTTGTCCTGGTCTCATTAAGAGATTTTGTTGCCCCTTCATGATTGACATCCTATCCTTTGCATGAGTGTGAGAAAATTTGTTGTCAAATAATCCCATCTCATTAAATAAAATTAAGAACTGCATAAATGAACTCATTTTTTAATTTTTCTTATCCCGTTCTTCCTTTCCAAGAGATTCTTATTTAAAGATGTAAGGCTGATATAATATTAACAGAGGAATTATTGCAACAAGTGAACTTGTGGAACTATACGAATATCAAATTTTTTTTAGAGTTTTAAAATTGCCAACTGGATATCTTAGAATTTACTAATCCTTTGGTATCTTTATTAATTAGATTATTCACATCATTGTTTAATATCAAAATGCACTTCTCTTCTTGTAATTTAAAATAAAGAACGTCTTCACTTTGTACTTTTGTTGAAACAAAAAATAGCGTGGTGACAGTGTAAGCGCGTGCAGCACCAGAACGAACATCGATTGCAAATCTTTGTTTCTCCGTGTCACTCTAATAAAGAGCAAACTTTCATTATTTCAAATCGTTGAAGAACGTTGAGCAATTAAACGGGATGTGTCTGCAAAATAAATCAACTCGGAATGCAGCTTGAAAAATTCCTGGCATTCATTTTGGGGTAATTAAGCGGAAAATGGCAATAAATACTGTGGCCATTTGTCAGTCCAGCAAAAAATACGCGATATCAGAAAATCTTATACTCGTCAGCGCCTTAAGTTCAAAGGGCGGCACATATTAATCACTGGCAACCTTTGCGACGGCGGCGATTATTTATCAGGATTCCAGCACCGGTCTTGATTTTTGACCGTTTGCCAAAAAATATCATAAAATTTCGGTGTGTTTTCCCAGGCGATTTTTTGAAACAGATTAACAACGCGGCAGAAACATGCTTGTTTGACATTCCGACCAATTTGCTCGCTCTCGGTTCTGACGTCTCTTGGCCGAATTTGTTTACAGCTTGCTTAATTGATGGAGGAGTTGCGTGTGCTCCTCCTAGTATCCAGCAAAGAGTCACGTTTCCTCTCAAGATCGAGATAAAATAAATCACACGTCAGTCAAAATCAAAACACACAAAGAGATTGTGAAGTAAAAGAGACGTCGGCGCGAAAATGGGATAATATTTGTCTAAAATCAGCCAGCCCAGAGCTTATCAGATACAACAAGTAGGATTAGGTCGAAAGCAAACAAATCCAAACCGAATTAAAAAAAAAATCCCTTTGAAATATCGGTCAAATTAATTCCAACTTTTTGTTTTCATTCGAGGGCGAAGAAAGCTCGGCAAAAATTTATTACCCCCTCGGTCATGCAAAGTTCCTCTCGCGCAAATTAAGCGAAAATCGTGCCGGATGCTGCGCGCTGGATCGGACGAGAATGCGGCGGTCAAAGTGTGGGATTTGAGGTCGCAGCTGCAGGAGAGAGAAAAGAAGGATTCGATTCCTTAATTACGACTGCCGCTAAATGAGAGAGAAAAAAGCAATAATAATAATGCAGCCTCATCGTTGGCCAATAATCGCGAGTGAAAAAGCGATAAAAAGCAACGCACGTTTATATTTTATAAATAAATTTAGAGGTAAATGTTACTGGAGTGAGTTCGTGTGCGGCGAAATTGTTTATTGCCCTTTTTGCGTGCTCGTCTCTCTTTTACTCCCGAAGGAGAGGAAAACATAAAAAAAATTTACATCTACAGTTAAGGTACAAGACAATCAGGTCCCTTTTGAAGGTCACCGCCAGGGGTCTCTCGTGCTTTTCGCTTCCTGACCATATTATCAGCAGGCGGTATAAATTATAGTGAACGACATTCACCTTTTTGGCGAGCTGAATTATTATTGTAATAAAAAAAGAGAGAAAAGTTGTAGGAATTCCTCGTCGGCGGTGAGAGGCTCGACGAACTTTAAAGAGACGATAAATTGCTGCTACTTGTAAACAAACAAGTAATTAAGGTCGAGTGCTTGCGCCTTCTTCGGAAAGAGGTTTGACGAATAACACAAATATCGTTTATTTTAATGTGGAAATGTATTAAGTAGTTTAGAGTGGAATAATTAACCTACTTTAAAATTTACTTCAAACGCTATTTTCCCAAAGAACAAAAAGAATAAAGTAACAATTTAAAATAAATTTAAATTCCTAAAATTTAAAAAATTTCTAAATGGGTATTTATTTATGCTTTATATTATAAGATTTTTTCAATGCAATATAATCAAATAGTTGAATATTTAATAACTTGTTAAATATGTTTTTGAAAAAAAGTTAAATTTTATCTTTTAAAACTTTTATTTCTTAACCTGTTCCAAATTACGCCTTTGAGCAAAAAATTAAATTATTCGCCATGTAATTTGGCGAAAAATTGAGCACCACTTTCATGCTCTGATTCAACCGCCAATTTTTCACTTCATCCGCTTTTGTAAAATGATCTCCGAATCAACCTCAAATATACTCATCCCATCCTTGAACTTTAATTAGCAAATGACATGTTAATCAACAGATCAATCAATTTGCCTTCGAGTATCGAATATTCTCAGAAGCGGCCAATTACGGTCCGCGATTGATGCAACGGTTCGATGATAAATTGTGATAATAATTCGACGCGGAGCAAATTGAGCCGCTCTTAATTTGTGCGCACTATTAAAAAATTCATAACGGTTGGCAAAGTGCCGAGTTGGTTTTGAAAAAGCGCCGCTTCGCTCACCTGCCCCTTTATGTAATAATCGTACACGCACGCCATGCCCGCGCCGATCGAACTGCAACTTCTTGGAAAATGTCAAGAGGCACCGATTTCTTCAAACTGCTGCGCGAGAGAGTTGATGAATCTCCGGACAGGAGGAAGATGAAAAAAAAATTATATTTAATCAATGAGACGGGCTGGAGTTTTTTTGTGTGGCGTTGATTACACATTTTTTATTATAAACATGATTGTTTGTTTTGTTCAACGTCAACAAATTCAATCTGACAGGCTCATCTTTTTTCTCCGAATGAATTTATTTTATTTATTTATTAAGTCATTGTTCAGTTTTATTAAAAAAAAGTTTCTTAGCCTAGAGTTTAAATTGAATTTTAAGCAATAATAAATCTCGACCTTGTCTTTTTTTACCAGCAAAAAATACATAAAAATCTCTTTCCCTCTCGGGCAGGAATTTCAATTGCCGCCGGAGATGGCCAAATCGAGCCGCTTTTAATTTCGCCAATCAAGAACAAAAAAATTACTCTGTCCTTGGGCAACTTCCTCGATTCCACACTTTTAATTAGTTAATTAATCACCGTAAAAGACTCTCGTGTCACAATTTTTTTTCTTAACGCTCCGACTTTTAAAATAATAAAAACGCGGTGACGAGGCAGCATTTTTTGATTTATGAAATGAACAAACCGGCGCACGAGAAATGGAAAGACTCGACTCGCCATATTAAGAAGAGATGCCCCTTTTTTATACGACACGGCAACACACATCATTTTACTCGTGTCTCTCCTGGTTTTGTTTATTTGTTTGTTGCCGTCATTGCGTGACCTTGAGGAACTGGCAGAATCGCATCTCGTCGGCGGAAAAAGACTGAGTCACTAGTTGCTTTCTCGTGCACGCACGTTACGCATTGTTTTGCCTGTCCAATTTATAGAGAGATTCAAACTCCAGATTATTTGATAGCAAAAAAATAAAATAAATAGAAACGGATGATGAGACAATGAATTTTAAGAATGAATCTGCGTCATAAAAGAAGAAGGAAAATTTCGCTGAATTGCTTGAATTCAACTTTCCAATTAAAATAAAATGTCATTATCTGTCCTAAATATGAAATTACAGCAGATTTTTCATAAACACAATCCACAGTCTCAAAAAACTTCAGGCTAAAAACAATTTTCCTGCTTAATGCAATTGTTTATCACTTCTCATTTATATTCAACAATTGAGCAAACTCCTGTTTGTGTTTCGTGCAGAAATGCAAAAGATAAGCGGGCAGTGAGGAGTATAAAGACCATGACCGTGGCTGCCAAGAGCATCAGTCTCTGAATACTGCAAAATGTTCAAGTTCACCATTTGCCTTGCCCTGTTCGTGGCCTGCGTGGCCAGCCTGGAGATCCAGTCTCCTGTGGTGGAGCCTCTTGCCAAGGAAGCTCGTGAAAAGCGCCAACAATGCAATTGCTGGGATTCTAGCAGCTCATCCAGCTCTTCAGACTCCTCCAGCAGCTCCGATTCAAGCAGCTCTGACTCCAGTTCTTCCAGCTGGAGCTGCAGCTGCAGTTCTGACTCTAGTTCTTCCAGCTCTGACAGTTCCAGCTCAAGCTCATCTGACTCCAGCTCGAGTGGAGCTTCTGGAGACCACAGCGCCAGGGGATGGCACAACGTCCACTGCAGACACAGATGGGGAGAGCACGCCTCCTGGGAGTCTGAGAGTGACAGCAGCTCCAGCAGCTCCAATTCTCTCACCTGCAGGTGTTTCCAGGATTCTTCCAGCAGCTCCTCTTCGTCCTCCGATTCTTCCAGCTCTTCGTCTTCTGATTCTTCCAGCTCTTCGTCTTCTGATTCTTCCAGCTCGTCATCTTCTGATTCTTCCAGCTGCTCGTGCTCTTCCAGCTCAAGCGACTCCGACTCTTCGTCATCATGCGACTCTTGGTCTAATTAAGAGATTTTATTGCCCTCAACGTTCCCTGTTTGAATTTGTAGTCATTTGCATGAGTGTGAGAAAGTTTGTTATCAAATAATCCCCTCTTGTTAAATAAAACTTAGTTACAGCATAAAAAATTCTTTTTATTGAGATAACCTTGTTCTTAAAGATCAATCAATTAAAATTTCTAGACTGGAAAGAATTAACAAATACTTATAAATAGAAATCAAGAGCTAATAGTTTCGAATTCAAGAAGAAGACAAATTTACTTGATTTAATTAACTTTCAGGCAGCAGGAGTTAAAAGTTTTTAATTTCCCATTTTAATTTTTAGTATTATTGATTCTTTCTTTTATTGGAAATTTCAAGTATTTTTCTTTTCATTATTACTGAAAAATCATGATTCAAAATCTCTTTTGTGTATACCACTTTCCAATTCGACTCACTCGCATCAAGAGCAAAGAGATGATTCGGTATCGCTCAACATATAATTTCAAAGCGTCGAAAGCCCGCAACGTTTGATCTTTTCATCTTTCTCCAGAAACGGTCAATTTTCCCAGCACTTTTGTTCGGCGGCGACGCTGATTGAATGCGTTGGCTGCGGAGAAAAAGACATTTCACGCTTTGCAGCTTTTTTCTCTCTCTTTCTCTCCGTGAAGACGCATATTTTTTTTATTTTCCACGCAGGTCACGCTGCTTGATTTTCCAAACAGCGCGCGCCGCGACGAGAGCAAGCAGTCCATTCGCCTTAATTAATTATAACGGAGAACAGAAGAGAAAGAAGAAGCGATTGCGACTCTGACCAAGACTTGATTTGACGCCACGATAAGAACAGAATAATTTTACGGCGTGCGTTTTTGAATAATTATAACAGTATAGCTAAAAATATATAATTACAAAACCGCAAATATACGTATCAAGTGCGGAGGAATTTTCTAAAGCCGCAATTAAAGGACAAAATCGACACTTTTTCCAGAGGGTGGATTCGAGTAAAAAGTAAAGCAAGGTCGTTCGTTCATCGAATTTCACGCCTTGCATTTTTGAGTCTGCTGAGAGAACCAGTTGTAGCCTCAGTCGTGAGTGTCAAGTTACTGTCACTGCGCGAGATCTCTGAATGTGTTTAACAACTTTCAAATGCGCGACTGTGTGTTTTATAATAAGTGGACGACACGAAAATCTCCTCTCCGTGCGTCACAGAAATTATACGTCGATGATTTCGGAAGAGATTATTGTTTTGCCGCACCCGAGCGTGGATTTTTTGTTTTGTAAACTTTCGTTTACGAATTCAGCTTTTGGCATAAATTTGTTCCAAAATGTAAAATGTATGCAACGAAGTAGTTTAGTTGTTTCTCGCGGCGTGTTCGCGGCGGGACGATAATTACCATATACTGGACTGTTTTTATTGGAGCTAATAGAGAAGAAGAGGAAGACGAAGAGGAGAGAAAATTAGAGCGCCAAGAAGAGAGACGCAAATGGAACAAAATATTAAATTTAAAAAAAAAAATCTTCAATATATTCTGGAGAAACAATTCTTTCTTTTTTGAGAGAATTTTATATTTCTTTTTGCCATTTAAATCAATTTTCAAAATATTGGTTTCAAAATTCAATTTTAAGTTTATTTAACAGTTAATTTAAACTAAAACAAGGAATATTACTTTTACATGAATTAAGAACTGGTAATTTTAAAATTTCAAAAAATGTCAAGTTTGATTCAATAGTAAGCTTTTTTTTATTCAATGAAATTTTAATGGGAAAAAGAATTATAATTATTTTATTTTTCAGAATAATATCTTAATTATTTCACTAATTACAAATTGTTTCTGCGAAAATATTTAATGCATCTGACTGAGATTTCGTCAAGGCAAAGAAGTGTAATTTGGTGTATGAATGAGGTGCTTAATCGTGAGTTTTCGCCTCTCTTCCCACGTCTCGGCGAGTGTGTGTTTAGCGGCTACTGTGGCGTGCAGAAGAGAGCCATAAAGCCGAGCCCGTTATTCGACTTTTCGATTTGAAATTCATGTTGGTGTACTTTGAACGCATCAAGGCTGATGCGAATATCAAATTCTGTGAATTTATCAAGCGCGGCCGAATGGAAAATGATGTAGAATATTAAAGAAGCACTTTGCGTGTCAGACCAGAAGGAAATCTTCTGACGGCCACAAAAATTGGAATAACCACGACAGATTTCGAATTCAATTTTATGCATATTAAAAAGGCAGAGGTCAAGTTTTGAATGTTTTAATGTCCAGGAATAATTGGAGTCGTATAAATTGTGAGAAAATATTCGCAGAATAACCAGTTCAATTTGCATCAGAGTCGAAAAAAAAGCTTTTTTCTGCTCCTAAACGAGGAGCTGCGGCAATTAAACTTGGCGTCAGCGTTTTCGGAATGAGGAACAAGCAGAAATGTCGCAATGTTCCCACCAGAAAATTAACGTTCACGTGTGATAGTATAATTTTCAGATTCAAAATTCCCATGAAGAATTGCGTATGCAGTAAGCACATCTTTGTTGAAATAATATTCAGCGGCACACTGACACTCAAATTAAAAACAGCTAGCTTGAGAAAAGGAATCACCAGACAATGCACTTCGGATCAAAACTTTCTACCTTTGTTTTCATTAGACGTATGAATTCGCGAGACAACAAAGCCAAGCGCACCTCAACGCAAACGAAAGTAAGTTTTCCAAAAACATAAATCTCTTGTGGGATTTGATCACTGAAGATAACGTTCCTTTTGCATTGTAGACAGGAAAAAAATTAATGAGAATTCACAGGAATTTAAAAGAGCAAATAAATTAAAGTTTTAAACAAATTTTAGACTTAAAGGACCACCCCAGTAATGGGTTTTATTTTAAAATTTGAAAGATTGAAATTAAAAATTGAAATGTTCATATTTTCCCGCCAAAAACATTTGAACCTTCTTTAAAGTTTTGTTAATAAATTACTAAATTGACCCAATATTTAAACCAAAATCCGAACATTCGTGAAAAGGAATTGTAAATTTCTGAATCAAGATTTAAAATTCAGTCAGTAAAATTTTAGGTTTTTCTAATTCAATCGGTCCTTTTATTTTAAATGATCAATGATTCAATGATCAATTTGGCGAATCTAATTTTATTTTTTATTTTTTGCATCTGGGCGCGGTTCTGTTTTTATTATTTTTGATTCACTTTGAATAAAAAATGCGCTCGTCTTTGTCTAAAGCAGGATGCTACGCGTCGAGCAATTTCATGCTCGTTTCTCAGGCTAATAATTACCCAGATTCTTGCTCCGAAGCGCGGCTGACTGACAATCACCTCTGCATCTCCCCTCCTGCACCCTCTCTTCCTCTTCTCGAATGAAAATAATACGTCGGTCGTTGTTTTTAATGCGTTCGAAAGAGAGAGAAAGACGATTACTGTCGAAACACCGCTTAAATTTTATGTGGCCGAGACCCCAAGTGTTTATTGGGCTGAAGAGTTAAACTCGTATAATTATGACTTTCTAGAAATAATTTCTCGCACCTGCACTTGTAAAATTTTATGTGAACAAAAAATGAACACAGTTAAAGACGTAATTTTGATCAAGCAATAAAATTTCATTTGGGAATATAAATTTCAAAATTCCTGAAACCTTGAAAAATTTCCACCCATTTTAAAATTTTATTAATGCTATGACTGCTATGAGGTGGAATAATAATTTAAATTATGAGAAAAAAATTCTTTCATAAAAGGTTAATTTTATTTCAACTAGTTACAAGGATTAGTCTTATTAGAGAAAAAAGTCTCAAATTTTGAACTCCTATTTCAATAAAATTTGTATCAAATGATGGTGATTTTTTATCTAAAAACTTTTAATGCTTTTTAAATTGATTTTACTTCCAAGTTTCAATATTTATTAAAAATTATTTTCATTTTTAATAAACACTGCATAAATTTCTAAAATTAATAGAAAATTTTACCAAAAATTAGTTTTAAATCTTTCAAAGTGATTCGAAAAATGTCAAAAACACAAAATGATGTAAATAAAAAATATAAAACTTCATTCTAATCAGAATAATTAATTTTTTAGTAAATTTTTTCCGATTAATTAAATTAATTTTTTAACAATCATTTCAATTAATGAATTATTTAGCTTTCAAGATTAAGGGCGTTGATTTTGATCCAGGATTCTTCTGATCAAATCGTTCCAGTTCCACTTACATATTATTTTAATATTTTTTTTGTTTTGATCTCTGCGGGTTGTTTAATTAATTTCAGGACAATGACTGGCCGCAATCACAAATGAAGCGATTCGAGATTAAATAAAACGATTATTTTTCACCGTCATCATCATCATCGGGCTTCCCTGTGGCGCTCGCTCTCTTACTCAGTCGGACGAGAGATGCGAATAGGCAAATTCCAAAAGTCACAGCTCAGACAGTTAAAAATAGCTGGAAGTCTTTGTCGAGAGAGGCTGCCGGTGCTGTTCCAGATCTGGGAATTTTCTCCGAAAAAAAAGTAGGAAAGAATCTCTCGTTTTGAATAACGATTATGGAAATATTTATTATGTATGGAGGCGTTTGCAACGCGCGGCTGCAATTTCCGACACAATTTATTGTTCTGGCTGAAAATTTAATGGTCCGCTAATTGCATAATGGCCGGAGAGATTTTGTTTGAGCTGCACACCAATTACACGGGATATATAATTGGCTGCGGAGAGGATTTTTGAATGGATTCGGCGGACCAACGGCATTTTTTTTTCTTTCCTTTTTACACCAACTCGAATGCAACTGGGACTTTGTTTCAGGCCAAGAGTTTTCTTAATTAGCCGCTGGGAATAGAGTCAAGGCATGGATTTGGTATTTTTTTTAAAGCGGTCAGTGCCAGACTAGCAAAATATTTGAGTTACGACTTTGTTTGACTTTTGCGCGCCGAGAATGTTTTAAAACAAATAAAAATTAATAAATATAAGAGTGCAAACAATGGAGAAAGAAAAATGTGCTCCGAATTCTCCATTGTTTGCCTTTCGAATGTGCCGTGCGCACTTCTC